AGGATGATCTGTAACACAGTCTTATAAAAACAAAGAACATACCTTTACTTTGCTTCATTTTCTGTCTTGCAGAATCCAAGTCTTCAAATGTGAGATCTTCATCGTCTAAACTAACATCATCCAACACAAGGTCAAGATCTTCTTCTTCATCAGAACAATCACTATACTGTAAATCACCACCATTCTCAACAGGAGAACTGCCATCTGATTCCTGTTCTTTTTGTTGAAGGTTAAATGTGTCTTGTTCAGCCTCAAACGAAGATTTTGACAAATTAGCCTCATCTGAACTATTTTCTGTGTCATAACCATGGAGCATTGAGTCTCTCACGACTTCACCATCATATTCAATAACAACTTTTGGTAACGTAACTTGTGGGCTTCCTTCCTGCATGTCTGGTCTGTCATTTAAACCAATGTCAATAACAGCCCTAGAATCTTTGCTTAATTCCTTTTTCAAATAATCTGCTTTACTTCTGTACATACCTGATCTATCTGAGACAACAAATGGAGCTGTTTCATTTGTTTCAACTTCAATAACTTTTTCCTCACTGTTTCTAACATCATATTCCAACAAGACTGTAGGCTCTGGGCTTGTCCTATTCAGGGCAAACTTGTCTGATAAGCTAGGATGTTGCCTGGAATTCTCCTCATTGCTTTGACCTGCACTATGTTTTGACGCCAGTAACGATGAGCTGGTTACTGGTTGCACTTTCTTTTCAGGTGCAAACTCATTTCTTTGAAACCTATCTTTTGTGTTACTCCCTGACAAACTCAACCCATCTGTTTGTATTTCTGTTCCGTTGGTAAGATGCCTTGGAAAAGCCTGGCCAGGTAGAAATTTACCAGCTTGAACACCATGCAATCTTGCAGAAATTGGTTGGCTCTGGTCTTCATCAACCTTTGATAAAGAATCTGTACTTTGAGTTTCAACAGTACTTGCAGTGTTTGTCATTTCTGACTCATCAACTAAAGAAACTGGTTTAAAGCGTCTACGGCGAGATGATGGACTTTTGTCCACAGATTTACGCTGTCTGGAACTGTAAGGTGTATCATATTTGGACAGTCGTGATGCTATGGCAGAATCTAAAGATGTCTGCCTTTCTGACAATGCAACTCCAACTTTGGCCATTCCTGTAGAAGCGTGATTTTCCGCGGACCAAGTTCTTCCATATCCTTGCCACTTTGCTATTCTTGATGACGAACTGGAAATATCTGAAGATGTTGCAACCCTTCCCTGCTTAGTTCTGCTAAATCCATTTACTTCATCTGAGTTGTCAATAGGGCTACCTAACGTTCTTGACAGATTAGAATTCAAGCTTTTTCCATCCACTGTTTTTATTACCTTTCCAAATGAGGATCCTTGCATTGAATGTTTTGCGTCTCTACGAAGCGTTTCATTTGGGTCAGAAGCTGAGATATCGTCTTCTAAAGGAGGTGGCGATGAAGGTAAAAGCGGAGGTTCCATAGTTGCCGGATTGTTGTGCTCTTCAGATATCTTAGAGTCATGTGTCAAGTCTGTAATGTTCCCAACGAGGTCAGATTTCTCGGGGACATGATCTGCGTTCATGCGATTTAGGTTTCTATTAGGCTTTGGAAGAATTTCTGGGCGATCTACCTGATGTCTATTTCTTATCCTCGGCGATGTTCTTGGCGAAGTTCGCGAAACGGAAAGTTCATCACTCGAAATAGAAAAACCGACATCATTAGTGATCATAAGAGCTGGAGAAAATGCTGTTCTTTCTTTCACTGCGTTTAAACGATCATTTGAAACATCTCTTTGATAGTTAGACTTTTTCGAGTTATCTGCTCCCAAAGATGACTTAGGTAAATGCACAGATTCGCTTCCAAGCGAGTCTTGTTCAAATTTCCTTCGCGCCAAAGGAGAAGGTGATCTTCTGCCGGGATTTCGAGGTCGTGTTTTCGTCAAATTATCAAGTGTATGTTTTGTTTGTACAGGCAGCAGTGAGCCCTTGTCATCTACCAAACTTAGAGAACTGTTAAAATTATCTTCAACAGGACCGTTTTCATTTTTTGTCGACAGGTTTTTCGAGTGACCAGTTGACCTGGTGTATGAAATTCCGAATGGTTTCTTGGTATCAGGTTTCGACAGCCCAGGCAACGCAAAAGCACTTGAAGGCAAAGGTCTTTTAGCCATTTTGCAAAAGTTTTGCTGTAGTTAGAACAGTGAAAAACGCCATAAGTAACTGCTTGGGTAAAAAATTGACAACCAAAACAAATTAACAGTGGATGCTCCGGCGCGAGTAACCACACTCAGCTGTGCATTCGATTACGGTGCATAATTTATGCAAATATATGGAATAGATTAGTCTCACGACATTCCTTTGTCACGACGTTATGATTGACACCTACTCTCTCTTTCTTTCACGTTGCGAGCAGAGGCTCTTTGGGTAGCGTTGACTCTGTGTTTACACAGAAGCCTATGTTTTACTGTAGACCAGGAGCCAAATCCACACTTGTACTCCAACCAATCATTTTCCACATTTCTTGATACTGGCCAGGGGCGTAGCCAGCCATTTTTTTCCTATTTTGAGCCCGAGTTGTTGTAGAAGTCCAGAATTACGGCGGGGCCGAAGGGCGTGAGGACATAGCAGAAAGCCACGTTAACACTCACCTTACAGCACAGTTAAAGAGTGTTTCTGTTCTATTAATCGGTAATGCTTATTGCATATTACAACCGATATGAAAATAAGTGAATAAATAAAGAAAATAAGTATTAGATATACTACGTTACAATATACACCATGTGGCATGTTTCAATAGACAAACAAATTTGTGGGCTGCAAATAATATAACGACTACGACTAGTGAAATTAATCAACTAATTAAACTATTTAAGTTAGGCAGACTGGTACGGTGGCCCACAACTGTCACGGCAAAACCAAAAACCTCACGGCAAAAACAAAATACCTCACGGCAAAACCAAAAACCTCACGGCAAAACCAAAAACCTCACAGCAAAACCGGTTTTGCCGTGAGGTATTTTGTTTTTGCCGTGAAGTTTTTGGTGTTGCAGTGAGGTATTTTGTTTTTGCCGTGAGGTTTTTGGTTTTGCCGTGAGGTATTTTGTTTTTGCCGTGAGGTTTTTGGGTTTGCCGTGACAGTTGTGGGCCACCGTAGCGTAGGGGGTATGGACTGGAGCAGTTGCGCCACGCACTAACCCCTTCGCTAAAGGATGCTGGGCTTGTGGCATGAACTATTTCCTGAGGAAGGCTGTTCCACACTGTGGAATTGGATTAGTACGTGGAAAAAAGGAAAATTTAAAAATATCCGTTCGCGCAGGGAGGTGATTAAATTTCATATCGTGTGATGTCTGGAACTACGCTAGAGACTGGCCAGGAAGTGGGTGGGCCCGCCCATGCATAGCCTGTGTTCTCGTGCCCTTTAGAAAAAGGCCTATGTCATTACTTATTGCCCCGAGAAACCAAATACAAAGTGCTCCTGTACAGTTTTGAAGAAAAATATTAAATAAATATCATCAGGAAAGCACTCTAAGTTTTTGCAGTCATGCATTAAAACTTGAAAAAGTTGGCCCACCTCTTCAAGTTCAATCCATGTCCATCCTCGCCATCCGTTGGACTATTATTTTCGGAATTGAAGTTCTGCGCAAAACGTTTTCACTTTTTGAAAAAGATAACGACAATTACTAATTCAACTAATTACAATGTAAAACATTACAGATCTCATTGTGTCCTTGATATTAATTTGTTTCTTAATTCAAAGCACTGCGAGATAAATAAAACTAATTGACAGTTAACAAAATAATCGGAGAATTAATAAGATGAGCTATAAAGTATCGACTGGAAGTGATTTGAAGTCAGCTATTTTAATTTGGATGGAAAATACCATGACATAGCTCCTTACTTCACCCTTTCGGCAGCTTCCCTTCAAAGGCGCGCATTTGTGATACAGGCTAAGCAGCACGCAGATCGGAATTTTAATTATATTTTCTTTTTCTTGGAATGAAAGATTCCGTTGCCACCTCGACTGAAGCGAGGGACCGGGAGGCGAGGAGTTTATAAGTACGTTACACGTTCGGTCATTATTACTGAGGGCGCTTTCGATTGACATGTACCGTACACCGTTTAGGAGTAAAAGAACATGGAATAATCTCTCAAAATCACTTGTTTTGGCTTTCGTCGCAGGGCAAAATCCAGAAATCTGGTGGACATTAATCATTGAATGAATGTAGCATTTTAATGGTATTGGTAAATTTGCGTTTGAAGAGATTTCCCAAATTTCTTCTCATTTTTACTCCATAACATTATCCATCGAATGCGACCTAATACTCGGCCGAAGAGCGCAGGGATAATACTATTCAGTTTTCAAAATATTAAAGTAATCACCCCTGTGGGGTAGTCATGGTCGCTTACGAGGTGTTGAGTCTAAGGGGTTCGGATAGTGAGGATGACACGTAAGTAAAAGGCACGCGAAAATATGAGCGCTTGATTTGTAGCTCAGCCGCCCTTCCTCTCTCCAGTTTCCTCACGTTTTATTTTCGTGTTCGCGCTTTCTCGACAGGCCATTTCCTAGTTCCCCCGGGCCTCTGTATCAAAACGAGGTTAAGCGCTTAGCCTTTAATATGGAAACGATTTTTTTATGCAAGGAAAACTCATTTTCACAGGAAAAGGTTGTGCACTTGGCCTCCTTCTAAAAGTGACGGTTTTCGGAACTCGGAAGTGGTCTATTTCGCGGACCCGACTATCCCGGACGGCCTGGAGCAGGCTAAAGAGGTTCCAAATATAGTGATTTGACCAGGAAAAGTTTGGAGTTTGAATTGGTGAACAGTTTATCAGTGATAACGTATATAGTTTTGACAAATAAATTAAGACGTAATCCTCATCTGGGTGTTTTAGGATGATAGGTAGAACTTAAATTCGCTCCTGACCGATTAAACAAATGAGTTTAATACCATTACACCTTATCAAGACAACATTGATTATTGTTGACAAATAAATAAACACAGACATTGTTTAAGAACGGAGAATTTAATTGCGCACAATGTTAAAGACTCATTACAGAAGTACAGTTTTGTAGACGGTTCTTATAAAGATTTCCATGAAACACAAGTTTTAAGAAACTATTTCAAATTCGTGTAGTGCGGCTACTGTCATCTCTGGGTAAACAATCCTTGATTTGAGTCGTATTTCAAAGGGAGTCCGCGATCTCTGCCCCTACAGAAAACAAACAAACAACAAACAAACACACCGGGATAGCGTGAGCTTAAGTATTCACTTCAGCTTGAAACAACACTTGTAAGTTAAGAGGCTATCTCGCACTATTTACTTTTTTCTAAAATTGAATTCCGAAAATAATGGTCCACGTTTATAATATCCTCGTTACAAAGCCCCTTTAACGTATCCGCACTCAATTGTTGGATGAGGGCAGAGGGTTTGAGGGATTTTAAGGATTCGCTAAGGGAGACAGCAACACGAGAAGAGCATACAATACAAACAACAACTGTGTCGAAAATCCCGTAAGTGAGCTAATGGAAGGTGGTCTCACAAGGAAGTTTGGACCTTTATGATGGATTAGAAAAGTATGCTTCTACATGAGAGTCCACACAGTTCACGCTCATTTCTATGGCGGTTAAATTAAAGACTTCATTGAAAACGTCACGACAAGGCGTCGAACCTTCTTTCCTGTCAGGCCATGTTAAAGCCTGCAAGCATCCATAAATTACTGCGAGCATGGATAATATATAGATCCATCCTGCGAGCAAGCTCTCCATTTCGAGTGGCGGGTCAAGTGAGCTCCGAGGGAACATGGTCACGTGGTACACATAGACGTTAGCTGTAAAAGCGATTCTAAATCTTCCTATTATGGACCTTTTACGAGGTGGGGGGTGCTGATAGGATTTGAAAGGCTCACGTGAAAAAAATAGGGGGCACCTAAAAGAATAAGGGAAAGGGGGGGGGACAATACTTGTTAAAATGAACGGTCCCTTATCTACACTTACTTTTTGACGCGAAGAAAGAACTTTTCCCGATCGAAAGTTTCAGCACCGTCCACATGGTTTAAACTGCCACTCTCCAAATATATATCAAAACACATCTGAAGGAGAACACTCACATTAGAAACGCCAGTACTCTATTTTGAATATTTTTATTGCTTGTAATATCTCATAAGCCTAGAGAGAGAGGAAATGAGAATTGTTTTTGGTTGACTCGTTATGACAAGAGCTGATGTTTTCCATGCTGATCGAAATTGGGACGTTAGTTTCAGCCTATAATTAATATATATCCTTCCAACATGTGACCAGTTTGAACTATAATTTGGTTACTATAAAAATAAGGGTGACTTCAAGTGTCATAACATCTGTTGTAACTCCATTTTAGCCCAAGCATGGAGACACGAAAAAAGACAACACCTCTGACAATGGTGAGCATCGAATCCACGACCTCAGGATTAGATCACCGTCCTCTAATGTTTATCCATGAGGCCAAAGATTTGATTAAATATAAACAATTTTTTTAACCGCTTGAGGATTGGCCTACTCACTTGTAAACGGCGTAGCTGATTGGTAAGGAGATTGAAGGGAGAGTCAATGGCAGTAAGCTCTGGGTAAAAGACATTCACTTCTCCTTCCACAGCCTGTTATAAAGATTGCATCATAAAACGCAACATATTAGAAACAACATGTAGAACGGAGCTAGACTGAAGAGATGCAAATGACTTGAAGAGTGCACTGCTACTGACTGGGGTGGATCACCACACTACAATTAAATGCGAGAAAATCAAGCAATTCATTTTTACAGTAGTTCTACTTGCGGCCGTTTGGTTTACATGGATTTGGAGCAAAAATACAGCCTAGCAGTTTTGTCCTTTTGGGCCAACGTCTTCGCAAGTGAAAAGCTTACGTTTTGTTACTAATGAACTGAGAACTCGGTTATAATTTATCACTGCAACGTGGGTACGTTCGTATAAACACCAGAATCGAATCTATGTGAGAAACACATTTCAAGCGATTTGTTTCTGTGATGTGCTATGGTAGGATTTAAAACAGGATATTTGGAGAGGCTTTAGAGCTGTGCTTATAGATGGTTGCCACATCCAGAGGTTTCCGAATTCCCTGACTTTTCCCTGACAAATGTAAAATTCCCTTGACCAAGTGAATTAAATTAGTCTTGAATATAATAATAATTTGTAATTTTTAAAAATTTAATATAGATTCATGTTTTTTTTTTTTGAGTAGAGCCTCTAGTGATAACAGTGACTTTTATAATTGACTTAAGGGAGCTACCCCTTTAAAGTAAAGCCTACATCTGGCCCAATACCTTAGTGAGGCTGTCTCTAATTATGGTCTTTCCACAAGATACTTCAACTGAGAAAAATGGCGGTGCTGTTGGATATTCTTGAGACACGATTACTGAAGCCTTGAGCTGTGCTGAAAAGAAAAGGTAGAAACAGAACTGAACGGCTTAGTCGATCACGCGTACTCGGTCTCTCTTTAATCAATATTCTCAGTTCCATCTAAGTTCCATTCACGAACCAAAAATTTCTTTCACTCACCATTAAGTAATTAACCCGATCGAGCTTGTTCGGTCAAGATGGCTGGATACAGACCAAGTTCTTTTTCGCGTTTACATTGACCGAGGCGAAGTCTTAGTCAATGAGAACGCAAAAATAGAACGAGGTGAATATGCAGCCATCTTTTTCGAAAAAGCTTGGTCAATAAAGGATTTATTATATGGCCAAAAAGATAACTTTTTCTTGCGGGGCCAACGCAGGAAATCCCGAGCGGGCATCCCGCGTAGCCAATCAGAACGCAGGATTCGCTTCATCTTTCCCGCTCGCGGATACAGCCGTATAATAAGTTTAATTTTCGACAATCAATCTTAGTAGATCCGTTTGGTTCTACAGACTTTCTTTTAGGGCCGTAGTCAGACAAAAATGTTTTGGCTTACCAAGCCAATATCAAAAAAATATATATATATAACCGTCTTAGCCGCATACTTTTTTCCGTCACACATATACAAACAACTTTTCCACTTTTTACCAAAGCATCAACTAGCTTAGTTTTGCACTTGGCCAAACTTTTTGAAAGCAAGGTTTCGGGCCGAATACAGCGAGTAAAACCAGTCCCCCTCCCTGCCTACAGACTAAACTGAATTAAAACTTGTGACTGTAATTCTGAATTTTCTTGCAACTTTGAGTCAAATTTACATCTGTAACGTGTAGAGGTGTAGCTTGTAGCAAAGCGATCCCCTTATCAACAATAAATTCAAAGCCGTTACCTGAATTATTCGTTAATAGTATTTGGACAATAACGATACTGAGGCGGAGGAGGAGGAGGAGTATTACGACCAGGAAGACCAAGGGTGCCTACAATTCACACAAACCACCCTAGTGGAAATCTTGTGCACAAACATTAAACTATAAAATTTGATGTGGTGGGAAAACGAACCGCAATAATGTTATCAAAAACAGCTAAATAGCCTATAAGAGAAGAAAAATTGCATCCCCTCAAATCACAGCCCATGTTTCTGAAGCTCCCCAAACAGAATGGCGCAAACCATTTGACTTTCCAAGCAGAATTTTCGGTTTTCCCATGTCATGTCAGTGGTAAACTTAAGTACCCCAGAGACCATTAAGATAGAAAGTCAACATTTTAGAAGACATTTCAACCTGAATACTGTTAAACGTCTTAGTGTTTCATTTACTTCTTCGTTTTTTCTCTTATTTATTCATAGGCCAAGGATTGTTCACCTTTTCCTCTTTCAAACACGGCTTGATAAAGCATGTCATCCTCTACAATAAACCCATCATCGACAAGGCTTCTAAGAACTGGCTGCTCCTGGAAAAATAAACTGCATGTTTCAAACGAGGTCGCCCAAGCGGAGAACCAACACAAAGAATGAGATGAAGGATTAATCTTAACTGTCACTTTCCTTTAACCTCACGTTCGCTCTTAAACCGACTTCTACCCCACGCTCATAGAATTGGTGTTTTCTTTACAAAAAATCGCAATTCCTACATGAGGAATGGTCAGGAAAGCCCGAAGTCTTTTAGATGTGTCGCTTAAGTTGCAAAACGTGTAAATGAAACGGAAATTTTATTTGTAACATCTTAATCCGACCAAAAGAACCACCATTTTAATCTTGGAAATTTTCCTAGGGGACTTCTGAAAAAGGATGTAGTTCCAATTACGTTAAAACAAACGAAATTTACAGATTTGATTGGTAAATAGTAAACCAACCCGGCAACCACTCGTAAAGATCTCATGTCTGGCTACATTGCTTTCCCCAGGTTACACACGCAGTCACCGCTGGTAGTTTCGGATCAGTTTATGGACATCATTCTTACCATGAACTCTTCCAAAGTTGATGGGCGCCAGGCAGTCAGTCCCGATGATATCTTGCTTGGGAACATTTGAAGAGAGTTTTTGTTTTGAGGAATCGTCAGACTCTCTAAAAAAATGAACAACATTTCATCTGAGTACTAACAAGTGTCTTACTAAAGCGTCCACTCAAAGACGTTTATTAACAGCAACAGAGAAATCTTACGGCAGTCTTTCCTCTAAAGGTCCGGGGGTAAAACGGGCAACAAAAAAGGTGCAACGTGTTTTGCAACATTGCTGCAAAAGGAAAATAGCGATGTTGCGCATTTCACCCACAAAAAAAACCTTGCAACCTTATTTGTTGCAATAAAAGTTCGAACGAGGGTGGTAAACGCACAACATCGCTCTGCGGCAATGTTACAAAACAAGTTGCACGTTTTTTGTTGCCCGTTTTAGTATAGCTTAAGAGAGTTTGCACCCAGCTAAACCATTAAACATTTTTGTACAATTTTGCATTTCAATTGACAACATGGCGTTGCTAAATATCAAACATTTGTTTGTGATGCAAAAAAATGATTGATCTAGATCAAACATCGAACGAAAGCCATTTAAATGCAACGTTGAGAGAGGTGGCTTAACCGTCAAAACCTGCTCTTCCAACACGGTGTTGTGCAAAAATGTTTGATCGTTTAGCCTTGCCCGTCGGAATGTAATTTTCAAAGCGAAACGAAAATAGAGCCTGATCTCAGGTTATTTAGCAGGGACTTTAAAGGCAGCATTTTGTCCCGGTCCTAGCTGTCAGTATTCCTAAGTACTTCGGTTCTGGTGAAGATCCCCGTCCCCCTCCCCCCCCCCCGCCGGTGAGTTGAGCAAGTCCTAATATGAATTTAGAATTCGAAAAGAAACTAATAAAACATACCAACTTCTAGAAAAAAAAAATCATTGTTATTCCATTCTAAGAATTCTCTAATCTCTGCTAAACTCGCGCAGTATATATTTACTTCTCCACACTGATCTCACTCTGCCAGAAACCAGTAAAAGGGAATGTTTTGGGAAGCCAAACAACTTTCTGTAGAGCACCACACTGAAGGGGAAAATGGGGGTAAAAATGATCTTTTAACATAGGTCTCCCTGGCGTTACAACGACATTTCGATCTCACAACAAAGAAATCTCCAAGACAGGCATCCAGACGGTGTTACACAATCTCCAATCGTTTACTCGACGCTTGGCGGCAAAAAAAAACCGATTCAATGAGTGTTCCTTCAGAGGAATGTTCCATCACTATACCGAATGAAAAGACAGATTGGATGAGAAATTTTCACGCGAAACACCACCTTTGAAAGAACCTAAGTACCCAGTGACCGCTTACAGTTAAGAAATATAAGCAGAAAACAATCCGCGGTTTCTACCTAAGGACGTAAGTTGTTGCTGAAGAGCGAGTCTAGCCAGGATTCTTGTCCTGATGGCTTTGATTGTAGCTTCCATGTGTGACAAGCTTACTGATGACTTGGCAACAACGTCCTGTTAAACAAAGAAATAATTGTTACCAAAAAATAATACTATTACAGGGTTTGAGCCAGGCCGCGCCATTGCGCCAATCTATCCATATACTTAAAGGATAAAAGCCTATGCGATTGTGTCCAAGGCATGTAAAAAAGAGTTAGGAAAGTATAGTCTGAGAAAACAGCTGACATTTTACAACGACATCACTAGTTTCCTATGTGAAGTTTGAAAAAATTAATGACTGCAGAAAATCCATAATGATCTGGGTAGTGATTTTATTGGTTGTGCCACGAGGGAAATTTGCTTCAAACAATCAGAAACACTACCCAGATCTGTGTAGTGACATGTAATAATTATTAGTATGGAACTTCTGCAGTCGTTCCTCAAACAACATTTCAAAGGGAAACCGGTGGAGCTTCGCAAAATGTTGGCTGTTTTATAAGGCTTAGGAAAGTAGCGTTCAATAAAAGTAACTTTCACTTTGTCTAAAAAGAATCATGAACTGTAGAGATGAATGGTTAATTAAACTTATAACTCAAAATATTTGAAGGACAAAAGCAAAAAACATTCCTTTTGTATCATAACAAGAAAATTGGCAAAGTAGTCTATGTATATTAAACATATCGAAGAAACCTCTTACATGTATTTCTTCAGGTAAAAAGTCAAGTCCACATATCCTCTGAGCCCACATGTAAGGCTTGCCAACTTGATTAACAAACTCTGCAAAGTCTTTAATTCTGAAAGAACACAATTATTGTTTATGACATGAATTGTTATAAACAAGTAATATTACTGAAATGTGGAAATGGGTGCTTATCATGATTTTGGCTGAAAATATTTCAAAATTGACGACATTTTATGTCTTTTTTTACAATGTCTTTTTAGAATATAAAGGCCTTCTGCTTTTTTTGTATAGATGTGTGCAACTGACCATAAACAAAAAAAGTAAAAGGCACAAGCAAAAGTGACAAAGTTTTATACTTGTATTAAAACCTGTCATTTCCCACCTTTTTAAAATTATTCTTTTGCACCAACATTAGTTGCAACAAAATTTTATGCCTATCCCTGCATTGTATGTTTCCTTATGTTTATCACAGGTGAAGAGAAATATCCAGGCCCCAGTTGTTCAAAAGGCGATAATGCTACCCACCAGATAAAACTCTATCCACTGGATAGCACAATAATTGTAATTAATGATTTCATCTCCTACCTATCTACTGGAGAGGGATTTATCCAGTCGACAGCCCTATTCCATGTTTCAACAATTAGGGCCTGGTATTTTTCCGGCGCACATGTTCATGCATGTGTCACTAGTGAGGTCAACCAAGGCTAAAGAGTTTACACGCAGACAAGTCTATGACTGTAACAGAGGACTTTACTTACCCAACTTTAGCAAGCTGATAGAGACTGGCTGGATTTGGTGCCTTTTTTCCACTGTCATCAGGAAATAAACTTGTCAACAATGAATCAGGGGACAAAATAGTGCTGAAAACAAAAACAAGATTAACGGAAAAAAAGACTTGGCACATAGGCATATTTAAAGAAAGTTGTGCTTACTGCTTGAGTGCATCCTCACTGAAAGAGAGAGGTCTATTTACTTGAAGGAAGACCATTCAGAAGCCTGAGCAACTTCTACATGTATCAGTCGCGACCTGGAGATCGTTTGAATACAATGTAAATTGTGCAGAGTTTGGGACACCTGGGCAGTCTGTGGAAATGATCAAGGCATCCCACTTCACAAGCAGTGACATCACAATAGCAACCCCCAGACTTGACCGCAAATACAAAACGAGTGAGAGTACATCTCTTTTCTTAACAATTGCAAGCCAATGTACTCCCCCCCCCCCCAACTATAACCCTTTCCTTTCGCTGACTACTACTTTCTTAAAAGCTCCGGAAAAGCTTGGTCCTCAAACCCATTCTTACCCCTAAATCGGTATTAATGGGTAATTCTCCTTTTATGGTCCCACACAATTGTTTTCCCACTTCTTTTGATTCTTGGTCCTTTAGGTTCAAGGGGAGCTGTGGGAAACGTCAACGCACCCCCAGCTAAAAACAGAGCCCACAAAAAAGCAACCCCCCCGACTGACCCCAAAAAAAAAAAGGGGGTGAGTAATTTCCTTTTTTTTACAAATTGAAACCCAAGTGCCCCCCCCCCCCCCCCCAACTATAACTCTTTCCTGTTGCTGACTAACACGTTATTAAATGTTCAGGATAAGATTGGTGCTCAAACTCATACTAAGCCCTAAACTGGTACTAATAGTCAAGTCTCCTTTTAAGGTCCCTAGCAAATGTCATGCCACATCATGTGATGAGTGGGCACTTAGGTTTAAGCATTATATATAAGGTTTAAGCTTTATATAATATTAAGCCTCGTAACTGTTAATTTAACTTAGTTTGCAGATTACTCTCTCTCTCTCTCTATCCTCACAAATTACTTCCTCTGCTGGTTAGAACTCTCCATTTGCACCAAAGATAAAAAATTGTTCAAGAGGTCAAGGGATATTGAGAGTTAAACTACATTGAAACCCTTTTAATCAGCATAATAATTTGATTTTGAACTACAACATCGATTTGCACCAAAAAATTATGTTTCATTTGTCAAGCAGAATAATTTAATTTACCCATGGGATCATTAATTGCTCTGAAGTTTCAGCAAGCAGTTATATGTTAACATTTGCAAGAGGAAGTGCCATATCCATCCCCAGCTTTCATGTAATCTTCATCATTCGTCATGAACTCACCTGTTTGCCAATACAGGTTCAGGGAGAGCTTCAGTTAACGACAAGGAAGGTGATACTACAACTGTGCTGAATGTTGGCAAATATGAGAACAACAAATCTACTGTTGCTTTGTCTACAGAAATAATGAAAATAAACCATTTAGCACAAAAAGAACAGCAAAAACATTGGTACTATTCATTGGACTTTTTCACTAAAGCAATGACAATAATATTCTAATGACTATAGATCTAACCTTTACACCGAACTTGCACAAGGATTTGAAGTGGATGTTTCTTAAGCAGCAACTTTCTCTTCTCCTCTAAACGAGATTCTTCTTTTTTTCTCCTGTGTTTTGACTAAAAAGGATTCCAAAGTAAGAAAATACACATTGGCTGCCTTGACACTAGTAAGATTTAAGAACTGCTAAGTTTTACTTAACCAAAGATACGTGTGAAGGCCTCAGTAAAACCTCAAGTTATTTTACTTTGCATTTCATTAAAGTTGGAAAGTTGATTCAATTCAAGAAAGTTTCAAGTGACTTGAAAACCATCCTTAAAACTGACTTAGCAAACTTGTGGTTTCTTGAGTTTTGAAAAAGGTGAATCATGTCAATCAATATTAATTGTGTTGCATGTGAAAACAGCCTTAAGTTAATCTGAAGCAATAAAGAAACGGTTGTGTGGGAAGCTTCTTTTTGCTTGAAGAATTGAAAATTATACTTGTCTTGAAATATTTCTTAGCTTATTTAGGCTCTAGTGTAAAGACTAACATTGTCTGCAGCAGCACTCAGTTAGGTAACCAGGTTATTATTAAGTAACTTGGACAACTTAGAATGGTTTTTTTTTTGTTTTCATCAACAAGATACACTGTAAAGCCTGAAAAACAAGTCAATACTGATAAAATATAATTATTATGTTCTCACCCTCTTATGTCCTTCAGCATTTTCTTGGTCTGAATCACTGTCCACATCTACAACAAAACAAAACATGTATTAGCTTAAAAATACTTTATTGCAACTCAATGTGCTAGACTGTATAACAGAAAACTGTAATTTCAGATAGAGAATGTAATTTCTGGAATTCAATATGATCATGTAAAATCTACAACGTCATGACAATAACTCTTTCAAGGAGTTCTGCACATATTTGAAATTATGGTTTGATTTGATTAATGACACTCCTATAAATGTTTATTTATTTTTTTCATCCTCATTGGACTTACTATTCAGAGTACATGACATTTAGATGGGAACAAAGCCCAGCATGCCATACAGACAGCAGACCCATAGTATACTCCATGGTCAGCGAGAACTTTATAAAGGTTCTCTTCAAATTGCAATCTTCTTTATAGATTGATCACCTTTAAAGAGTCAGCTTTCATGAGTCATTTAAATAACCCTGCATTGGATTGTGCATTAGGGTCCAGAAGTAAGCATTCAAAAATTCAAGGAATGCTCAGTATAAGTAAAACAATGTCTTTTACTTTACTTTACCAATTTAAGTCTTCACTCTCAACAGAGTATTGCAGACTTATTCTTTGTTCAAAAAACAAACCTCTAGCAGCAGTTTTAGTTTCCATGGCAGCTTTTGCAATATCCAAATCACCAAGAATCTTCAGTTCTAAATTAGAATCACATGCTTCCTTGTATGCTGTTGCTTGAACATACAAAATGTACAAAGGCTGTGGAAGATACCGTGCAGTTTCATGTTGTACACGCTTGGCATCCAGCGGCATGTTCATGTACTCTTGCACAGGCTGGGTAGCCTAAGGAAAGACAACAGCTTGACAAATTACAGCTGCATGAGAAAAGGTAGCCTGACAAAACATCTGGCCTTTTTGTCATGCTAGTACTGGTTTCCCCCGCAAAATAACGTCTAATGAAAAAGTGCAAAAAATCCATACTGTAGACGTCATTTCGCAGGGCAACCAGTGGTGGCATCACAAAATGTTGGCTGTTTTTACATGCAAGAGAAATGGAAGTTGCCGTGATGTGGAAGAGGAGTTATGTGAATTTTTTCTTCAGTGTATTGTTACATTTTCCAAATGCTATAGTCTTTCGTTTAATAATGTTAAAGGTAATGTTAAAGGAGCTGTGTCACAAAATCAATTGCAATTCCCAAGGTAGGAAATGCCACCATATTGAGTGAATCATGAAAATAACTCCTCAAAATATTACAACAAGGTATAAATAACATAGCATACAAAATAGAAGTCACAGATGGACAAATTTGAAGGAGATTAAACCAGATTGCAATTGCAGATTTTGAAAACCTTTCAGCCTAACAGTTTTTCAAAGTTCCTTTGGTGTTTATAATGTTTGACATGATGCTTGGGAGATATATTTGTGTGAAAAGAAGCTGTGATTCTGTCATTTGCCAGTTATTTCTTCACTTAAGTTATGAGTTCCATTGCAAATAGAGATGTATAATTAGAAATATTAAAAAATAAACTTAAGACAGCCGTGACACAACTCCTTTAACTTATCCTGTGATAACTTAAACTTCTGTTTTTACAGCACCTGAGATCACCAGAAGAAATGACCCGTTCTGTACAAAGACCCAGTTGAGGTGAGGTGAGGGATACGTCAACAATTCAGGTGGCCTGACACTCACCAAATTTGACTTTCCCTTAGATTAAGATAATAGCTTAAAATTTTACAACACAGCCCCACTACAGGTTACCTTTAATATATTTTCTAATCTTGGTTGCAAACTGTCCAAGAATTCTTTCTTGGTGTGGATCTCTTTTGATAACGATTCCTTTTTTTTGAGAAACTGTTCTTTTTGAGTTGCTAGTCTGCAAAGGAAATTGAAGTGAAAATTGGTACAGAGTTCAAAACAAGTTCAAAAATTAAAACAATTACCAGTAACGCTTTGCTCTAAAAATACCCATCTTTGCACCACAGATGACTTGTTTAAGTGACTAACCTTCAAAAAAATTGGGTATACTGCTTTACAAAATAAAAAATGCCCAGACAGTCAAGGCCCCTCCTTTTTTGTGTAGCAATAATTTAGCAATAACAATTATTGCTAAATTATTACTAATAATTAGCAATTATTGCTAATTATTAGCAATTATTGCCTGCTTTGTTTAAGACCTGAATTGCTGTTTGCAAAAGATGAAGAATAAGAAAGGTATGCAATTCCAGACCCTGGTTCCACAAGCTACAAAAACATACCCTATTCTAAAACCAAAACAGTTTATGTGAAACAGCAGCTCCAATTTGAGACAAAAAGGGGTCAAGAAACATACACTTTAATACCCCAAATACTCAGAGAAAATCATTTCATCAAAGTTTAACTTTTGCTTGTTTTTTCGTTTTACTTTTCGCAAATCTCGGTTTTAATTTCTAACAACATTCCATAACAATATAGAATACAGAAAGCTCTATCCTTAACATCCTTCAACAAACCTTAGTCATAAACACTTTCTAGTAGACAAAATACCTTTTTCTTTGCTCCAGTTCCCAGTCAAGTCTTGCTAACATCAGCTGATGAGCATCTGTCTTGGTAACTTCCTTCACAATTAAGTTTCGGAAAATTATTACACTTTTACATCTACACAAGTGCTCTTACCACTTTTAAGCAATATCTAACCTTGACTGTCAATCTTTTTTTTTTCAACACATGCTTAGTGAAAATATTGCAATAATTAATTTTCTGACGAAGTATGTAGACATTGTAATTTACAGATCAGATGAAAAGTTAATATAAAGGTTCAGTTGCTTTTCTTTTAAATCCTTCAACTTCAAAACCATGTTATGGTGAGACTATTTGTCACTATACACTAAGTCTGGACAAAATCTTGTGGTGTTACTACAGTATCAAATGCTTAGGGAGAAATCTCTTTGAAATGACATGCAACAAAAGTATCTTAAATTCCATAGGTGGAATCCAAGCCATATTTTACAACAAATGAATTTTGCTCCACCTAAAACACAAGATCAAAACTGTAGCACCTTTGTCAAAGTGCAAACACAGTCTTTAGTACTTCTTTCAAACTAGCCCTTACCATCTGTCATCCTACTACAAAGGAAGATGGAAAATGTGACTTTTTTCCCCAAAGAAAGTAACTAAGAAAAGGAATTCTTCCATATTTTTAACTTCAAACACAAATGTCTACTATCAAGGCCTGTGTAAAACACAGTCTGCTTTTTACGTGTTTTACGGAAACTGTTACATGCTTTTGCTTGTTTTCTTGCCATGGTCACTATTATAACAGGTCACTTACAGGTTTTGAAATTTCTTTAGGTGCATCCCTAAAAAACTCCTCTTCTGAAACCAGCTCTATTTCTTCATCCTTTGACCTTCATAACAAAGATTCATATAAGTCACATCAAAGCTTAAAGACCTTCTTCATCCTTCAATTGTTTTCTCTTTGTGAATAAATATTTATGGTCTAAGGGACAGATTTCCCAGCAAGGCTGATTTTTTCAGGCTTTTCTTTCGCAACTGCATAAGTTGCGACTTGAATTGCAATGATCTTCTTTGCATTTAGTTTCTAACTCTCGCTGTACACTTTACAGATCCTTTTATAAAAACAAGGCTCCTGACATGTATAAAAACACAAAAGTTAAATTATTCACTTACTTGAATTCAAGACATTTTGTTATTTCTTTTTTCAAGTGCATCACTTCGTACAGAAGGTTTTGTAACTGCAAGTGAAGACTGTCCACCTTTTGTTTAGCCTGAAAGAAGTGAAATTGTGAAAACGATGTTGAATCCTACAGCAATAATATTGTGCTTCCTAAGAGCTTTGAGAGACTGTAATAATTTGAAGCTGAAGATTTACATAGTTCTTACAGAAAGTAAAGTTAACAAAAAGTATACCCAACAGTGTTTCTGATTTGTCTGATGAAAAAGGGTGGCATAGTAAGGCACATGTTCTTTCTAAAAAGAGAAATTATATTGTTGCAGCCCTGACAGATCATTTCAACTCTTTGATTTAAGGAAAGTAGTCAAAATGTTTGTACACAGCTGGGTGCCACCTCTCTGTATTAAGATTAGTGGAGTCTTTCCAACCCATTAGACATGTTCTAGCAGGTATAACCTCCCAACTTTAGTCAAGGTGGGTTTTTCAGGGGTGCACTCACAATTAGACCTGTAAACAATTTCCCTTTTTGGAAAGGAAACATGTTTGACTAGGTCAATGTTTTGCTCAGACAAACCAGAAAAGTTCTTAGAAATACATCATTGACTTATACGTTTTATTTGTAAACTATTGAGCAAATCTTCAGCTTTAATTTAAAATGACACTCTTTAGTATTTGATTTGTCCAGTTATCATATATCCAATCACAGAAATGATTTCTTCTGACATTAGCCATAGTTACAGTCAAACTGGCAAAAACTTGAAAACTTGAAATATTTCAGGAATGTTTATTGTGTTAAGACTAATCACAGCAAAGATCAGGACAAGTGAACTAGCCTCAAAACCTCAAACTAGTTAATGTCCTTGCTTGAAGTTTTGTTTCTCATGCCCAATTGACTTTCTTCTTGCAACACAATAACATCTCAGAAATATTTCTGGTGTTCACAGTTTTCCCACTTTGACTTTGTCCAATGACCAAAAGTTATCTGAAGCTCTGAACATGTTCTGACCAGTGAATCACTGAATTGTACTATATGTCCTTACTACGTATACTTTATTGCATGTTTAGTACTATGGTCATACCTCTTGGGTTCTTTCTCTGGATTTCTTGCATCTCATGTGAGCAAGTCGGTTGAGCTTTTTCAAGATTGTAAACAGCAATGTACATCTGATTCTGGACTCATTTGTATCAGCATTCTGATTTTTAAAAAAGGGCAAGTAACCTTGTTTCCACCATAATACATTTCAACATTTTTTTTTACATTATTAGATCTGGAGTGGTGCAAGACAATTACCAGACAAAGTGACAAATATAGATGGAAGCATGATTTAACATTGCTTGTTGATACCCAGTCCATGGCACCTAGCAACAGATGATACTTACAGCGAATTTTTGCCCCTGAATCTCAGCTACAAGTTTCCTGATCTCCTCCGTTCCTTTCTCGAACGACTTAACATCACTTTCAGCAGTTCTTTTTTCCACTTCCACTTCTTCCAGGTTGGCGGCATTTTGGGCATCTGAAGATTTAGAAGGACCGTCTTTTATCGAAGAAGAGTTGGAACTGGTTGAAGATTTGACCGTTTTCTTTTCCTGTGGAGGACTACCTGCATCCGAAGGCGTACGCGTTCTCCTTCGCTTCATACTTGACACTGAATATTGGCAATCAAACAGGTAACAGTTGAAAAGGAACCAAGAAATTTCACTTATAAACACACGCTCATTGAAGCCGATTCGGCCGCCATTTTTTCATTTGCAAACACGCATAATTTTATTATCGTCACCGCTGACTAGCACTGCTTGGTTAGAAGTACCTAACTGACCATATTTGGTCAAATTGGAGGTGTTGATGCTTATTATAGGATGGCGGGAAAAACATGACATCATTTATTTTCATTTCTTGTTTCTGTTGACGTCCACACCTACCGTTGAAATTTGGACGAGGTACGGCGCGATAGAATAATAATTTACGATTTATTCATGCATGAATCATCCTGAAATTACCGTTCCCATAGAGTCAGAGACCTAAAGCGTTGTTTTGGTTATTTCTTCGTTGATGCATTTCTCCGTTGCCTGAGTTTGTCTTAAGATATTCCAGCTAAGCGGAAGACATCTTGGAGCTGAGTTCGTTCTGCAACACGCAGACTATAAGTTCTCGAAGCATTTGCCTGGAGTTATAGTTGGAATGGCTACAGTGAGTAAAAAGCTTTAAAACGTGTCAATTGTAGACTAAATTATCAAATCATTTCTGAAGCACTAAAGCAGTACTTGAAAATTGTGTAGGAGGTTGATCACGAACAGCCATCCAGTTTGGTGTATGTACAAGCAAGTGAACTCTTCCCAAAGAAGACGCTCGTTTCAGGTTTGTCCAAGATTTCATGCTGTGCCATTATATTCAATGATGCCAACAGAGTTTATCGTAGCTTCAAGTTGACGGTTTTACGAGTTGGGACAACAACAGTAAGCTTATATTTACATCCCACACTTGAGAAATTTGCATTTCAAGAAAGCTAATAATATAAGACGAAAAAGAAAGAAAAATGAAGCTACAGAGGGTAAGACATTATCATTAAGGGATGCCTAGGAACCAAATGAACAGGTGGGTTTGCGTATGGTCCTATGTAGAGCTTGCGTTTAAATCGAATACCAACTTTTTTATTTAATGCTCTTCATATAATAGCACGTTATGAACGTCAAATCGCACTTGGCATTTCCGTCTAGACTTCCCAATCAACGGGATAAAATTGCGAACTTTCATTTGTCGACCTTTTCTTGGATGTTTAGTAAAGGTATCAATTGGATCTTTTTGCAGCGTTCTACTCACCCAGAAGGTTAAAACAGCTGGAAATCGTCAAAAACTTTTTTATGAATTTCACGTCGATACATAATCCGGTAGCTCAAATGATCCTCATCTATTATGATTGTTGACAGTAGTTTACAAATTTATGAGAAATCTTGCGATGTATATTTAATCAGCTTTTTCTGTGTCGCATTTCAATTGAAGGTTTTAAAGCAAAATAAATTTTGATGTATATATATATATTCTTTTTTGTCAGCTTCTTGATTTTTATTTTGTTGTATTTTACTCAGCCTTACGGATTTTAACCAGTTTATGTTTTTATCAGATTAATGCCAGACGTAAAAATATCATCAATTGGTTTTCTGCATTCTGAAGGGCAACGGCATTATAACAGAGAAATTTAGAGTCACGTTCAGGCAAATGGTACCATGTGTCCCCTTACTTATCTTTTACTGTTCATTATTATTCATTCCAAATATTTCCCCGATTCTGATTGGCTAAAAGCACGGGCATAATTCGTCATAACCAGTTTCTGATGACCAAATTTGGAAGAATTTTGTGTTTAACGAGGAAATGATGTCAAAAATGGAGCATTCGTGCAGGTTAAGGCACCGTTAACCGAGAAGACCTGGGAACGAGGTTGAGTTGTTTTGGTTGTGAACGAAAAATGGCGGATGTTTCAAGAGTAAGAACTAGGCGAAAAAATAGCTAAAAACATGGCAAGAACAGCAAGAAGGCAACTCGAAGGGTGACATCTGCTATTTGGAGAATATTTGCAGAGCTGGACAAACCTAAAAATGCACTATCGAAGATGAACTTAACATCGATGGATAGATGTAGGTAAGCATGTTAAACTAGGAATTATTTTGAATGAATAATAAAACAATGATTGAATTTGGCTTTCGTATCATATGAAGAATTGTGGAGATCTCGGGGTGTTGTCCATCGAGGCCGTAACACCCTCCTCAATCACCATAATTCTTCATAAGATACTCAGCCTCTTTCATTAATTGTTAATTAATTCTCCAAAAAAGTTAGTAAAATAACGCTTGTTAGTTTTGTCCATAAGAATAGTTTTGCTATTATCTGCTTATTTTCAATTATTGTGCTAAACTCTCAACTTGAATGTGACATTTGCCATAAACGTAACTCTAAATCTCTCCAATGTGTCTTGCATGTTAACCACTACCTTCCACTTGAATTGTCCAGTGAGTCCTGAATGTTTATCTTTTTATGATCCTTTTTTTAGATGACAATGCTACTCAGGTGCCATTTCCAGAGCTAAATGGAGAAAGTGTTCAATACCTGGAGAGAACATCTGATGCTGTCCTTGCCCTTTCCAATTTCCGTCTTTTTATTCGCTTCAAAGACTCTTTTGTCAATGTGAGTTGGAATTTTGCAGAATTCAAAAAAACTGCCAATTACCCTGACTCTGAAATTTAGTGATTTAGAGATTTGAAAATGGAGTAAATCAAGTTCCAGTTCTGTTTGCACTGGTATAACAACCCAAACTAACTGGAACCTTAATTGGCTCAGTTTCCTTATTCTTAATACTGAACTTAAGCGTCATTCAGCATTAAGCACAGGGTGGGCATTTTGCAACAAACATTTGCCATTCTTAATGTTTTACTGCAGTTCATATTTTTTGTTTTAAAATATTTAAACCAGTTTAGTTTTTTCCTTTTCATTTACCTACAAATCTAAGATTATGTTCATGAAGGTGGCCAAGTTAAAGACAAAAAAGATAAAACTACTTTGATTGTTTTCAATTAGAATGTAATCGTCACCAAAACCCTTTGATTAATGCCTTAGAAAAATTTCGGTTGTCTCACTTCGCCATTTCAAGAAAAGCTGAAAAAGGTGGTGAAAGAGCTTGACAACACATACAGCTCAACACATTCTTCTTGAAGACTCAGATAAGGGGTTGATATTGAATATTTCTACAAAATGATACATAACAACAGGGGTTTCATTAAGGTTTTGAACAGGAGGGGAACTGGCTTTGACACCGGGACAAAGAATAGGCCTTTTGCATTAGTTGATCATGTGATTAACTTTCTGTAAACACAGAAACAGTTCGCTTTTGAAAAATTTTGTTAGCACAAGCTGAAAGAGCAAATTAAAATTAGGCAAATTGTAAATTTTCAGTCTTCTATCTCAAGAGTAGCGATTGCAACAGCTGCCGAAATTTAGAAGGATTTGTATGGGAAAAACAACTCTTGCCACCCAGTAAGGCTTTAATGGTTTTTCATACAAATCCTTGTAAATTTTGAAATTTTCAAACTGTCGTTAAATCTTTCCTTAAGCATCATTACTTGGCTCAAATCTCATTTTTATTCATGACAGGCAATTTGAGCCCTTAAATGCATAAGGGAAAGATTTAATGAGAGTTTAAAAATTTAAAAATTTACAAGGAATTGTATGGAAAACCACTCAAGCGTAACCTGGTGATGAGTTGTTTTCGGCAGCCTTTACAATCGCTTCTTTCGAGATATATGGCTGAAAATTTACAGGTTACCTAGTTTTAATATGCTCTTTCAGTTCGTGTTAACAAAATTTTCCAAGCGAACTATTTCCGTGTTTACAGAAAGTTGATCACGTGACTAACTATTGCAAAAGGCCCATTGGCAAGGCCTGGAGGACCTTGCCCCTATAGGGGTGGTCTGGGAGCATGCTTCCCCAGAAAAGTTTTAAATTCTATAGTTGCAGAAATGTGGTTTCCTGCATTCTGAAGCTGCAGACAAAAAAGATAACTATTCTAGACAATTTAATAGTGATTTGATACCAATATCCACCACACAAATAATTTGGTTCGGACACGTGCTTGCAACACTGAGACATTTCAGATGGTCTTTTATGGAGCACAGTTCTTTTTGCATTTTTTCAATGGATTATGGGGGATGCAAAGTTGCATTCACAGCCAGTTAATTTGCTTGGTGCCTGGCCCTTAATGAAACCCCTGAACAAAAAATTACTATATTTTCACAACATTAAGTGCAAAGTCAATGTACTTTTTGAGTTTAATGTCAAGAGGGCACCATTTGCAGCAAGTAGTATTTCAAACATACTTTTGAATTATTAGCTCCCTAAGAGATCAGAGCAGTATAAACTTTCATCTATTATAATAGGGTTTTCCTGCATTTCTGTGAACAAAGCCCCTAACTAGAGTCTAATGTTCACAAAATACAGTGATTTGTTTGAGGTTGTCCAGTGAAATCTCGACCTTGTTTCATTGTGTGTGTTCACTGGAGCGGAATGTGGGAAAGGTCTATTGCCCTTGATTGGGGACATGACAGTTTGCGTCATCACAAATCTATTGTTTTCTAAATAGAAAAGGGCAATTTTGGACTGAATCTATTTTTGATAATGGTAGAATAGGTAGAGCGGCAGAAAAACTCCACTAACATTTTTTATCTTGACATTTTTTGTGCGAGTTATTATGTAGGAAAATGCCTCAATAGAATATAAAAACTTCAACATATGATATGCTGTTTCTTTAGATACCTTTGCGTTTGATAGAGTGCGTGGAAATGAAAGATCTTGTTCTGATGGACATTAACTGTAAAGATGCCAGGTCATTTAGGTTAGTTACTGGAAAACTCTTTAGTAAGATTTTTGCAGAGGATAAAAACCATTTTGCACAGGGGTTCTTTGCAACAGGCATGAAGAAAAGTATGTATTCATTATATCTTTTGTCTCAGTTGTAACAATTATTTATACTTTACTTGTAATTTTTTATCACTTTGTTGTTGTTCACACTCGGTGCTTCTTTCATGTCTTTCAGGATTGTATTTGATAACAATGAGCAGTGCCTGAATTGTTCGTACCATCTAACCCAGTGCATCTCTCCTTTGTCCCGTATTGAAGATCTTTTTGCCTTTGCATTTTATGCGTGGTGCACAGATGGCAAGCAGTCAAACTCAGCAGAGGAGGAAGAGTTTACTAGCTTCTGTCAGAGAGGTAGATTTATTCAAATAATTGATGTTTTAGTAGGTGAACAAACTCTATGCTATGCTAAGTACATTGGTAAAGTGTAGTGTGGCTGTAGAGTGAATCAGGGTTTGAGCTAGGATTTGATCACTGGGGGACAATTTGTCCCCTTAGCTAAAATTTTGGGGGACATTTTCAGTTTTAGGGGGACAGAAATTTGTACACCCTTCTGCTGATGCAAAGGGGTTTGTCTTCTTAGATTTCCGACAAAAATAGCAGAACATCGCCTCCTTTTCATAGTGCAACCACGTGTGATCTCGTGATTTTTTCGGTTTCCTTCGATCCTCATCCGTTTCTTCCTGATTAATACACTGTTCTTCTTCTGTATCATTTTCTCTGATTCACTCTGGCTTTGATTTGGAGCGGAAAAGCTTCCTACTGTTCGAACACGTTTTCGATTTGACATGTTAACGATTGCCAGGCGCGTTCACCACGCTTGGTTGAGCATGAGACGTACGTGTTCAGTAGAGCGTGACTGAAACGCGACTTAAGAATGAACTTTAAAGGAGCTGTGTCACGAAATTCAGCCAAATTACGAAATTACAAAATAAATGCCTGTTATTTTAAGAGAAACATAAAATAACCGCTGAAAACTTTGAAAGGAAGGTTAAAATAACATAACAGAAAAAAAAGATTTCATGGATGGGGAAAACTGAAGAAGATTGAAACGGATTGAAATTACGATTTTTGAAAACTGTGCAGCCTAACAGTTTTTCAAAGTTGATCCCTTCTGCTTCAAAAATATGCTCAGGAGACATATTTGTTTGTCTCAGATCTCTGATTTTGTCATTTACATGTAATTTCTCTGCTTACTTTAAGTTCCACAGCGATTGAGGGCAAGTAATTGGCAAAATTAAACAAAATGAACGGGACTGCCGTGACACAGCCCCTTTAAACGTGCAATAAAATATACTTTCCATGTTCTGTTTTAGCTTGAAATTTCGGTACTGAAATAAATCTCTTCGTGTGTGCTTCCTTTCGAGTTTTTTTCCCTAAATTTTGAAGGGGACAAATTGTCCCCTTGGCCGTTTTTTTAAGGGACAATTTCAATTGCAGTGCGGGAATGGCGCAATGGCGCAGCCTGGCTCAAACCCTGGTGAATATTGTCAAAAGGGGATTGGTTTTATGAGTGAGAGCCAAAGGCATTATCTATAATAGACATATTAGAAGGCTGTTAACATTCTATTCAAAATCTAATTGTTTAAACAGTACACGGCACATACCGGGGTCTGACTTTGTCTAAAAGCAGTTAATTTTTTTTTTAGATGCAGAGCAGTATTCTTTCATGTCTGAAGTTAGGCGAATGGGTTTTGATAATCTTCGTGATGCCTGGCGGATCACTGACCTCAACAGTAACTTTGAGTATGTACCTTTGCATTATAACTGTGTAACAATATTTGTTATGAAGGTAAGACTGATTTAGTGTGATAAAAAACCTTTGTCAATTAGATTGTGCTGTACATATCCTAAGCTTCACATCGTACCAGCCAAGATTACAGACAAGGAAATGGAGGCTGTTGGTAAATTCAGGACTTCAGGACGATTTCCATCTGTAGTTTGGAGGTAAAGTTTGAATTCAACTGATCTCTTCTGTATACCAGGGTTTGTGCAGTTCATGGAAACCTGAAAAGTCATGAATTTTAAGAATATCATTTTCCACCCTTGAAAGGGATGGAAAATTTAAGTTATGTTTGGTAGATAAGTTACTGCAGGTGTCAAAGTAAGGGCAATGTTATCTAGAGACAAGTTATTAATCAGTGTGAGCGACTATTATTCGCTGTAAATAGTGAACTTACCAGTTGTGATTTTGGTGCAGGCACATGACCAATGGAGCAGTGATTGCTCGCTGTAGCCAGCCTGAAGTGGGATGGTTTGGCTGGCGAAGTCCAGAAGATGAAGCACTCCTTCATGCAATAGGAGCAGCATGTGCTATGGACTCTGCAGCATCATCCCTTAAAAAACAACTTCTGAAGGAGCTAGGCAAGACAAACCTTCTGAGCAATGGCCACATAGATGGCATATGTAATGGAGATATGACTGGCAATGGCGACGATGATTCTGTTAGGGACAATAAGGTTACATGTGAGAGTGAAGTTGCAGAACAGCCCAAGGTTCTGATTGTGGATGCCAGGGCTTACTCTGCTGCTGTGGTCAATAGGGCAAAAGGTGGTGGCTGTGAATGTGAGGGTGAGTTGACTTCCTTGGTGTACCCTGTTTACTTAGTTACTCTACTGACTGGCTTATTTTATTGCCTTCTAACCGACTCTCTTATTGATTAAGAAGGTATTGTTATTTTCATTTGAAACTTCAAGTGAGGATTATCACACATACTTGATTTTGACTGCAAATGCTTACACCTTCCAATTTCATATTAACCTCATCATCGATAGATGATCTTGGGAGCTGGTGGCTAAAGGTTGGTGTAACCTACTAGGCACAGGAAGGAGGTATCCATGGCAACTCTGCTAGTAGGTGACCAAGGCCACCGCCTCACTGAACCCTTTTGAAGAATACTTACCAGTGAAACCTTATACCTTCTTGAGGGAGTGGGGAAATGGAAAGCAGGCTTGAAAATTAGCAAGCAAAATGACCTTGTACAAAAAGGCCACCAATTGAATGCTGGCTCTGAACGGTGTTGAGGGGCAGTTGCTGACCAGCATTGTTTCAATTTCAACCTTACCTAAATTTTATTATGCCATATTTTATTTAAATAGTAATTTATATGTTAAGATTTTACTTTTACTTTATTCTGTTGCTATGGTAACATATAAACTCCAAAACATGTTCACCAACAAATGGCCATTTTTTTAATGCAAGTATTGATGCATTAACTGATAAGGAGTTGCAGTATCAATCTTTTAAAGTAGAAGTACGCAAACATTTTGGTAACTGCTGTGAGTCACCTAGTGAACTCGTTGTCCTGACTATTAAATGTTGTGGCTGGATGGGTGTAGTGGCTGTCTGTTTGAGGACACCATACAGTACATGTATTAAGTAAATATTCCTCATTTTTTTAACACTCTTCCCAGTATTTTGGCTCAACATTCTTTTTTGTGACTATTTTTAATGGTGAGTTGATACTAGGTTCTTTTTTTGTTTATCAGAGTATTATCCAGGCTGTGAGGTACTGTTCATGAACTTAGCAAATATTCATACGATAAGGAAAAGTTTCCAGAGTCTGAGAACATTGTGCCTTGGCCCAAGAGATTCTCCCAAGTAAGTGATTTCTATGACACTTGATGCCATAAGGACCAAAACTAAATGCAATTGGGTGATAGTGCAGCTTTTTATGGGATGTATTCCCTGACTATGAAACCCATATTATGTAGAATAACATGTTAATTATGGGCCAGTTTCTTAAACATCCAGACAACTATTTATGCTCAAAACTTTGTCACGTTTGTGTTGTGTTAAAAATTCTTCATTGGTTGATTTTGTATTTTCTAAGTTTCTCAAGTTTCCATCTGTACCCGAGCAGGCCCCTTTATGCAAAATCCATTGATTATTTTAAGGCTTTGCTTCCTAACTACAGTCGAACCTGTGCTAAGCAGTCACCCTTGGGGAATGGCTAAGTGACTGTAGGACTTCGCAAATGGTGATTGTGACCACTTAATAGAGGTTGAAAATGCAATACATCAAGGGAAGTAATTTTCGGGACTTTGAAAACTGACCTCTTGATAGAAGGTGACCGCTTAATAGGGTGCTGCTTAATACAGATTTGACTGTATCACATGCTTTCTTTTGTATTCATGCTAGTTGGTGGTCAAGCTTGGAAAAGACGAACTGGCTTCATCATATTTCTTTGTTGATGAAAGCAACCAACGTTGTGGTGAATGCCATCGACAAGGAACAGAGGCCTGTTGTAGTGCATTGCAGTGACGGCTGGGACAGAACAACCCAGTTAGTTGCTCTGGCAGAATTGATGCTTGACCCTTACTACAGAACAATTGAGGTGAGAAAGCTTAAACCTTTTCTTTGTGGGAATTTGTATCCTATCATTTGGTTGGTAATAATCCTTAGCTCAAATTACTTTAGGAAAGTTGTTATCACAGGGTAAGATGAAAATGAAAAAAACAGCTTGCCCTTCACTGCTACTTTAGTTCACTAGCTGGGAGCTCTGAGGAGTGGAAACGGCAGATGGCAGAAATTGCCGTTCACGGAAAAACAAACTTCTCAGAATAATTAATAAAATTAATACGGTCATAAATAACAAGATAGATCCTAACTGTTTTTTTTAACATGATACAATGAAAACAAACAGTGATTTTACAGCCCTATAACAGTAGAAGAGTGAGAGCAAATTTACAGCCACTAGCGCTTAATAGTTACTTAAATGTATAATTCAATTCAATTTCTTTAGTTTGCCATGGTTGATTGACCACATCATGTGGTGTTTTTGTAAATCTCAGCACAGAATTGTCCTTGTTTACATACAACATTTGTTCAATTTATTCAGCCATAAAATTAACAACTAAGTTATACAAAAGTTAACACAGTATTTTCATTTGCTCCTTTGTAAAAGTTCAACTGAATATTTTCATTAGATCTGTAATACAAGGCTGTGCTCTAAGAAAAAAATGAAGGGAGCCTAGTGCCCTGAACCTGTGAAATCCAGGGTGCCCAGCATAGAATTTCTGTGAAAAGCTGAGATTTCCTAGTCACCCAAGAGCAAAAGCAAGGTGCCAGGGGCTGAGATTTACAATGTGTTGCCTATGAATGCTATTCTAAATGCCAGCCCATTCAGGTCAGATATACAGTCACTACTGTACAGGTGGTGTTAGGAACAAACAATGCTTCATACTGTTGTTATCCTGTTGCTGAACAGTTTCTCTTTTCAGCTATCAAGTACACAAGGAAAAAGCTGATGTAATTGAATTTTATAATAATTTATGAACTTTCAAAATATTATTTTAAGTATTCCCAAACTGTTGTAATGTTTCCCTCGCCAGGGATTCCAAGTATTGGTTACTCGTGAATGGTTGGAGTTTGGTCATCGTTTTGCAGACAGGTGTGGTCATGGGCACAATCAGGATGAGAACCAGAGGTGTCCAGTGTTCCTTCAATGGTTGGACTGTGTTCATCAACTCACCAGGCAGTTTCCCTGCTCATTTGAGTTCAATGAATCATTTTTGGTAAGATTTTGTGTGTGTGTATTGTTTCAAGAAAAGGTCACTTGACATGCACTGGACATTGTGTTTTCAGTTCTTCAAGTGTGTGTGTGTGTTTTCTGCCCTTAGGCAGGTCCTTCCTTATAGTATTCAAGGGTCACCATCCTTCACTTTATCAAGCATTCCCATTCTAGGTCTTGCAAGTGGCCTCATTCCTATTTTTTCCCCTCATATATAACTGATGGGATTAGATCACCATGCTGTGGGGTATGACCAAGCCAGACTCTCTGTCTTCTGTTGATAACAGATATGAAGGCCCTCTCCTCACCAAAACACCTCAATACTTCTTCATTCCAACTTTGTCAGATCAAGATATGTTTAAGACCTTCCTCCAAAGCCACATCTCACAACTCTCCAGCCTTCAAACATCCTTGCAATGAAAATAGCTGTTATACACCTTAGGAAATTTTTGTGTGACATATTATTGAGGTGCCACAAGATTTTTGGTATTTTCAAACCCATGCAATACCCTTTGAAGACAAATACAGGTTTATAGAGAAATCACAGCACTTGTACCAGTAATATAATTCTGCAAAGTAGATCCAAGGGGGTAGTCCTCCTGGGAATTGGAAAAGTGTCACCCATCTTCAGGCCTTTCCTATTACTGGTTTCTAAATCTTGACATGACTGCATAAGAGGTCTTTGGGTCTCCTTCCTTGAGTGCAACTTAAGAAATGTCTTTGACTTAGATGCCTCAGACTCTTGCCCTTTTTTCGCTTCTGTTTGAGTCCTCTTGAAAGTTAACTTCTCTTTTTATTGAACAGGTAAAATTGGCACAGCATGCCTATTCCTGTCTCTTTGGTACATTCCTCTGCAACAGTGAAAGTGAGCGTCTGAAGGCAAATATCTTTAAACGTACCTTCTCGCTTTGGTCATTATTGAAGCTGAAAAATAAAGAGTTCAAGAATTTTCTGTACTCTTCTTCTTCTGAGCAGGTAACATTTTGACACAGTTTATGTAGGTACAGTTGTAATCTCATCCTAGTATTGTCTCTGAGCTTACAAGAGTTCCTAAACTGCTTGATCAGTTTGGTAAGAAATAATGGTGTAAATTCCCACTAGTCATCTAGATTATTAACTGGTGGATGTCCGAAGGGCATTTTCAAGTTATCACTTTGGGGTTGAGATATGCAAAGGAGTCACTCACTGACTCGAGATAGATGATCATTGGCTTGTTCCAAAGTTGCCTGGTATGAAAACACCATTTTGTTGTTGTTACCAAAGTGTACTTTGGGCAACTTAAGGCATGCATTCATTCACGCCATGTCGTGATCAAGAGAACCCTAGATATGAGGTTGGAATATGAACTCATGAAAACACAAAATGTGTTTTGATAGGTACATTGATAGATTTTCTTCTTTAAGTCATTTCAACTTAACATAAATATTTTATTTTATCGCATTCATGACTTCTCTATTTTCTAGACAATGCATCCACAAGTTCCCGATAGTTTTTACTTTGATTTTGAACCTCTGGCTGCACTGATAACACAACCAAATTCTAATAATATTATTACATTTTTATGTTGATATTGAGGTTTATATCTTTGGTTTAAGGTTTTACAAGCCTCCTGTCAACCTCGTTGTCTCCAGCTGTGGTCAGCCGTATATCTTGCCAACCCTACTCCTTATTCTGAGACGGTGTTGGAGAATGGAGACACTAGTGATTATGGTGACTCAGTAAGCAGTGCTTGTGTCACTCCTGTCTCTCCTGTTTTCCCAAGTGTTAACAGCAGCATTGAGCAAGAGGAAGAAGCTCTGCAGACGTGCCATGTTACAGCATCTAAATCTGATGGAAATCTGATGTGCAAAGACTGTTTAAAACATCAACAAGCGCTTGACGACAATAGGAAACAATTATTTGATAGTTTAGATAGGAATTTGAAATCAAAGAGCTGCCCTGAATGTAGGACTGATATTTCTGATAATGACATACCCCAAAGCACACCCATAGCAAAGGACGCTGTTGCTCTTGAGTCAAAGAGTGTGTATGTTAGTGCTCAATCAGACTCCTGTTTGAGAAGTGTTGGTGATGTAGAAAGCAGTATGTCTAGTAGCACACAAACTGTTATTCTAGATTCAACTGAAGGCGATTCTGCCATTGAAAATGGACTGGAATCTTCTGAAAAGACCTCCTCTGAAGGTTTAACAGAGGAGACTCAACAAATGACTTCTGTGGTGGAAGAACAATCTTCACTGCAAGAGGAAGGTTTGCAAGAAAGTAGTGATGTAGGGCAATGCATGGTTGAAACAGTGCATGGCTCTTCATTTAGTAAAGGAATACCTTCGGATGAAGAGGTAACAGAATGTTCAGAAAACTCTCAAGGGACACCAGCTAAATCTTCAAGCAACCTAACTCTTACAGGCAGTACCCATGAGGCAACACCAAGTACATCAACATTGAGACCAAACTCATCAGAATTCTTCACTAGGTACCTAGACATAGATGGATTGACATATGTTTCTGATCCTGTCCAAGAGAGACTGCAGCAGATTGAAATGGCACACCAAGCTAAAGTGGAAGCACTGCAAAGACAGCTGTTGGATACACAAAGGAGAAGAATGACGTCCACAGAGGGAGGGACAGTTGGAAGAACAAGTGATCTTGCCGATGAAGTGGTATGTAGCATGTGATAGAAAAGGAAGAAGGGTAAAAAAGGAAATTGAATACAAAGTCAGTTAACTGAGAGTCATTACAGGGAAATCTCAAACCAAGGCCTTAATGTATTGACTGAGTGATAGCGACTGAGATTTCCTTGTAATGACTGAACAGACGAGGTTATAAAGTTAATAATTTATTTGGCCTTTTCAGTATAGACCTGAGCCTGCGATCAATATTTATTAAAATCAACAACTGGTCAGCGGATAACTTTAAAAAACGTATGACCTCAATGAGTTAACCATAGCAAGAAACAGTGATAAGCATAACTAGTTAGAGGCAAACCAATCAGCTACTGACACCCATGATGACAGGGCCATCAAAAACAATCTTGGCTGATGGCTAAACTACTTGGCGATGCTGTCTTGTAAAACCACTGGGCGAAAAAATGGATTTGCACAAATATGCTCTTTGCAAATATGTCACAAGGGGTGAATAAGGGGCAATGATGGCAAATGCCATGTTTGCATATCAAAAAACGGGGTGTAAATAACTAGGCACCATCTTTGCCCAGATTTACTCCTCAGTTTTCACAATGTTCTGACACATTTGCAGCAAACAAATTTGTGTAAATCCATTTTTTCCATCCAGTGAACAAGCAAGAAATAATATTATGTTATTTCGTTGTTTTTCACCACCAGTGTTCATTACCAGAATCAAGTGTAAGTGGAGAACAGCCGCCTCTGTCACTTGGCAGTGGTGATGAAGGGAGCTGGATTCAAGTGGAAGAGAGTGAGGCACAGCCTACTCTGTGGGTCCCAGATCATGCTGCAACTAACTGTGCAAAATGTGATACACAGTTCTGGATTGCTAATAGAAAACATCATTGCAGGTAGTTATTGTCCCAATATTAATTGAAATATTTTGTTATTCACCTGAAAATTACAATAATAATAGTCTCCAATAATTGTTGTGAGTCATCATTACTTATGACAAGCTCAAAAGTCATCTGAGACTAATAAACAGCAATTATTGGATGATGCTGAGTATGATTGCAAAGGAGTTATCGGCCAGGGCAGATAACACTCTCTGAGGTCTGCATAATTCTTCATATCATACACGTCAACTATAGCAACAGTACTGCTTTCAGTCTGCATGATTATGCTCTGGGCCCAGTTGTTTGAAGGGCGCTTAGTGATAACCCGGGGTTAAATTTTAATCTATTCAAAAGTCTAATCATCAAATTGTAGACAAGAAGAATTACACCGAATTTGCTTTTTATTCTTTCATCTCTGAAATCACATTTCGCACTATCCCTCGGGTTATCTTAACCCAGCTTTGTACAACCCGGCCCTGAACATTATAATTATAGTCATAATATAGTCATAGTAACTCACTAATTCAGAAGGCCTTATACTCTGCATAACTATTTATATTAGTGACATTTGTTAAATCTCAGATTACCTTTTTCCAATGATCCCTTCTTGTGTTCATCGGAAACCTGTACCTTTTTACTTTAGCGAGTTTCAAAAGCCATCACTAATACGTGCCACCCTTTTTGATGGCTACTTGAACAGCAGCTAACATGTATTTTTTTCCCCCACAAATTTTGTCTAGGAATTGTGGGCTGGTTTTCTGTGGAACCTGTTCCGAAAAGAGATTACCGTTGCCTGAAGAACAGCTGTATGATCCAGTTAGAGTTTGCTTAGCGTGCTTTGAAAAACTAGTCACTCTTCAAGAACGTGAGAATGAGAAAACGGTGAATGAAGGCACAATTAAGTAGCAGACTTGTGACCAATTCAAAGGCGCACATCTCCTCGCAGACCACCTTAATCACTTGAATTGCTAGGAATTAATACCAAGTGGTTTGAAAGTATTTTTATATTCTATGCTGCCTCAAAATTGTAAAGCAAAAACAATGTTTTCATCCTGACAAGTCATATATTATCATCAAAGTTGCAGTGGTATTTTTCCAACATATTTTTGTGTCACTTGTATTTTTCAACCTTTTTATAATTTTTGTTCTGGCGTATAAACGTGACTTTCTTGCATTTTTAATTTCTTCCAGCTGCCTTTCAAATGATTAAGGTGGTCTCTGTCTTTATTTGTAGTAGCATTAGACTATTAGGGCTCCTAGAATGAGGTTAAAATGTTTAGTGTATAATTAGTGACGGTTAAACAAATTTCTACATTGGTCAAGTATTCCCTCGAAATTATGTAAATATGCAAAACATTTTGTTGAAAACTAAACCTAAAAATAATGTTGTTTCTTCTAAGTATTTTTGTTTGTATTTTATTTTGACTTATTGATTTGAATCATCAATTAATTATGAGGTTACCAAACGAAACGACAACAAAAAAAAACATTATCTTGACAACGTTTTGGTATTGTGATAAAAAATAGAAATCGCATTTTCATCTTTAGGTTGTTATAATTTTGCATGCACAAAAAATACGTTTCTTTCCATTACGCAGAGAGTTAAACTATTAGCAACCTTTGTTTCCAAAACTCATAGTATGTTCTAGCTTAAGAGTTTGTCTATGAGCCAAACCCTGAAGAGGAAATGTGTAGAGAAGGTCCTAGTAGTAGTGAAGTTCAAAAGCTGGATAGTTCTTTACACCGAATAAATCATTATCCAGTAGATATAGATATTATAGAAAACAACTGCGTCATCCTCTGGACAGAGATTTATCCAGTGGATAGTGCCATGCACCTTATGAGCAAGTTGGACCAGTACTTTAATTTAATACTGTTGACTAAGATGTACTTTTCAGTCTGGGGATTGAATCCTTAAGTGTGATCATTGAAATGAAAGCAACTGATCAGCACTTTCCTCTGGTACTGTTTATTGCGCTGCACCAAAGATTCAAAAAAACATTAACTTAGAGGGGTTTAACTCCATAATTCTTTTATGCGACAGGAGTTAAGGATGGTTCGTTGAATATAAAATTATGTCAATTTTGGGAGGAAACATACTAGAGAACAGTTACCCAATCAAAACTGGTTTGTCAGGCACTCGCTGGTGACTCCTATAGACACTTGTGCGTGTTTTCGCAGTACGCTTCTTGCTGCCTAGCATTTCCTCCTGTCGAATAACTCATTGTGATCTCCAGCTGATCTCACGTGATGATATGATTTGTACTTCTCAGAGCGACCTTTTAAAATTGGTTTTGACTAGCTTAGCTCATGTCTACTTTATCATGTTTTCCCCAATTAGAATCAGATTCATTTCCATTGCAGATTTGTCGCTGCCAGATGACGCCGGGAAATTTTCCCAGTTTTGATTGGTTTCTGGATTAATGATAAGAGAACCTGGAATTCTCGCATAATAATGAATGGAAAAGCCACGTTCACTTTACTTTTCCAATCGTACATTGTAGAATTAATCAATGTGAATGTTCCTATCTTAGTTGTAATAAAAATTTACGTTCAACGTGTACTGGATTACGTTGTCATTATAGCTGCGAGGTTTTGAAAGTTAGACAAAATGTTTGATTCTGTGTTTCCATGTGTTTGCTGAGCAGAAACGGGTTTGGCTTGTTTTCTGGTTTGCCATTACGAAGGCCAAAAGAATGAATTACGTGGATATGATGCGTTAAAAACAATGAAAAACAGGATACACGGGTTTTAGTTTTGGTACAAATTTTTGACAGTGAAGAATATTAAGCGTTGTACGCAGAGAGGAATGCGTTGGAGGGGCAACAAAAATGAGCTCTTAAACCGGCATTTGCAGCTTGGTCGCATGTGTAATATGGTTTTAGAGGATGACTCGATCATTGCATGGCAGCGTTATGTCGGTTGTATCAGTCATGCGTAGTTTCTGGACACGTTTCAGGCCTTGAGGGATATGGTACTCCTTGTCGAATTATACGGCTATAGATAGGAAATGCAGCGAAGATTTTCGGAGGGGGGGAGAGATAGATTCCGGCTTCAGTTAAAAATGCATGCCGTTTATTCAGTTGCTTATTATGAGAAGGTGCTGGTGATATGAAGTAATAAAAGTCCCCGAGCCCATGGATCCTCATGGCAAGGAGAACGTGCAACAACCGTGACAAAAAACTATTGGCCACTTCCACATCTCCCACAATGCACCTTATTTGCCCCTCAAAATTTTGCATAACCTTTGTTTTTTCATTTCTCCTGGGTATTGCAGCCGTCCCAAGAGATATCGAAAACAGTGCTTATGCAAAATTTTGGGGGCAAATAAGTAAGAGATAAAGCCCGAGAACGGAGGTATTAAGCCATATACAGCCCGAGGGCCGTAGGCCAGAGGGATGACGGCCCTCGGGATGTATATGGATTAATACCGACGTTCGAGGGGTTTATCTAACTTAGACCCTGTTTACATGGAGTGGGGGAGCCCCGGTCTAGTGGGGTAGGTTTCTTTTGTTTTGTGTCCCCCAGAGCGTGAAAACAAAAGAAACCAACCCCACTAGACCGGGGTCCCCCACTCCATGCATGTAAACAGGCCCTTATTTCATGATATTATTCATGAGGTATAGGTTACATAAAGGTCGTCTTTCACAGGGCAATAATTGGCCACTTGTTTTTGACATCTGTTTGTTTGTCAGTTTTTGATCCGACCGCAGACAATGACGTATTTCATTGTAAGCATTGTAAAGGTTTTCACACAGCATCGAGAAAGGGCGTTTCACGGGTCATAATTTGTTCAAACCACTTGTTCTCACTTAGGTGAGAAACGGAGAATAATAGTGCATTGTTTGTTTGCTAAGCCGACAACAATGAAATTTCAAACCTTTTGTGTTTTTTTATTCTTGTCTTGGTATTTTTGGGGGGGCCAGTACACTTGTGAGAGCGGCAATGGATAGTGACGACGAAATTTTCCTAACGCAAAATACTTTCTCTCAGGAGCCTTTTTCCCCAGAGTTGAATTTGGAAGAGTTAGTGGGAGACTTTAGAAAACAATGTATTCTACCTCACTCCACGACAGAAATACAAGTCTACGGATGAAGGTATGATACCTTATAAATATAGATCATTTACAATTCGGGTGCAAGGGGATAAAAATGTCAGTCAGTTTTAATGGTCGCAAGCCGGAGACAGTAATTAGAAGTTTCAGTTTTGTTTCATATTTTCATTTTCACTGTTAATTTTTGCAGTTTGGTTTACATCGACTCCTGTTGGACATAACAAGCTTGGAAACGTTGTTAGCAAAATGTGTAAAGACGCAGACCTACAGGGCGAATTCAGCAATGACAGTCTGAGGGCCACAACAGCAACACGTGGACTGGAAAAAGGAATCTCAGATAAGTTGATTATGGAGCGTACGGGCCACCGAGATATCAGACTTAAAGTTTTCTTAGAGTGAACACATATAGCCTGTATGATATATGGGATACTACTGTATTTTCTATAGTTGCAGAATAAATTTCTATATTTGTGTTAAAGGGCCAGCAGGGCAATATACAAATAAATGCCGGGTATTTATATAGATATTGTCCTTGCATTTATAATTAGCAATTTATTCAATTCATCAGCCCCGCTCTTCCCTGTTACATTATCAAGCCCTCCCCGGACTTTCAGTTAGTTAAATATTCATGAGTATGTAAGTTGAATAAAGGATGTTGAATAACAAAAGAAAATGTGTGATTCATGAAATAAGGTGCAACATGGTAGATGTGCAAGAGGCGAATCAGCGAACAAAATCGCTTAATTGAACATTGAATTTACACATTTAATCCAAACAACGTCAGCTTTTGACCGAATTGCAAAGAACTCAACTCTCCGTCTTGCGTGATCATTAAAATGCTACTTTTGTAACAGTTTATCTTACTATCGAAATCTTTTTCTCACTGTTAGAGTCCCTACTGCTTGATGGCATTTTGACAAAGAATTCATATTGAAACAACACGGCTTTTTCCATCCAAAGAAAACAAAAACAACCATGACTCGCTCAAGTTTTAATGGTAGATAATTCAACACAGCCACAACATATTGGGAACCGCTGTTTAACTGAAGTTTCTCATAAAATACATCACTACCTCATTTGTCGTATATGAATGTTCAATGTTTCGTACTCTAGATGGCACTAAAACTGCTGGTATATCCTAGCAAATTTTGAAACAAAAGAACTGTACTGGCGCATAGAGCAGGTGATGCATGTAAATTGGAAATCTAATCCCTACTTTTCTTTAATTAAAGATTCTGGGTTAACAGTTTTCGAAACATATAGATGAAGTGCTAAAACTTTGAAATCAGTCACCAGAACTTCAATGCTGTGAAGTTCAATAAAGTTATCAATCCTTAAAAAGTTGATCCCTAGATTGTTTGCTGTTACAAAAAAAATTAGCCGACATTTCTGCCTTATTGAAGATGCAAATTATACTTCCTTTTCAGCAAAATATAAATAGATTTATTATTCATTTAAAGCAACTAATCGATATCTGTAATTTTATATGGCTTATGGACTTTATTCGGTGTAAAAAACCATTTGCCGCTCCTCAAGGCGAACCTTGGTGCTGATAACCGGCTACAAAATGGATGCAAAGACCTCAAACGGTATGTATAATTTTTCTTTAGACGCATGGGAAACGTTCTTTTCGTAAGGTTAACCGGCCGGTGATGTATAGCTTATATATATTTTTGGAAGACTTTTTAGCTTTATATTTTTGCCAATCACGACTTAAAATAAATATGAGCAAAGATAACAACTGTGCAATAAAAAAAGTTACAAGCTATGATTCGATTGGAGTTATTAAAAATGTCGTCGATCTTTCAATCAAGTGGCTTTGTGAATAGGGAAAATTGACAGAGATTTTTGGAATGAATTTTTATCTACTTTAAATGATTGAGATACATCAAAAGCCTTTTTTTTTTAAAAAAAAGAATGGAACAACACAAAATTTTCACCTTAGAACCTTGATGACAGAGTTATAAATGGAAGCCAATTTGCCGCGTGGCTTAAATTTAAAACGGACTCTGTTTCAAATTATTTATTGTCAAAGGCTCTCGCCTTTTGAGATATGTTTATTGTTATTGCTATTGAAAGCTATGGCTTCACGGTTTTGTGTTTCAAATTTCCTGCCAGCGCTAACGGGGACTAGGGCTAGTCAAGTTCAGACGGTCCTTCTTCCCTTGTTCTTTGGCCGGAAGCCCGTCCGGCCATTCGTCGATTTTTCGCTGTTTTTGCCTCCCCCATTTGATCGCAGATTGACACCAATCTTGATTCCAGAACCCGCGATTGCTTAAGGAGGACGATTGATGCGGGAGGTGGAGGTTGATGCTAGAAAAATGGGACACTGCGAACAGATCAGGCGATGTGAAAATAAGTCACTTTAAAAAGTACATAGAAAACTGAGGAGATACGAGAAATTGGTTCGCTAAGTGGGAATTATATACTCTTTTATGGATCCACGCTGTAATGCGACCAAAGGAACGAATTACTCGCTTCAGGGTAAACAAGACGTTTGTTAAGATTAGTTCTGATTTTATCCGTTAGTCAATTGCAGCTGTGCCTTTCTTTCCCTGAGAAACTGAGGGGACGGTACGCCTTGTCAGTCTCACCGGTCGGGTGTTCGGCCTTCCCCGAGGCTGTCCCGGCTTGACTTTAGGCCGTTTGACACACGTGGTTTCCGAAATACAAGCATGGAGGATTTTATAGGAAAGGACTTGCACTTAGACGCAGATTGGCCTTTTCCGTCAATTACTGGACGAACTTGGAGAGGTTTTTTTTAAGGTAACCTCTGCAGTGTTGATTGGTAACGATTTCTGAGGCCGACAGGAGCTCCTCAGGGGGATCATATGCATCCCCCTCACAGGGCATTTGTGAGCTTAGGTGTCCTTAACCCACTGGAAAAAAAAATGACTCGGAGATTAAACTTGGACAGAAGGTGCACAGTTAAAATTGAACGATGCATTAGGGTGAAAGTTTGTATTTAATTGTCATGTGATAACGGGCCGTCCCTTTACACAGGTGAACAGCATCGACGACGGAGAAGTAGCGGTGCACATCCTGCCTCGGGTAAGTTGGGACATCTCTGCAACAGGAATTAAACTTTTGGAGCAGTTGTCGATTTCCTCGAAAAATCTTGTTTTGGCATTGTCGCTCCGGGTTACTCAGTTAAGTGAACCTATGACCAATCAACGGTGTCGTGTTTGCACGTACGGCTACGAGTTTTTCATTTCGAATGGGTTGGAATTGCAACACAACATGCACAATAATTTGCGGAATTACTAGCCTACTCTTTCCAAATCCGAGTTTGTCGCGGATTAACCTCCAGAAATCTGACCTTCTGAACTGCAATGAACTGACACCAGTTTTCACTTTTTACTTTATTGTTCTTACATAGTGTATCATTGAATCTAGGTCCGACCGGTCACGGAGATCAGCGACGTTCATCAGTGAGCACTCGAGGTCAAGACGAAAAACGACGCCCTTCTGTTCTCAATCGAACTCATGAAGAGCAGCGGCGTTCATCAGCTGGCAGCCGACCCGGTCACGAAGATCAGCGACGTTTATCAGCGGTTAGCGCACGTGGTCAAGACGAACAACGTCGCTCGTCCGTGGTCAACCGAACTCAAGAAGATCAACGGCGTCCTTCAGCTGGCAGCCGAATCAGCTACGAAGAACAAACCACGAGACGCAGATCCGAAGGCAAGTGCTACGCGCATGCACGAAACAAGGGGTCTTTGACTCGAATAAACGCGCACTTATAGGTTGGCATTTTATCCTTCTCTTTAATTATGAAAGAGGTATAGTTGTTCTTGTCTTTTCACGTCAATTTAGGTTGGTGATTACCATTTCTAGAAGCAAAAACGTTTTTTGAAAACACTTAACAAGCGCAATCTCACTCGCTTTAAGCGGTGATTAAAAAATGACAGAGGTACTTATTAAAATGCTGATTATTTAACTATGTACCGAGACACGAAAATATTTTTGAAAAAACGAGAAAAGTTAACGCCGTTTCCAGAGCTGAAGCAGTTTTTCTTCAACTTTTTAAAACAACATTTTACCAAGATCGATAATTTTGTTTTCATGGGGTTTTCTCTGACAATTGAAAATTGTCAACTCTGTAGATGAACACAGTACAGAGTCTTTTTCGTTGAATTTATTCGATAGAATGTTAGCTCTCTGATTCAAAATCAAACATCATAGTGACAAAGCTAAAAGCCATCGAAATCTCATTGGCTTTTCAGTAAATCAGGTAAATCTCTTTCAAACAAAACGACAAGTTGTCAGAAAAATGTTCCGGAACAACTGAATTTAAACCTCCGCCGGCGTCTCGCTGCACAGTATTAGATAACAGAAAATGCTTGATTAAATCAAAATAATTTCCTTGATTCGCAAATGTCAAACTTGTGGCACTCATTATGTAAAGAGGTCTTTTAAAACTCGAATACCTAATACTTATTCAAAAAAGCAAATGTATATTAACCAAGCACTCGCCATGTCGGCGGAGCGTAGAGCAAATGTTCTAGCCTCAGCAAAGCATTCTCGGTCATCGCACAACGAAAGGCGGGATCAAACTACCCGTGAAAAGTCTAAAAAGAAATCTAAGCCTGAAAAATATGCGACGAATGGACGTAAGTATTAAAAAAGAAAACAAGGTTGCAATTTGTACTAAATTGAATCATTGAAACTTTTGGATGGTGATCATTTGTTCCAGGATAACTACGCCTTGAGGCAAACACGAAGAGAGCTCGATATATCAAAATATAAACATATATTTCACAGAAAATACTTCTTAATATTAATGAAGAAAGAAAGGAGACAAAAAAGCGTAAAAAAAACAAATATTATATCGCGTTCCTCTAATAAGTGCAATCCATATGCATTTGATAATGTCTCGCATAACTCTTTTAAAATAGACGGGTTGTCTCACTTTGGTCTTTCTAAAACCCCTTTTTTCAACTCGAAAACTATTTGCTAACGAATGGGAAGTGTTAGCTTTGAAAATCAGATAGATACAGGATGCCACATAATATTACGATTGCTAATGTCAATTCTATGTCAATTTACTTTTGAGGAGATCAAGCATACATTGATCGATTTACAGCTGCCTTCCTCTGTTTCAGTAAAACTTTTCATGGTGCACTTTTTATTCTGTTTACCGTAGACACAATCTTCTCAAATTTTTTTATAAAGAAATCCCTCTGTTATAAAAGATAAAATTAAATACTATAGGCTTGTTAAAACAATATGAATCACACACTGAATCCGGAAACAACTGGTGATTTAAACCCTGCAAGTGGAAAATCAGTAATTCATTGCAAATAGCGATTGTCTTAAACCAGAAACTCTTAGCGATTGAAACGTGTAACTCGCTTTCAATGCTCGTAGATTCATTTTTTCTAAGTAACATATTTGGAAACCCTCGCTGGCGCCTCAAAAAAGCAAGGCTTTATAACAACAACGTTGCAAGTTCATCATCTGGTTCATCACACAATACGATATGAAAGTGCCGTTTTGTGGGGGATGAAAACACAAGACGACGACTTTCTTTTTCTTTTCCTGGACTTCAATGTCTTTAGAATTAATTATCCAGAAAAAATTGCTAACATTTTACGAACTGAACGAGATGGAATATAAAGGAGATAAAGTTTGAAGCAGCGCGAATACACCTTTTAAGTGACGTCAGTTGTAGCCGTCGCCACCGTTCCCTCCAGGGAGCGGGAAGTAATATTACGTCACCTCTTTCAGAAAGTTTGATTGGTCCATCTTTTCTTTTCGTTCCAAATATAGTATTTACATGCGAAAATGAAAATACATGAGCATTTACCTGATGAGATCAGGCTCAATTTTCGTTTCGCCTGGTAAATCAAATTCTGGCGGGAAACGCGAAACGAAAACAAAGTTAAGGCCCAGATTTAGCGCGACCTCGTAAACGATGATACCCAGTAAAAAAAATACGGCATTACTTCACCCGTAAGCCTAATGAGTAGGAAACTGGCCATGGGTCGGGAAAATAGTAGGAGCGTCGTGTAACTAGTTTAAGAATCTAGACACAATTCCGGCTGTCGTTTCCTTTGAATGCGATGATCTGAGAAAGAGAATCGCATTTTCTAAGCTCTGCGACCAGATCAGTTACGGACGTATCTAAACACAAGAGAAGAAATCTTAGTTATATGTTCTGTTCTGGGTCCCTCAGTTTTATCAGTATCTGATTAGGGTTTTTAACGCTAAGCAAAAGGAATTAATGTCATTTCGCGTTTGTTGACGAAACTGTTATCTATCGCAAAAGTATTCCCCGCTGCTTTAGTTTTAGTATCTACAATGGATTCAATTAGAGCAATGATCTGACAGGCAATCGCAGGAGTAAAATCTTTCTTCTAGTAGCTAGTGACGTAATATGATTTTTCAATGAGTTCTTTCTTTCAAACATCATTTTCTAATAGTCCCTGCTATACAGCGCGGTGATCAGTACGGCCGTCTCTGACTCGTCCCCAGTCGTCTCTCTTGAGAATCAGCGGCCGTCTTCTTGTTAGAGCACGAGGATAGGGTGCGCGCGTAGGCGAACTTTGTGATAAACTGCTGTTCGTGGGTTACCTGTGGCATAGCGCTTTTGTCTTGTGGTGTCGATGTTAGATCCTAATTTTTAAGCATATTTAGGAATAGAGGATAGATTTTCATCCAAGGAAGTTATCATATCAAATAATCTTATATCCAATAATTAAACCGAACACAAAATATTGATAGATTTTTCCCGATTTCGTCTTGAAAGCGGAAAGAACACAAGACAATTTCATGGTTTGATCGCGGTTTTTTCTTGTCGGTCTAGGTATAATGGCCTGTTATCAGCGATTATAGTCACAGCTGTAGAATGCAGTCAGTTATGGCTAGGTGATCAAGTTATTCAACTTATAAAAAATAAGTGCGTGCGACACTTGAAAAAACATTTACAACTTAAGTCCTTTTCTTGATAATTTTCTCTGTTCCTTTGTTTGCAAGTAACCATGGTAACCAAGTTAGCCAGACCCTGACGGTTTGCTATTCACAGCCATGGATGGCCGGGACCGAGAGAATTTGAACACTTTTTACACACGTTTATTACACAACGCTAGACAGTCAACTGAAACTGACAGAGAAACAACGAGAGACGGGGGGTGAAAGGTTACCTAGATAACGGGTTAATTATGCGCGTAGCGAATAACAAAGCAGTACAACTACGCGAGCTATGGCGTAGACGGAGTTGTTTTGTTTGGTCATTGTTCGATTGACTAAACTTTTTGGGCTCATGTAAAGAGGATTCTTAATATTTTTTGTGTTTACCCTTGATTTGTGAGGCTTAATGTCGAGACATTTTCACATTAATTATTAAAAATTTGTTGTTCAATTTTGCCGCTGTGGAGCCAAGGTTTAGTAAAACATCAATATTTAAAAGCTTTATTTCGAACTATTGACGGTCAGTAGAATTCTATTGTTGATCTTCTTGTTCATTAATCAACTGAAGTCATGCCACGAACAACCCTTCAGAGCTCCGTCTAGACAGAACCCGTAGACATTCCTAGGAACTATAGGAAAAGAGGTATCTTAAGTGCTTTCCTATTTTGACCCTTTTGCAATCGCTATCCTTTCAACTCTTATTCAGAACGATGTGAATGCCTCATTATTGTTTTTGTAAAGCGATGCAAGTAGTTTCACTAACTAGGGTCAATTTCCGCTATTGCGGTCGTTTCCAACAAACAAAACTCGAGTCTAGACTTACACATTCCGAGTTAAAAAAGTGGTATAAAAACTTTTTCCATAGTTAGCACATTTTATTTTTAACTTCCCTCAAATTTACCGAAAATTGCAAGGTTTAATTTTAATTTTAATTTTTTTTGAAAGAAGAGAACAAATGTGGCAGGTGTTAGCTCAATAACAAGGACCAGACCACGTGATCAGAAGAAGCGACGGGCTCTGGGTACGAGAATGACTCAGTTGTCACTGGCACTGATCTATGGATAGTCTCCCTCGCAGAATCCTCGCAGCCATTTTTTGGATGTCACGCAACGCTCCCCCAAAAGAACGGCTGCTGACATCCGAACTACATTCCTTTCTCATTGTCCTTTCGGTTTGTTTGCGGGGAGCGTTGCGTGACATCCAAAAACGGCTGCGAGGGAGCCTAATCTATGGAGTGCGTATACCAAACTTTAAAAACTCAGGGACTTAAAAAAACTAAAGATGAAGGCCCTGCGTTGTTACTGTCTTTCGCGCACTCAGTAGTCCGGAAATACGTCTGTGTCCACGGGCTATAGTCACAACGGCGCGAGTTCCGCTCAGTTGATACGGTTGCTGCACCTGGACGATAATATTCCACTCACTTTTACATTGCATGGTTTCTGGGTTCAAACCATAGTCACTGAGTTTTTCCTACCTACACCAATTATTCAATGTCTGAGCCACGGCAGCCCTGCAACTGTAACAATGATAAAAATTTACTTTTTTTACCAGGCGTTCCTTACACTCGCCCCAATCTTCTCCATTTTTTTTCTTTTTCCAGATCGAGGAAAGAAAGAGATCGCTTACCTCGGGATGTTTAAAGCAAAAGTTCTTGTGTTAGGGCCTTGTAAGGTAAATTTCTTAGATTAATCAACTAAATATGTCTGCTAGATCGCTATGGAGGGTTTCAAAAATATCTTAGGGCTGTCAAAGAAAATATGTGAGAAAATATTGTGGCGAGATGCTATGTTTTTCCACTCGAATAAGTCAGATAAGTCTGGCTGCTTCACTGTTAATATTTTTTTTGCTTTCCACAGAGCGGGAAAACCGTAATTTCAAATTTCCTCTCTGACGCTACCGAGACTTCAGGAGGAGAGTACCATCCAACACAAGGTGTCAGGTAGTTTTAAGAGATATATTTGATGTAGATGATGCACATTTTAGTGCGAAATTTCAATATATGGCAACCGGGAATGTTTATAAGCAGTGGAACTTAGAGACCAAGTATTTTGTAATTTATACTTTGCATTTCTTCATCAACTTAATGAGAAATCGAATTAATCAGGTTTTGTTTACGAATCTGTTGAGATTTGCGGCCTCAAAAATTGATCATGAATCAAAATGTATGCATAAGTTATTTTAGTTAAGTTTACATGTAGCACTATAATGGTTGTATAGGCAGCTGTAAGTTATCTCTTGTCTCTGAACTTGTGACAACCCGTCCTTGAGTGTGGACAGAATAAACTCAGGTTTATATCGCTGGATTTTCGTGAGGTATTTGTTGATATTGCCTGTCTTCATTATTTGTGTGTCTATGCTAAATCGTCAGTGACATTTCATCTGATGTGGTTCAAATAAGCCTCGGACCTACCTGTTGCCAGTAACACTCGGGATACTGTTCTGACACATTAGAACATGTGCCGTGGGCAACAAGAAGTATTGCAGGTCTGCTGCTGGCATGCCTGTGAAGTTGAAATCAAGTCAACTTTGTAGGCACGCCGGCCTAGCTGTTGCCGGCATTTTCTGTTCTCATATCAGAACATGGCTATGTAGGTAGGTCGGCACCATATAAATTATATGACATCTTGGCATTACTTACATGTACTTAGCTTTCATCAAGGTGACATTAGCAGGTGCAGAACTGGTAGTAGCCTGCGCCACAGATGAAACAAAACTCTGGTTAAGTCCATCTGTGAGTCAGCGCCAAAATCCTTGTTCTGGGTCCCACCTTTGTACCAGGATTTGAGTAGGCGCCATGACTCACCTTTTAAATAAGCCATTGCCCAGAACAAGGATCTCAGCGCTGCTTTGCTGATGTTACTAACTGAGTTTAAATTATGTCTGTGAAGCAGGCTAAACTGGCAGAAGCATACAAATTTTATCCAACTAATGTTGGCTTAAAAGAATAAATCTGTCATGGCAGGAAAGGAGAGGTTTTGGGACAAGTGCCCTAATTTGTGTTGCTTATGGTTATGTGGAACATGCCCTCACTGGAAATAACACTTACATAAGCATAAGTATATAAGCAGAGAGGAACGCAAGGTTTTGCTATTCTTGTGTTTCCGCTTAAACTCACTTTAGCAACAGCTACCTGTTTACTAGCACAATATCATCCGATGCATCTGTTGCTAGAAGGACTGTATTTATTGCACATGCTTGGTTTTTTTATTTTGTATCATTATCTCCCCAACAGAATACTAGAATTTGAATGCAATGGGATAGAAATATCACCTGGCAAAACAGCCAATTGTGAGGTGGAGTTATGGGACTGCAGTGGAAATCATAAGTAAGTGTGAACTGACCTTGATGCCACTGCCTGAGTTGTCCAAGTCCAAGTTTGGTGTTAATTGGGCCAATATTGAACAAGATCCAGCTGTTCAAAAACTTAAAATTTTATTAAGAAATTTATGGATTGTGGGACACATTGTGTAGATGTCTTCTTTATTATTAATTTTTGGAGTTTTTAATTGGCTGTATCTTCATTCTTGTTGAACAAACGGCTTCACCTGTAAATATTCCATCCCAATTTCCTGTCCCCAAATTGCCAAGGATGCTATTTTTCTAAAGTGTCCCAGAGTTTTGTGATGGTTGGTGATCATTACTGCATTACTGTTAAGGATGTTTACAATCAGTTAGCAATAGTTAAATTGCTTGATACAGATTCTCTAATTGCTTGACTCCAGTCATTCTCGATGAATTAAAGTGACATTTACACTCAAGGTTGTGCTCTAGCAAAGAATGAAGGGAGCCCAGTACTTTTGAACTCGGGAAATCTAGGGTGCCCAGCATATGATTCATATGAAAAACCCCAAATTTTCTAGTGACCTTTTTTTAAAGGGAAAAATTAAGGCTCCTGGGGTCAACAGGGGCTGTAAAGTCACAGCCTTAACACTGTAGGGCTGAATGTACTATTTTCATAACATAACCACCACCTGGTTAGCTCAATTGGATAAGTGCTGGTTTGCCAAGCAGGAGGTCACAGGTTCAAACCCCGACCAGGCCAACACCCAGGGTGTTGAAATAACTGACCCCAGTAGTGTGGTACAACCTTTCATGGGCAGGGTGGGTAATAAAGGGGTTGATATCAAATTGGCCACTGGTGCTTTTTCATCCCCGGTAACCGTGTTGAGTCACTGTGGCGAATTCAATAAAGTAAGTATAAAGTATATGCTGGGAAAACAAAGAATTCCCTAGTCATCTGTGTTTTTGCAAACATTGTAAAACTGTGGCTTGAAACACCTGATCAAATCAAAACTTAGCTAGTAAAAAAATAATATAGAAAATAAATAAAGAGCTCTTTGACTGTGATCTTTTTACCTTTTGTAGATTTTCTACCTGTTGGCCAGCGTTTCAAAAGGATGCAAATGGAGTTGTAATTGTATACAATCCAGATGAAGCAAACCATGATAAGGAACTGGAAACATGGTATGAAAAAGATAAGCTTCTTTCATTTTATCATAAATGTAGCGATTATTGTTGAGTGATATATGTAATAAATAATAAAGAGGATGTTTCACTGTCTAAAGGTAGGTTTGGTTTCCTCTGCATCGTTCAATAGAGTTTACTTCAATAAGTAACTCAAACAGCTTCATGTTTCACCTGCAGAGTTTACTTATAATCTGCACAAATAAACTTTCAAGATAAAAGTGGGGCTTCTAGTAACACAAACTACATATGTATTTTGAACAAAAATCTTGGTATCATAAAAAGACTGATTCAAATAAGTGGTAATTTTTACCAGTTATTTGATCTGAAGATTTATGCAGATCAAGGAAAATGTTATCGGCTGAGGCGGATAACGCTTATCAAGATCTGCATAATAGTTCTTCAGATCATGCAAAAGCCTTATCCAATAATGTTGCTGATTTATTGTTCAAATTTGTTCAAAATTATGATACAAATACATTTGTCTGTTCCACGGCAAATTAAGGATAGAAAGGGATTGTTGGTCTACAGTGTAGCAGATAATCTTCAATTAATAGCAGTTGTCATCCATTGAGTTGTACTTTTGCTGTTCTTGCTATGTTTTTAGGCAGAAGTTCCACAATTTCTTCATACCCAAAGAGTGTGAAATCCTCCGCCATTTTCTCCAGCTCTTAGTCATGCTGACAAACCCCTAACATTTTGCCAACGTTTAACCATTTTTTTTGTCTAACATTGTTCTAGTAAAAGGTAGCATACAATCTGAGTGGATAAAGTATTATGACTCAGTGCTGTTTTCACCTGATTTTTTTTAACTTTCTAGCATATGAATTGAAGTAAGTATTTTTGACTTATGGACTTAAGTGCAAGTAAACCAAGGAGAAAAAAGCTAGAATTTTTATCTTTGGAAGAAATTGTGGCTAACTTAACCTTGTCAGTCAGTTTCATTCATTAGTTCCTGTACTTCTTTATTGTTTCTAGGTACAGTCAGTTTGTTCAAGGACAAAACCTCAAAGATTCTCAATGTATAGTGTTTGCTCATCATCGGCCTTCAGCTGCTGATTTGACCAGAACACAACTTCGTAAGTTTATTATAGTAACTGTGTGCAGTGTTGTGCAGTGCAGCAAATAGAGGGTGATCAATAAAAATGTTAATAGCTGTTTGCCCATTCTCCATGGGTATGTAGAAAAGGCAGCTGCTTGTATCTCATGTTCAAAAACATGCATGGCTCAGTTTTGCTTGGTTCAGCCATCTGTGTTTTTATAAACTCAGTAGCTTTTGTTGGATATGCGATGAATTTTTGCTTGTGTTTTGAGCTCTCTGTTAGCTCGCTTGGAAGGTGTTTGAAAGGGAGGGGAGAGAGGGGAACATTAGATGCACAGGAGAGGGGAGGGTGTGAGGGGATAGAGAGGAGGGGTTCTCACATGCCCAATTTTTGAGACTGCACGAAAAAAAATTCGTAGTCGTCCTCGTCGTCGAATCTATTAAGAGCCATTTTCTGAGAAAATCGAGAATCGCAAGACACTCGTCAAAAAATCGAATTTTTTATTATTTTGCCAAAACATCCCTTTTAGTGACCTAATTTAAGGAAAAATAGTTTTGGGTTCAAACGATTCATTTTAAAGGAGAAATTAAAAAAAGTTTAAAAAATCGATTTTATTCCTGTTTTTCGAACAAAACACGGCAGGATGCAATGGCAACTTCGAGAGAAGGGTGAACGCGTAAGAAACATTCCCTGACACTGAAACTTCACCGAATTATTATTTTGTTCTTACTCTTGAAAACCTTAGAAGAAAAATTGAAAAACAATGTCTTATATTTTTATAATCGACAAGTCTAAAGAGGTCATATTTGTGACGTTAGACATGCTAGAAAACGAAGGCCAACTTTGACTATTAAAAAAGGCCTCTGGTATATGCCGCTTGATCATAAAATCAATATAAAATGGAACCTTGGCTTTTGTACTAACTTACTGGAAAGTTTTAGCTCTGGAAATCAAATATCATCCTGACACCAAAGCAAGCGGTGAGAGCAATTGAATTGGGAAATTTATGCAAATTAGACGGCTTGCGGACGGTTGTCAAACTAAAAGAAAGGTTTTACATGAAAGGATTACTCACCATTGCTTGTAACACGTTTTTACGGCAAGGAAAGTTATTTCCAACTTCTGTTGCGTCGGTTTGAGTCACAAAATCCATAATTTTAAGCCAAAAGGTCCAAAAGACAAACGCACGTTTGCTCAGCGACTGCGCCAGAATCCGGCCGTGAATCGAAATAAAGTCACAACACGTCACTGCGGTCCTTTAGAAGCAAGAGTTGCAAGAGTTTTTACTTCAGTCAGGAGGCCAAAAGATTGAAAATTCATCGCAAACTAATGACTTCGATTTTGAAAACCTTTCATCACTTCAATCGTTCGCCGGCTGATAATAAACATCACACAAGATCGTATGACCTTTGGCGTGTGACCGGAAATCGGTCACACCCTCAAGTCACGTTAGCATACTGTCACGAATTTTAATACGATTTTTCACGTTTGCTTTCGACAAAAAATAGACTCATCGAAATAAAATCAGGCCTGCTTTATTTATTTATTTATTTTTTAATTTCTTTTATAGCCTGCAGAACTTGTTCCCCATGCATCGCGCGTGTCTCGCGCCCCCAGTCCGCTTCGCAGTGCTAGCGTGAAAAGCGCAAAAAACTGAAATTGACTCCTGTTCTGCAGTTGATTTCTTTTATAGACACCTTCTAGGCATTGACAGGCTGTGAAAAAAGTGTATTTTTATTATTATTATTTTTTGAAGTGCTACATCATTTTCCTATAAATTTCAAACGTGACTGCTAAAAGACTGTTTGGAACCCATGGATGGAGAAAAGCTGTGCCGGAGAGAAGGTCAACCTCCCAGCCGAGCCAACTTTTGCGAGCGTTTATATGAGGAAAAAACTGACCACTTTGTCCGAGTCAACAGTGCTTGCGCATGCTGTCTTTGTCTAGCCTTGACCGTGTTGTCCCAACTACAATCGGCGACAAAATTGTTGAGACAAATAGGGTGACTTCGGAGAACAAACGAATCCGCACCCTCCCCTGTCCCCTCCATTCAAAGTTGGGGTGTTTGTTGTTTTCTATAGGTAGCTAGAACAAGGGCACAACATTGTACGGAGGGGATGGGGGAGGAAAGCTATATTTCCTCCTTTTGAAGTTCATAAAACGTAAAAAAGCCTACTTTTGGGCGAAGTGTCTCAACTCATTTTGTCGCCGATTGTAGCTGGGCGAGCCAAAGTGGAGAAATATTAGCCGGGCTGGAAGGGTGAGGCCACCACTACCGGCTCAGTGGAGGGCTGACTTCCGGAAGCCCTCAACTCCGCCCACTACTGGTAGTAAGGCGTCTATCCGAACCAACCTTTTGTTTCTCATGTAAATGGTTTACCAAGTTTTGTAAGGAAATGGAGGAAAAGTTGGCTCGCCCAGGGTAGCTTGGGAGGTGAGTAAACACCAGATAACCCCAATAATAAGCACAAACTTTGATTGTCAGTTAGATGTCTACTATTTTAAGTAAGCGACCTGCATGTGATTGTCGCATCCATGCCCCCTTCCAGATCCCCTTTATTATCGGTAAGCCTCTGATAGGTCAAAGTAATACAGTCGTACCTCCAGTAAGCGACCACCAAAAATGCAAAGACTTAGTGGTCCCTAACGGGAGGTGGTCGTTTAGAAGAATCGGACCACATGGGGTCTATTCCGAGAAGAGGTCCAGGCACATTCTATTAAATGGCGGTGTAACAAATTCCTGGCAAAATATTATCTTTTACCTCTTTTGACAAATACAGCTTTTAAATCATGCTCAATTTAAAGAGGGATTCAGGTGAGTGAGATATAGAATAGTCTAGAATCACAACATAATCTTCACTTTGTTGGCTACATCTACTAAGTTAGGATATGTGTAGTTCCACGATGTCGCTAAAGGTCTTCATATTTTCTAAGGAACATAGTGCACACAGCAAAAATAGAGAGCAGAGAATGCGTCAACTGGTCGCTTATGGAAAACAATTAACCGTGACGCCCAAAAAGTGGTCGCAGTCACTTACAGAAGGTGGTCGTTTACTGGAAGTTCCAACTGTAAGGCTTTGACTGGGAAAATTTGGTCTTTTGGATTGGCAGTCGCACATGGAGGTTGGACTGTGTAAGCCACCATCACCTCACTGTGAGTGACGAGAGCCAGGAAAGTATAGTATACACTCCCTTAGGATACACAGAATCGTTGTTTTGAGGTCCCGTTTAGCGAAATGGATCATTCAAGGGAGGTGTTGAAGTCCCATAGTGAAATTTATAAGGTTTATGGGTTTTTAGTGCAAGACGAAACACAATACTTAGGGCCCTGTTGTTCAAACGTTTAACAACAGGAAATCACTATCAAGCGAATAAGAAGAAGCAGGGTGAAAGCGTTAGTCCCGGGGGCGTTAGTCAACTTTTCGAACATACAGCCCCTCAGTCACTCTCCTCCGCAGACTTACCCTGGGCGACCAGGATAGGGGAATATAATACTCGACCTTCCTTGCATCATCGCGAGAGCCTATAGCCTTCACTTTCTTTTGGCTCGTCCTACAATCCTACCCAACGTTCGTGGGACAGGAAGGTCTGCTTGCGAGGCTTGGGAATCTAGGGAGACTATGGTAGCATGGTGCAAATAGCCGGGATGAGCTACTTTGTCCACACGAACCAAGAGGATTGGGTCTGCTAGAAGAAATCAGGTGTAGCTTTCTGTGATAAGTAATATTCCAACAGTATAGGATCATAGTTTGAAGCCATTTCACAATCACTAGTTTCCGCGCACCTCTACCGGCGAGTTGTGGACAAAAGCAGCTGATAGCTGTATGCGAACCTTTTTTCCACAAAATGGTTTCTGGGTTTTCGCATTCGACAGTGTCATGTATTGATTTTTTTTAATCTTAGTCGAGGTCTTTTTAATTATGTACTGTCTATCTGACTGACTGTTTCTTTGTGTTTTTTTTTTTTGGTAATAACAGGTTTCATAATTTGGTCGTGGTTGGGGTTATAGGCTCCTGATCGTGAGCAAATAGCGAAAAAATCAACAAGCAAAACCAAAAGTAAACTGTAGCGTTGAATCCGTTGGCCACGGAGAATTGGTATTATTCTGCAAGTTCTTTACTACAGCAAGAGAGTATACTCCCTTGACTATGGGACATTGGGCCGGGGGAACTTAGTATTTTGACCCGGCATAGGGGAGGAGGGGAGGGGGAGGGGGTACTCTGGCCAGATTCCAAGTCACGGGGATGATCGAAGTATGTTTTTTTCTTAGTTTGAAAATATTTTGAACAATTTTTTTTTTTTAGCTGTGGCTTTACTTAAGTATTCAAAATATTCGTTCTTTTTTGGTCTTAATTTTCGCTTCCACGGATCACTCACGACACTTGGAATCCGAGGTACCCCTCCTGTTTAGTACTTCGAAGGCAAAAAAGCTGTTTCAAAGCCTAGTAGGTAAATAAAAGAAAAATAAATATGCATGGCTGTTTCTACTGCGATGAGAGGATTTCTTGTCAAAAAATGTGAAAACTGTATTAAAATTGCTGACAACAGCTACGAAAATTTCGTGACAGCATGATGACGTGACTAAAGCGTGTGACCAATTTCCGGTCACACCAAAGGTCATACGATCTTATGCGATGTTTATTATCAGCCGACGAACGATTGAAGTGATGAAAGGTTTTCAAAATCGAAGTCATTAGTTTGCGATGAATTTTTATTCCTTTTGCCTCCTGACTGAAGTAAAAACTCTTGTAACTCTTGCTTCGACGTGTTGTGACTTTATTTCGATTCACGGCCGGATTCGGACGCAGTTGCTGAGCAAACGTACGTTTGTCTTTTGGCTAAAAATTATATATTTTGTGACTCAAAACGACGCAAAAGAAGTTGGAAATAACTTTCCTTGCCGTAAAAACGTGTTACAAGCAATGGTGAGTAATCCTTTCATGTAAAACCTTTCTTTTAGTTTGACAACCGTCCGCAAGCCGTCTAATTTGCATAAATTTCCCAATTCAATTGCTCTCACCGCTTGCTTTGGTGTCAGGATGATATTTGATTTCCAGAGCTAAAACTTTCCAGTAAGTTAGTACAAAAGCCAAGGTTCCATTTTATATTGATTTTATGATCAAGCGGCATATACCAGAGGCCTTTTTTAATAGTCAAAGTTGGCCTTCATTTTCTAGCACGTCTAACGTCACAAATATGACCTCTTTACACTTGTCGATTATAAAAATGTAAAGCATTGTTTATCAAATTTTCTTTTAGGATTTTCAAGAGTAAGAACAAAATAATAATTCGGTGAAGTTTCAATGTCAGGGAATGTTTCTTACGCGTTCACCCTTCTCTCGAAGTTGCCATTGCATCCTGCCGTGTTTTGTGCGAAAAACGAGCATAAAATCGATTTTTCAAACTTTTCCTAATTTCTCCTTTAAAATGAATCGTTTGAACCCAAAACTATTTTTCCTTAAATAAGGTCACTAAAAGGGATGTTTTGGCAAAATAAAAAAAAATTCGATTTTTTGACGAGTGTCGTGCGATTCTCGATTTTCTCAGATAATGGCTCTTAAAAACTCTCTAATTTAATGCCTTGGTTCTCTCCTCAGCCTCATCGCTATCCAGAGTAACATGTGATCAGACAAACCTTGATGAAGAACCAGAAGCAGTGAGGGATGAATTTCACAACTTTCTGGCTAAAGTGATCAGTAATTGGACTGATAAACGAGACCAGGAAGAACTGAGTATAATGAACACATGATACGGCTTTGATACAACTGTGATTCACTGTTTGGCCCCGATTGTTGAACTGCATCTCTTATGTACAAGGTTTTTACGTTTAGAAAGCAAGCACAGAAATGCAGTGACTTTTCATCATCATTATCACTATCATCGTCGTCGTCATCATCACTTCTCTCTTGGCACATGGGTAAAGAAAAACCCGCACATAAGGAATAGTCACTGGAAAAGTAACCTGTGTATGGCTGCATAAACCTCTCGATTAACCCAAACAAAATTAGATTTTCTGTAGTGACAGAATGGCTCTTGTTCGGCACTTCAATTCTCGTTTGTTGCAACTCTTGTGAAATCAGTGTAAATAATTATTGTAAATATATTTGTTTTGCAAAAGTTTAAATTATTAAACGTTGTTTCTTCGGCGGTGTACGTTTTCATCTACTTTCGTTCATTCGGCAATTTTTGTAATATTTAATGTTTGTAAACCGTAGAGAAATACATCCAGCTAGAGATGATACCGTGAAAAAAAATTAACGTGTTTTATGCATCAGTCAATTCCACCTGCGCCCAGCCCCCCTCCCCCCCCCCGGGCTGACCCCCGGGCATTAGCATTTTTTTGGCCTTGGATGGCAAATTCCCGGGGGTGGGGACTCTTGAGCTGTCAAATCCCCCGGGGTGGGGACGAAAAAAGAGGGCAAATGCCCCGTCCTCCGTCAACACTGCAACAGTTTTTATTGATCGCACAGTCAAATAGTGCCGTTTTAAGCATTTTAATGTGCGATTTTTTTTGGTTTAATTAACGGCTTTTTTTGTAATAGCGCGAGGATTCTAATTAAGACTTCGCACCGCGACGACATGCACCAGTTTATGGTTTTAGTATTGGTATAAAATTATTGACATTAAAATTAATAGAGCGCTGTAAAGTTATATGTTATGAATAGTTTTATAAATATGAAGGGATGTTGTTCAAATAGTATCAACATAAATTTGATTCAATAACCAAAAAAAAACGTTGATTCACATCGATAGCTCCAATTTCGCTACGTAATTCTGGCTTGATAAGCAATGAAAAAATTCATACATATATGTAAAATCGAGAACATGCCGTTACAACCCTCTACAATTTATTCCTGTCCTTGACAAATGAGCCAATCTGTTTTTCTTCCAGTAAAACCTTCTTTGTAGTTATATTCTGATAGGAAACCGCGTGCGTGTCAAAAGCTCGGGATTGGCCCGGGGGTTAGCAAATGCCCGGGCCCCGGGCAGTGCAACATTTGCAAATGCCCCCCGCCCCCCCGGGACTGACAAGGCGGGCAAATGCCCCGCAGTTGCCCGGGGGGGGGGGGCTGGGCGCAGGTGGAATTGACTGATGCATTAGGGTCTGGTTTTTTTTTTTTAAGCGGTCGAAGTTGTGTTCTTTGTCATAAAACTCTACAAAAAATATTAGCACAAATATGTAGAGCCTTATAAATGGATATGATCGCGGTGTGATACAATACTGTTGAACAGAGTCTTAATTGGGGTTCTTAGCCTTTAGCTTTGAAAGCGATGCGTATGACAGATCTAGAATGAATGCGTCGTGTCAATACGACTCCCTCATGTTTGAAGGTGACGTACGACCTATATAGGGTCAAATTCGGTCATATTAAAAGAAGACGAATTTTTTTTTTTTAAATAAAAGACAAACTTAAACTAGATCGTTATTTAAGAAAAAACTTTTATTTTTTCGAAATCAGGAAATGTAGGAATCGGTAGCAGGAACACTCCGTTCGGAAAACATACAATTTACGGTGAGAGGATAACTTACAGGAATAAAAGATTTAACATTACATGTAGGAAACAAAAAGGTCTTAAAAAAGCGAGGCAAGGGTGTGGTAATAAAAATACTTTTCCCTTCTCCTGCTTTTATCTACATTTAATCATGAAGGAAGCTAGCACTTGGTTTGGCTTCTTCAGCTGCCATTTAAAAGGTTCCTTGCTTCCGCTGAGAAACTTGGCAAATTTGAGGATGATGAATTGTTTTAGTTTTGTACACTTCTAGGTCATCTGTTGAGTTAAGTCAGAGTTTTTTACAATGTCCGTCCTCGTTTGAAACTTTACTTCATGAAACAATTGTCAGGCGAAAGCCGCGTTGTTTTTTATCACAGAACCGGTAGTAAATTAAGCCGAAAAGTTGATGAATTATTTGCTTGTCAGAGTTAGGCGTTATATTTACTCAGACCCAGAGAGGATAACGAAGCAGCGATTCCGCTTGTTAATATAGTAGTTGAAATGATCGGTAACTTTTCTCGACTTAAAGTTTACGGGGATCTGAACATTGCTAATCGCCAATTTAAACGTCTCCTGAAGCGAATAAGTTAGACCCGTCCGCTAAAACGTCGTGCTTTTGTCATGTCGAACTCAATTTATGAATTATAAATACTTAGGATGCATTTTAAAAATTGTCAAAGCCAGGCGTTTTTACATTTATGCTGAAACCAACAGTGGTGCAGTCTTGTTACAGTCGAGCCAGCCGGCTTCAATTTCGGCAGCAGCATTAAACTCGACATTTGAAACGATCGAGCCTAATGAAAGAGTTTTTGTATAGACGCTCAAGCAGTATAACTCAATAAGATGGACGTTAGCCTTTTGAAATGCTATCAATTGTAAATAAAAAAGAGCCTCAGGATAAAAGACTCGTTCTTATTAGCAAGATATTGGCGCGTTGTAGTCTTTTTTCCAGTACTTTTATATTAAACAAGTTTTACAGGTCTTAATCCTTATTCGACTTATTCCTGTGTAATTTGTTAGTGAGCGCATAGCAAGTGTTCAAAACTTCCAGCAGGAAAGTGTATTTTCAAAGACATCTTAATTATTACCTTAATTTCACCTGCCGGAATTTTCCTTTCTACTTTAGATGTCAGGTCTTCCTTTAAAAAGTAAATGTAAATTAATTACAACCTCACAAATGAAGCCGTGGATCGATACCCAGCAGCTGACTTTTAGTTTACTGTGCAAACAGTTATCAGTGCTTATGTGCGCACGACTTATGTCCAAAGAAAAACCAAATGTTTTTTGTGTTAAATGTCAATTCAAATACCTACATAAAACTGCAAACTTGTGGTACGTCTTGGCGAGGTAAGGAGAATTACAAAACTAACATCAATATAGGTAGCACTTCTTAAAACGCAAACGAAATTCTATAGCCCGCCTAGCAATCTATGGTTCAATGTTATTATAAGTACATGTACATACAATGCCCAAATACGAACTTGAAAGAAATTTAATCCGTTCAAACAATTTGAGTTTTTGTTTAATGTTTTTGCTAATAAAAGTACTAAAGGTTTAAATCTATTTTGAGTGGACAAAATTTTGTTTTGAGAGATATTGCACTACGTTTATGGCGCATATATGACCGGCTGACTACCGCGACAAAGTCAAATGTTTTTATTAAATTTCTTAATATCTGCTCTTAGGGAGGTGATATTTTTACAAAGAGAAAGCCAAAAGGTGTGGCAGTTGATACCGAAAAAGAAAGAGCAATACAAGATGCGTTCTTCTGGAGGGACAACTGAACACTTTAAGAAAAACGCCGCCAGTTAGATAATAAACTCAGGCTGAGTACTTTTCTAAGGAAAGATGATTGCACGTTGCTGGCTAATTGTGGTCGCGATAACCGTGTCTTGGCGGACTCGAGCAAAAACAACTGAAAAACAGTCTCCGAGAATTTTTCTCCCGGGGGATGTAATTTTGGGTGGTTTGTGCCCACTTCATAACCCTCCGGGAACCAGGCAGGAAGATCCAGCTCAGAACTCCTACGGAGAAATTGTTGGTCACTGCGGCGGACCGTTTAATTTTCGAGGACTTCAACACGCTGAGGCCATCCTTTACGCGGTGGATCAGATCAACAAAAACGAAACTTTGCTACCTGGTATAACTATAGGCGTCGACATAAAAGATACTTGCAACAGTGTCGATCATACCATTAGAGAATCGTTGAAATTTGAGTTTGTTCGAGAGGCATATCTGCGCGTGGAAGGCGACGAGGGCGTGTGTGGATCTTCTCTGAAAACTTCCGCTAAGAGTAGAGGTAGAGTTGTGGCGGTGATTGGAGCAGCATATAGCGGAATATCAATAGCAGCCGCAAACCTCGCCGGATTATTTCATGTTCCTGTTGTAAGTTACGCGTCCACGAGTCGCCTTTTAAGCGACCGCAAACGCTTTAAAAACTTCCTTCGCACTGTCCCGTCTGACACCCGCCAGGCTCAAGCGATGGTTGATGTGATCCGAGAATTTGATTGGAACTTTGTCTCTACTATCGCTTCTGATACGGAGTACGGCCGATCAGGAATTGATTCGTTCAAACAGGCTGTGAATAACCAAGCAGACCATCGCGTCTGCATCGCCGTGGACGAAGTCTTCACCGTGCGAACTCCAAAGGCGAGAGTGCGAGAAATTATAAAGAAGATTCGCGAACATCCCGAGGCTAAGGTAATCGTGCTTTTTGCTGAATTAAACGACGCTGACTACTTCATAAATACAGCAAGGGAGCAGAATCTGACTGGATACATTTGGATGGGCTCCGACGCCTTTTCTCATTCATACTCAGTTTTGCGTCCTAACAAAGATGTTCTTAAATACTGGATCGCAACAGAACCTAATTCGAACGTTTATGAAGCCTTCAGGGTTTATTTTCAAAACATTACCAAAGAACGCGTGAAACGAAATCCGTGGCTAAGAGTTTATGAGAAGTATGTAGCAAAACTGTTGAATACGAGTGATCCGGTTGACTATTCATCTTACACAACAACGGCGGTAGATGCAGTCTACGCTGTTGCGTACGGCTTACATGATATGTACCATTGTTCCAATACGTCTTGCTTTATTGATGTTTCAAACACACTACAAACAGAAGTTTATAACTTTATAAAGAACGTTTCATTTTTGTCCCCTACTGGTCACCATGTGTCGTTTGATGAGACTGGAAGCACGCCTTCTTATTATAACATTCGTTTTCTGAAGAATCGACGCGGGAAATATCACTTTGATATCCTTGGTTCTTGGCTTCTGGGTAAGGGATTCAGATTTTCGCCCCAGTACAAGCACTATGAACACCCACTCAGCACATTACAGTCCTATGCAAGATGTAGTCCAAAATGTCACCCAGGCTTCTGGAAACAACCTAAAGAACACTACCCAGAATGCTGTTGGAACTGCATTCGTTGTCGTGGAAACAGTGTCTCTAACCACTCAGGCGCCACAACTTGTGTAAGTTGCCCGGATGGATCAAAAGCGAATTATGCCAAGTCCTCTTGTGACGTCATCCCTATAACTGAAATCTACAAAACCCCAGCTGGCATAGCGGTCGCAGGTGCCTGCACTGTCGGTGTTGTTGCTGTTTTTCTAACTTTTATATCCTTGTTTAACAAAAGAAAAACTCCACTTGTGAAAGCCTCAAGTCAGGAAATCACCTACGTCTTACTGTTTGGACTTGCTTGGTGTTATATCATTCCCATATCGTTGCTTCTGCAACCGACACACCTCCTCTGTCAAACTCGCCCTTTTGTGTTGAGCAGCGGTATTGCCATGGTGATAGGCTCGCTTCTGACGAAAACCAATCGCATTGCGCGAATTTTCAGTGCAAAAATCATGCGAACTGGAAATACGAACTACCTTAGCAACAAGTGGCAGCGGGTGTTTGTGGGCCTGTGCATTGTCTTGGAAAACTCTTTTGCAGCCTTGTGGATCATCACATCCCCCATAAAGGCGACTCGTGTCTCTCATGGAAGCCATGAGGTATTGATAGAGTGTATGACAGATTCAATGTTGGGATTCACCATCTGGGCTGCGATTAACGTCGCACTTGTCCTGCTTTGTACCTATCAAGCCTTCCTGGTACGCAAAGTCCCGGAGAATTTCAACGAAGCTAAGTTCATTGCCTTCAGTATGGTGACAGTCTGTGTAAGTGGAGCGGTCTTCGTGCCGACATTTTTAGGCACAAAGGGACTCTACAGGATAATTTTAACCTGTTTTCTCGTTATTTTTTGCTCTACTATAGCTCTCGTTAGCCTGTTTGCTCCTAAGGTGTATATTATATATTTCCGTCCAGAGAAGAATAAACCACACCCACAAAAGACCGATCCTAAAATAGGAGCGCCCAGGCCAGAGTATTATCGTTCAGTGTCTTCATTGAGTACTATAACTGCATGTGTAACGTTGGATGACTTGGACACCCCAAAGCTTTCCGATGTACTGGATGTTCAAAACTCGCATTTACCACAAGGTATACCCGAGGGTACACCCTCCAAAAGCACGGAAACAAAGTGGAGTTAGTTTCCTTAGCATAAGCCTGGCAAACAGATTGCGCGCGTTTGAATAGGACTGGGTTCAAACCTTTCACAATATAACTTTTTTTTTGCGCATTTTTAGATTCCAAAATAATGAAATGTAGCTTGAACTGAGTTGATATGCGTTATCAGACGAGAGGTCAAAGTGGTTGGATATTTGTCACGTTTTCTTTTGTTGATTAGAGTAGGAACTCGGTTAAAAGGAGAGTCCGGCTTAATCGAATTGGAATTTGGAATGTTGGTTTTGAGAAGAAGGGAAACCGGAGTACTCGGCGGAAGACCTCTCGGAGTGAAGAAGAGAAATGGGCTGCGAACAGTCTCCCTTTTTCTCCAGATTTGGTGAAGAAAGTGTTCCCGTGCGCGATACCCAAGAAACGAGCCCGGCAGCCTCTTCCGTCTCGCGCCTTCATTCACGCGCGTGGTGAATGTTTCACTCGGCAGCCTGAGAAAAATGAGAGACTAGTCTAACGCTAGGAGAGAACCAACAACAAACTCAGCCGCCATATGGCGTTAACCCGGGCCACATTGGTAGAGGGAGAGTGCTGTCACCACTGCGCAACCTTGCCTTGCAGGATGATGTTAGAATCAAAGTACAGTCAAATACCCGTTAATACGGACACTGAGGGGGCCATACAAAGTGTCGGTATTAAGCGGCTTGGATTTAAAGAAACTGCATGGACAAAGCAAACTGTCCGTATCTATAATTAAGTGGGTATCCGTAAGGCGGGGTTTAACTGTAAGTTCTTTCGCAAGTATTTCCTTCCGATTTGTTTTTCTCCAAATCCCTAGTATTGTAGCTAGTCCGAGTTCAAATTCAATTGAGCGTTTTGTTATCTTTATTTGCCATCCTCTTCTACCACTTCGCTTTTTGACTTCACTCGTGGTCTCACTTGCGTTGGCTAGGTTATACTCGGGCTTAGTATGTACTTGTACTGTCTAGTAATATGTGGAGACGAAAACAGTGAACCTAAAACTTACTGATGAATAGCTTTGAAACGGACCGAAAGCCACGGAAATACAAGTAATACACACAAGAGAAGAAATAATTAGATTTTTCTCAAATTTCTTTCCAGTATATCGATCTGTCATGCACGGCTGTTACATTCCTACACAAATTCTTACACACTGTGACCCGATACTGTATGTTGACAACATCCAGGGAGGTTAGGAAGGTAAGGCTACCTTTGTCCGCGCGTAAAACAAATACAAAATACACTTTGCACCTCGTACAAAAACATTTTTATTAAACTCACCCTTTTTCAAGGTTGCACAATTCTCAAACACCAAATGATCCCAGTGAAATGCATTCTTGTGCAATTCAGTAATAAATTAGATTACAAGTAATTGTTAGCCAGTTGTTGGCCCTTTTACAATAACAGCCTATCAAACTATTGCAAAGAACTGGTAGTTTGAAATTAAAAAAATGGATAAGCTTGTTTTCTTAGTTCACTTTACATACATAAGAGTAGGAAAAGAAATTACTGCCTCGACCAGAGAGCAGGTTTTCAAATCATAACATCACAATAATCAGAACTATCTTTTTAATTTAACTCAGAAATTCACTCCCAAGTACAACAGAAAGAATTCCGTTTTTTTTTTCGCAACATGCCTGAAAACCGCTCAATAAGCATATTAGTTAGAGAACTATATACGAATTGCTTTCTTGTGAACTAAAAGGTAGACATTTTATCGCCTTTCTAAATAGCGAAACGGCGACTCGAGGAATTTTGGGTTGGCTTTCTGAAATGCGCGCCAAAACGTACCTAGCTTTCTGGTAGGTTATTCAATTAAGAAACTTAAAAGCATTAGGAATTTTTCCCAGAAGTCAAGCAAAGCTTTTCGAGTACTGGTACAAGGAACACACAGAAAAACCGTCTTTCAAGTTCACAGGAATATCACTCGAATATGGCCCTTACGTCATTAGTACATGTTTCATTAAAATAAAAAAACAAAGAAGAAATTATCAGTATTTGCCAAGGTTCTCTAATAACTAAAATTTCCATAAAAATCGAGGAAAATGTTCACCGGAACATTCACCGAGGGAACTGTTTCACCGAAAATTCATTCCGTACAATTACGGTTAACAGGGCTAACTTTCTCCACCAAATCTCATTTTAAATCGCAAGCTTAGGATGCCTTACAAAAATAAATTTACAGAAAAGGAAAGGTGGAATAAACACGGAGTTAATGTAAAGAATTTTGTTCTCAACCAAGGCTCGGCAATAAAATTTTATTTTAAAGTCCGACGAATATGTAGAATATGGCTAGTTGAATTTCAAACATTGTATAAACCAAAAATAGAGTGAAAACTTCAAACGCATGCGACGAGTGAAGGAATAATATTTCATGTTGAATAAAAAATACTTAGAGAAAAATCATTCCGCCCTATGAAATTGTATCGAATGATTTCGTTTTCGCTTCAAAGGTATCGGCAATTACTGAGCTTAATTCAAGAAAATTCCCCTTACCAGATGAAATAACTTTTTAAAGTACTCAAGCACAGCTTGAAAATATATATCCTAAACTGTTTATCAGCTTAGAATTCATTTTCGACTGCAACCACTCATTAATTGATTTAGGACGAAGTGCAATCACGTGCTGAAATATCAATCTTAAATAATCCAAATAAAAGTTCGCTATGTCTGTTTAATTTTTCTTCCTTTTTTAATTTTTTTATTTGCAAAATAAAATTTGACGTTTTTCCTAAATTCGTTCTTGGCCGCTTTTGCTAAAATAGTTAAATAGAGTTCAGCTAAGGCACAAAAATCGTCAAAACAATCTAAGTCACTTCAGAAAAATAATAAAATCTAATGGAAAACAATGAACAAATAAGTTAATAGTGTCTTGATGTTGGCAAGAGCATCAAATGCTCTAACAGAAGAACAGCTGAAATAACCATACGGAAAAATGTTTTTGCTCTATTTTGCTTTCAACAGAAAAGAGAATACACTGTGGAAGAATGAAGACATGACAAGCAGAACTTCACAAACATGATGTAGACGAAAATTGAAAACCAAAATATCGTTAGCGACAAATAAATAACGATTACATGCTGCTGGAATTTTTTCTTTCACATTCCTATGGTCAATGACAGAAAAAACATATTACCTTGTTTTAGTCATTAACACTATTGTACTACCAAAAAGTTGAAATTGAGAAGAATTTGCTGAATAGTCAAGCACTGAGAAGCAGAAAAGGAGATACCTTGTACTTTTTATGGCACAAATTGATGCAAAATTACAAATACCTTATAAACTAGCATAAAAAACTACTATTGCTGTGGCAAAATTGATCATAGCCTTGAAGCGTTTCATGCGCCAAAATTGATCATAGCCTTGAAGCGTTCCATGCGCCAAAGGCTTTTTTTAAAGTCACGATCCCTCCTATTTTTTGCTGCAAAAGTACCATGTGCAACAGTTAATCATAAGCAGTTGTCTTTTTCATGATATACACTGGCTGAAAATAATGCGATACAAATTTTCATATCACAATCCAGGGGCCCGTTTCTCGAAAGTCCCGGAGGAGTTTCTGAAAATATATAAATTTTTCTTGCAAAATGGAAAGCAATGAAAGTATAGAAAAGGACGCTAACTGTCTTGCTTCCATGATGAAAGTACTATAACTAGATGTTTTCAGTTGACTCAAATAAACTCAAGATAGAAAACATTTGCCAAACTGATGTGAAAAACGAATCAGAATGGATCAATATTACACCAATCCACTTTTTCTACATCTTTTTTTCCAGTTGAAGTGGATGGTGCTTGTTAGAATGAGGCATTCAAATAAATTAAACGATTAAAACATACAAAACTCTGAATGATGTTGAACAACCACTCGATAAATTCTTAGAAGACTATATGAAAAATAGATGATTCTTTAGTAGAAATTAGACGTAAGACCATTTATATGACAATACAGTAAACCCCGCGACTAAGAACCCTGGTGTTTAAGAATCTGTTGGCCTAAAATTTGCCAGTTAGGCCCCCTCTATACAATAACCTGTTTAGCCTAAAATTTGAAACAGGTTCTTATTTTTAAAAAAATCTTTACAATTGGGTAGGATAAGTCAACTTTCAGGATCCTCTTTGAGGACATAGGTGCATTTTAACTCCAACTGCAATGTAATGGTATGCAGATTTTATATAAGAAATAAGCTGATTATACCACTAAATGCTCTTAGCTACAACAAATTTTTTAAATTTTTTTCTTAAGAAAATATAGCTTGAATTTCAGATGATTTCTTCAGGTCGTTTTTACTGAGGGAGTAAAAACAACTTGAAGTAATCGCCTGAAATTCAGGCTAACAAAATTTAATAAGAACCTATTAAAAAACCTAACTGCCCAAATTTGTGTTATACCATTTACGCGAGCATCTGTTTAGGCTAACTTGGGAAAATGCATGTTCTTAATCGTGGGTTTTTACTGTATTTAACATAACAAACAAACTGACTGGACATTTGAGTGCAAAATTGAAAACTACATGTCAGGATTCCAGTACAACAATAATTTAGGTTAACGTGCACGCTGGAGAGTTTATTTCACACTCAAAATATTATTAATATTTCCTTCCCCAGCAAGACATGGGAGTACAAGCCCCAAACCATGGATTTCCTTCCTATTCACACACTGCATTTTGCCTATTTGAATGTCACCTTTTTTAGTGCTAATAGTGGTGTTACTTAGCTTTGTATATCTTAGAGGAATTATCAGGGTGGTTACTAGATGCAAGCGTTTTACGCTTTTGTTCACACAACACAGGATCTGTATCCACACTGAAATAAACAACTAAACCTGAAAAGAAAGAGAGAAAACAAAATAAAGTTTGCCATCAAGTATTTCATGGCTTGGCCTTAATAAAAACACAACTACTGTACATTGCCTTAATGTCCTGCAAGTGGAAAAAATTAGGAAACACACAACCCTCTCAGGCCTTTTGAAAACATTGCTGCAGCAAATAAATGCTGTTAACGTTCTAAGTTACAGTTAACTGAAGACTGCCAAAACATATGTAATAAATTATCTTCAAAACTAACAAGTGTAGTGAGTTTCCTCAACACTGTAAATTATTGTTTCCATTAAGATAAGAGTATCCTTGTTATAACCCAATTTCTATGGCTTTCCAAACTACGATGGCATCCCAAAATGTCTGGATATTTTATATTTGACAGTTGTAAATCTCATAACAGTACACACAAATTATTTATTCCAACATCTATTGTACTTACCTTGCTTGGCATTTGACATAACTTTTTTCCACGCTGAAACAACAAGAAAAATAAACATGATACATATAAGTTAATCAGGAGTTACTTATTTAATGTTCACTTTACCTCAATTTATATTAGCAACTACAAGAACAGATCCACTGTCCAAGACAAATGCAAAAGTCAAATACCAGTTTACCAAGCTACAATGTTATTGATTAGCATATGTTAAAAAATGGTTGGTACAGTGGACCCTGCCTTACGGCCACCTTGTTAATACAGCCACTTCTTTTGGGCTGCCTAGTAAAAACTGCCATACATTTTCTTGTAAAACAACCCTAGTTAAAGCTACCCTGTTAATACGACCACTTTTTCTTCTGCCCAATGGTGCCCGTGTTAACAGGGTTCCACTGTAATATTAAAGATCTATAATAACACCATACATTAAAAAGTTTTTTAAGAAGCTTCATTCCAGTTGTAACATCCTTGGTTTTCAGTAGTACATGTATGTATGAAGAAACAGAATATACAAAACCTACCACTGGTAAAAATGGCTTTGTTTCCCTGAATCCCCTCCCCGCCCCCCCAACACAAATGCATCTTGTTAGAAGCAAGCTGAAATCAGTGGCAGATTGCCCTGAGATGGATCATACATCAAACTGCTGGGAGAGTTTAAATGAGCTGCCATATAAATATTGGCAAAAATGAAAAAGGGTTTGCATTGAGTTGCCCAGGAGTTTTACTCACCATTTCGTAAATATTCAACACATTGCTGTTGGTTAAATGCATTAGTCTGCATTGCAGGCTGAACAATACTAAGGTCACATGAGCTGACACTATTAGCATCCACTCCACTGTCACTACTCTCAGGTCCCTCAACTATTGAAATAAAGAGTATTTATTGGTTTTGTAAAACAATAGACCCACATACATATAAGTAAATAGTTAAGTAGAGACGACTCTCTCTTAACAAGCACCTCTATAACACCTGTGCACACCTCAGTAAAATGGACAATCCCAGACGAAAGCTTCGTGCCCGTCCCAAAGGTGTCTGTCTTAGAGAGAGTTGACTGTAATTTAACTTCTTATTTTATCCTGGAACTCCATTTGAGGGCTTTATTTTTTCATGACAGTTTTAATTGTTTGACTGAGTGTTTTTAACAGTTTTAGGGTAATGGTTTAGTGCTGGGAATAACTGAATACCAGATGAGGAAATCTGTCTGGCAATTATTGAAGAGAAAATGAAAATTATTTAGAGTAGCTTTATCATCCATTAGAGGTGACCTTTCAAAGTGACTAAAAGACCCAGTCAAATCAGAGGACCTAGAATTCAATTTAAAAACTTGCCACTACTGTACCTAACCTTAACCCCACTGATTTGCATGTTCAAGACAAGGCAGTGGTTCTCAAGGATTAGGCTCAATTTCTGTAGCCTTGTTTGACCATCTGTTAAGTTATAAAAAAAAACTTAACAGGAGAGATAGTTTCAAGGCAGTTTACTCTTTTGATTGCATTTTATTTATTCTATTACGTAACACTGAATAAGAGGGTTTTTCTTTTAGAAAATCTTGACCAAAGCTGTGACTAGGTTTTGGTTTACACTCTACTCCTCTGGAAATGTTTTCTGAACTTCATTCATTATTCAATGTTGGCTTTCAGACCAACTCCCTTGGAATTTCTAACAATTTTAGAAAACCTTCATATATAGGCCATGGAGTGGGAACCAAATTTCAAGGAATAAAACAATGTGTGAAGTTTACAAGTAAAAATACCAATTGCTGCATTCACTCCAAAAACAGCTTATAATAGTACTGAAAACGAGTGTTGAACATTTTTTGCTTCACTCATAGTATCAACTGTACACTTGGCTTGACAGGTCATCTTGAAAATGAAATAAGCTTTTTTCCAGAGTTTTGGTTGAAAAATTAACACTGAATTATTATGAAATAGCCTTATTTGGCTGGGCAGTTCAGATTTGCAGTAGTGTTCTCTTTGTAAATGGGCTAATCTGGTCAGCTTGTTCAGATCTATGGTAAGTGTCCAAGATAGCACTGGTTAAAGAAAAAATGAAGATTCCCACTGTTTCCCTTTTAACCAATTTTGCTGTAAAACTTTTTTTTGCATGAATAACGTATAGCACATGTACAGAAACTAGGGTATAAGCTCTCACTGGGCAGACCTTCATGGCTTGAGTTTTTTTTTAAATCTAAATATCATTAAACACACATTTGAAAATAACAGATGTCAAAATTCGGATTTTTCCTGTCCTGATCGCATATTGGTTGGGATTCAAGATTTTCAAGCAAAATCGGGAGAATCCCTATGTGATCGCGATGCTTGAGTGGTCTGTAAGAAGCACTACACTAATAACAATAATTACTATTATACAGGGATGTCACTAAGATTGACAAGTTTCTAGGCACTATAATAATTAGTAGGTGGAGAATTGAACAGCTAGGAATTACTTTTGGTTGTAAGTTCCTCTTGCTTTTGAACAAAAATAGAAGCAGTCATGCTCATAGTACATGGCTTCAGATATTAGTGAAAGCCCTCATATTATTTGTGGATTTTTTAAAACATAACATCTTACCTTTTCTTTTGGCTTTGAGTAAAGCATCTCGGTAAGACAATACTCTTTGAGTTGTCACATTTTCCTTTTGAGAACTAGTTTTATCACTGGAAGGTTCATTTAGTCCATTTGTGACCCTTGACTCATTGCCTTTTGGAATGTTTTCATGCAAATGGCTCTTGGCACATTCAGGTGAAGATTCAACTATAACATTGTTATTTTTGTTTTCTGTATTCTGCAACATTTTATCTGATACCTTGCTATGATTCTTTTTATCATCAACAGATTTCTTCCGATGATGATTTTTCCTAAACTGATTTTCAGGCTGACGCTTATGAAAGTCTTTTCCCTGAAATCTCTCCATGTGATTCCGAGTTTCTTTGCCTGTCCTTGCAGCAAGCTCCTTCTTCTTTCTCCTGTGAGATCTCCTTGTTTGAGACTGCCACCCTCCCTCATCCTCCACTGCAGAGGAACTTGAAACATCGCCATCCACAGAATCCCCTTCAATTACAACAAAGTCTTTGCATACCTCTTTGGTGTCTGACACATCACTGACAGGATCATCATCTATGGCAGTAGTATAAATACTACCTCTGTTTTTCAATGAAGTTTTATCAATATGACCAGCCTTTCCTAAATTGTGGGATTGCTGAAACACGTTTTTAATGTTCTCAGAATTTTCTGCAGCAATTGATGGATCGTCCTTTTCAAGTGCCACATTTGGCAACAGTCCTAAAGCAGATTCCAAAAGCTTTTGTGATGAAGGTGGGAATCCAAATGGAGGCTCTTTGGAGAAAACAGGAGAAGTATAAGATCCTGCAAATACACAAAATGTTGCACTTGCTTAATCTTAGTAGAACACTTAAAAATTTCTGGTTCTCAAAAAAAAAAAAAAATATTAACAGCAATTATAATAACTTGATTTTGAAGGAAATACCGTCAGTTACATCTAAACAAGTACACGTGATGAAAAAACATGTTCTAATTGCGTGATGCACACATGTTTTGCTGACAAACATTTGAAGTTTGGGGTGGCATCAAACATTAATGTTCAAAGTACGTAGGTGGCTGTTTGTTGACTTGATTTGTTTTCCCTCAACAAAATATTCATCACAAGAATTTTTAGATGTTGAGAAGAGTTTCTGGAGTTTTTAATAATTTTAATATTATTCCAAAGAACAATTCTTAAAAGCAACTGTGTGGTGTTTAAAGTACTGATAAGAAACATAGAAACAACTTAAACCTTTGGCACGACAGTTTGCTTTAACGGCTGTCAAACTTCAAATGTTTGACAGTAAAACACGTCATGTCTGGCACCCTATCAGAACATGTTGCTTTGTCTTGCGTCCACACTTAGATGCAACCCATGGTATGAGTACCTTAAGACTGAACTGTTGTAATGGACCATTACCTTATTCACACTTGCTCGATTTACACTAAACACGTTTAGAACACTGAATGTTTTTCTTTAAGTTTTATGCCTATTCCTTAAATTAATAACATTCATATATTATTATGATGACTGTATAAATGATAAGTTAGCTTTAATAATAATATTATGATATTATTTTGACTTTTTGAGTTAAGTAAGAAAGGGAAAAGGATATGGCTGAAATATGAGCCACTTAATAGACCTTTTTACCGATAAGGCGGCCATATTGAATTAGATTTAAGGAGCATTATGGGATGCCCAGGGGACATGAGCATGATCTGATATACTCACTCAGCATTTACGCACGCTTTTCGGACCAATTCTTCTTCAAGTTTTCCTAGAAAAAGATTGTTATGGGAAAAAAAGATCGTTGTGCTGTGTTTGGATGTAATAATGATTGCTTTTTCCCTTGAAATATACAATGACGTTCTCTTTTTGCTCGAAAAGCACGCGTAAATACTGAGTGAGTGCCCTCTGGGCATCCCATAATACTCCTTAAATCTAATAAATTCAGTATGGCCGCCATATTGGTAAAAAGGTTTATTATTTTTGCCTTTCAATCCAGTAATATTTTCAGAACATCATCCCATCATTATAAAGAGTAGTAGTGGTAGTAGCAGTAGTATATTATTATTATTATTATTATTATTATTATTATTATCATAACAACCTTACCCAGTCCAGAATCAACTTCCTTTCCATCATCACTTACAAACAGTTCTTTAGGTGTCACAATTCCACTATCATTGGATGAACAGCTCCCACAAGATGCTACATCTGTTCTGTTTGAGCTGAAATGTTGCCCTGACTCAAACTCTTGCCCAGTTGAAATGTCTGCTACTAAATTTGTATTCATACTGATGCAAAGAGGACCACAATTTCTAGAGCTAGAGACCTTGAACTTCATGTCCACGTCACTACTGCCTGGTTTCCCTGTTTCACTTGTAACAGCACTAGTAAGTGGTTTTCCTGTGCTATTGGCATCAAAATTGGCAGCAAGTGGTTCTTCACCATTCACAACAGAACTCGCAGCTTTTCCTTTCTTTGACTTCCTTTTCTTCTTATTGTTTGTCTTGGGTTTTTCGTTATTATCTACTTTGTCTGAACCACTAATTGGAGTATCCACTATATTTGGAATAACATTTAAATCCTTCTCAACATTACTAATGAAAGTTTTACTGACGAAGCTAGTGCTTAATTTGTCCTTGACAACTTGATTGCTGCCTGGCCGCAGAAAAGAGTGATCACTAGAGAGAATTTTCTTGGTACGATACATCTCAAATTGTTTTTTTGGAAGTGCTGCCAGCTGCCTTGCCATTTCTTTTATTTTGTCAACCTGAAAACAAACGTACAAAGTAAAACAATCTTGAGACAATCTCATAATACAAAAAGATAAACCCTTTCATCGCATTTCCTTACATTTGACAAGCATCAGTGTACAAGATACAATGTAAGATAAAACCTCTATTTACCCTGCAGAAATGCATCAGCTACACTATATATGGAGTATAGCTGGTATAAATTCATGTGCAGTAAACTATATGAATTCACATAAACATGTGAGAATCTGATGCTAAGAAAATAGGTATTAAAATAAATATCTAGAATAATAAAGATCAGAAAAATTGCATGGTAGAAAATGGATATGCAGTTAAGTCGGCAAGTGAAGCTTGCAACGGAACACTGATGGTTGTCTCTTTATCATAGCCATTTCAGTAAAAGGTTCCCGTCACTGAGAGCAGAATATTGAAAGCTTCTTTTGACCCATTGTGGATTTTATTCAAGGAAGATTAACAGATCTCCATCCTTAAATGATTTTGAATAGTGACCAAGTCTAGCTGGTAGAAAGATATGACACAACATGCTTGGGACAGTTATAATTATGTATAATCTTGAAGACCAGTTGAAAATGCAGGAATCTCCTAAAATTCTTTAGCGAGAGTAGACAACATTTTTAATGCATCCCTTGTGAACACAATTTTTGATCTGATACCGGCCATGTTGATATCAATCAACACAGCTGTAAAGAGTGTCATTAAAAATTATTTCATGAATGTGGTAAATTAAAAATACAAAATTTGGAGGCAATGAGTACATTAGAAACAAGCAAGACACAGCTTTGAAAAGTCAGAAATTCCACAGATGTTTGTCTCCCACCATGTAATGTCTCCAATCTTTTGTATCTTGTTCATGCTTTGGAAGGTGTCTAAATTTATGGCAGCAGGAATTGTGACCTTACTTAGACTATAACTCTGCTAGTTTCATAAGCTGAGAAATCCACATTTCATGTTTCACTTAGACCTGGAAATTTCAAGTGATTTAATCTCATTCTAAATTGGGTGAATGTATGTCGTAATACATGTGTACACTTGACCAGACATATTATTTAAAATTCACATTATGTTTATAGCAAGGTTTAAAATTTTACTCCATAGAACGTACCACTTCAAAAATAACTTACATAGGGAAGCTGGAAGGCATTACAGATATTTTTATGACTACAAGAAAACATATAATATGAAAAACTCTGACATTATGTTTTTAAAATCAAAATACCTGACAAACATCAAATAAACACCAGTTTGCATTATTTGATTGCCCTGTGCTTTAAGCATCACTAAAAAGCTCTTAAATGTATTTTCCCAATGTACAATTAACAATGTACATCTTGACAATTGCTTTTGACAAAACTTTTGTCTCTTTGTCAGTTTGTGGTCTTATCAATCTGTTTCTTGTGGCACCGGCATATGGACAGTTTAAGCTACAAGGATTACCTAGTGAGATAATAAGTCCCTTGGAGCTGACAATACAAGCTTGAAGATAAACATGTTACCGTTACATACAATAAAACTAATATTAGTTCCCAATGCCACTTACCAGTGATAAAAAGTAATGTTAAAGACAGAGAGATTTATGATTTTACCTTTGAGTGCATGTCACATGCTGCTGACTGAAGCAATTTTGATGGCTTTATGAGTGCATGTGACCATTGAGATATGTAGCCGGATGTTAATTAAACAGAACACATTAATATAAAGTAGACATTACCGACCGTCTGTGGTCTGTTACCCCTTCTGTAATGTGATTGTGAGCTGGAATTTTTTTGCTCCTTAAAGAAATTATCAATTTTGCTAACTTACACAAGTTTTTTAAGGGCAAATTTCTATCTAAAATTTTCATGAGTATGTCTTGCTCACTCAGCACACACAAATATCCATCAAGGCTAGGACTAGCTTGGAAAAACACTAGTAACACAAAAGAATTATCTACTTGCTATGTGTGGCTGTTATGTAAATGTAGATTTTTTTCATTTGTGCAGTATGTACAAAATCTCAAACACAGTGTAACTTGAAGATTTAATCCTTAGCAGTATTAAGATGTAATAGTTTAAAGAGTTTATATTTTGATATCCCTCTTTACGATGTATGATGCAATCTCTCAAGATATGGCTATTAAAAAGTTATCTGAAAATAACCCTTTACTGATTTTAAAAAAGACAAGCCCACCGCTACAAGATTAATAGAATAGGTAATTTTGTTGTAAAAAAATTTGTCTTCACAATTATATATAAAAACAAACAAAATAAATTACTTTAGTACACTGAGCAGAAACATGCAAATATTGAGAAACAATATCAAACCAGCCTAAATGTCGGAGGGACGGGTAATTTGACAAGTAAAACCAGAACGGAAAAACAAAACATTGGTAGTCGTTATGTCTTCGATTTAATCTTTGTTTGACAAACAGATGTAACGAAATACTTATGAAATATAACCAGTTCGTTTCCTTTTCGTGCAGTCTACCACGCAACGGGCAAAGTTAATATCTCATTACCATTTTTTAAAAAGCTAATATTGCAGACCGAATCCCATTGTATTAAAGCAGATTAAAGCAAAGGTAGAAGGCCAAAGAGCTATATCAGAGCCACACATGTCGAAAGTAAAGAAATTTACAGCAGACAGTGATTTCTCTTGGAAAATAACTTCGAAATTGAGATAGATTCACGTAATTACGACACATGTTGGAATTTAAAACAACTTTACCCAAACTCGCCGCGTGTACATTTCCTCAGCAAATGTGAATGAAGCATGTACATATTATCTAAAAAATCTCTAGATCCCAGAAAAACTAAGACCAACTTTAGCGCGCGACGAGAGAAGGCAAGAGAAGGCAACATTTAAGAAGAGAAATTATTTTACCTTCAATTCACATTCACCAGGATGCAGGACCAGATCAACGGGGTAGAAAACGATAGGAACTTACGGTGCAGTGACGAACAAACTTGTTGAGTAGAACCACGGCAATGCAATCAAGTCCGGTAATATTAAGCTTACGATATTAGTTTTTATAGAACTTTTTACGCCCGATCGATATGACTGGTTGACTGCAAATTACGAGACCTTGTACGACCTTTGCGTCCACGTTTCTAAATGGGGAAAATATTGGGTAACGATTGCATAATCTCCACCCTAAAATGGTACGTCACATTCAGGGCGGAAAAACGTTCTGCGCAAGCCTCTGCGCATCCCTTATCGCAGGCTCAAGGCGGGCTTTTCTGTGGGTTCACTGTGTTTGTTTGTTGCTAGAGTTCTGAGTGAACTGCACGAGGTGCGAACGTTTGCTCCCTCTAAAGCATTTTTATTTGACATGTTTGCTTTTTTTTTCGTCGCTTGAAAATTACTTTGGATTCAGAACAACCAACGTTAAAGGAAAAACGGATCATTCTGTCAGTCTGAGGTGGAATAAAAAGTTTTGAACATTTCTAAAGAGGCGAGTATTTTTTGTGATTGTGCATCCGATTAATTTATGAGTTGATTTCGCCGGGTTGAATTAAAGCCCGCTTGTATTCTGTTATTAGTATATAGTTACGGTTACTTTTTTTACATGCCCAGATTTATTACCTTGGCAGAATCAGCTTTATCTTTGACTTCAGTCAAAGAACCCTATTGCTGCTATAACGCATCAGAGTGAACAAACTTGTGCGCTTATTTAACTTTCTTGGAAATAGAAGGCCAGCAAGCTTACTCAAGATCATTTTTCTGTTGCTCAAGTAATAATAGTCGGAGTTCTTTTCATTTTTCATTACATGGTTTTGTTTTCCAGTGCACTGTGAAAGTTTCTGTTCTTTATAAGAATAACTTTCTGTACACAAATTGTCCTTTTCACTCGCTGTGAAGTAGAGAACGACCACTGCCGGCAGTGACTTCAAAACAATTGACTCTTTTCCCGTAAACAATTTCTGCAGCTGGATTTGACTGAGGCGAACAAAACAAACCCTTATGTGCAATTTTCTGTATTTTCTAATGATCGGCTGAGTTTAATTTGCTTACTTAGTAAACGAAGACCCTCGCATGGACCAGTTAAGCTTAAAATAGCTGTAAATGGTGAATCATGGCTTGGCTGCCAAGTAGCAACTGATCTTTTGCTTTTAAGATCTTTAGGTAGGTTGTTTTCGTACAGAAAATTTATTTCTTCATTGTCAGCAAGAAGTCTTTGAAATAATGTAACTTTAACTTTGTTTGAAGGAAATTCACTTACGCGTAGGTTTTTGACAGATGTTATGCGTGTTCAACTTGACAACACAAAGCAAAATTTATATATCTGCGCGAAACGAGCAAGTTAAAAAAAATATAGTTACTTAGAAACCGACTTTTAGGAAAATTTTGCTGGATAAGGATTGACCTTTTTTCTGCCCACGTATAAACGCAATAACTTCTACATTGAGGATTTTGTTTATATTTTAGTGATCTGCGAAACTACGAGTGTCCGATCGAGCAAGGGTTTTAAAATATCAGCTCGAGTGCGACAAAGTTCAGTGACTTCAAACACATTGTGGGCAAGCGTTAATTTTTTTGGGCAAATCACTGTCCAAAGATATATTGTTTTTGTGTCCACAGTGGAGCTCCGGACCTTATATATTCAGGAACTTCCTTATATGAACACATTTTGTGAATGCAATCGGACCAACGCATACACATTTCCAGTACAACGCAAGGAAATTGATGTCGTTAAAGTCCGTTTTACCATGAGGTATTCTTCGAGAAAATTAAGAAACGACAAGGTTATAACCACAGCTTGCAACTTTTGAAGACAAATTGCCGGTTCTTTCCAGGGTATGAGTGGAAACATTTTATTTTTAGGCAATAAAATATTTGAAATCCCGCCATTTTTTCAAACCCGGTCTGGGGATCTGGGCAAAAAAGTTGACGCATGCTCATTACGTTTTTCCGCCCTGAATCAAAGCTTAAAATCAAAGCACGGGTCAAGCTCGTACCCAGGGTCTTCTCGCTTTCCAATATGGCGGCGGCGGATCGACCTTTCAGATCTTTTTGCATATGCTGATTTTTTCACCGGTTAAATTAATGAACGTATGAGGGGGACAAGCATGAAATCAGAACTGAGGTCGGAGTAAAAGAAAACTGCCTCGTACATTGCTTTGAGTTCGCAAGTGAAGTCATCACACTGTCATCATTGCAGTTCCCGTTTACCGCTATTTTACCTGTTATACAGTAGCAGAAGCTCAATGCCGAGTGGAAGAAAAAAGGCACGTTAAGGTGAGTACTTACGGCTGTATTTTTGGTAATTTTAATTACACTACACAATTTAATGCATGCACGAATGCAATTGCAAGGTAGCTCCTACTGTAGGTAAAAAGTTTCTCTCAGACAGGCGCCTGGCGGCCAGTCAAGGTTTTCCCATCAGCATTTTTTACGGGCGTTCTTATCTTCAGAATTGCTTCTACGGGTCAAAGAATATATAATGTGAACAACTAAAAGAACCTTGAGCGGATATTTATTGCCTCGACATAAATTCCATATCTGAGAGCTTTTCCTGAATATGAATTTAGCACAATAAAATTTCAAATTTAATAAATTCTTGTCATTCTTGACCCANACATGGCCTGTATGAATAAATTTCGCCACCAGGGCAACTCGCTTGACAGTGTGAATTTACCTGCTTGACTTGTTGTTTTAGGATATCCGAAACTTTAAATTTTCTCCTTCACAAACAACAACCATTTGTATAAGCAAAATGCAAAACCATAGAGATGATTAACAACCTGAACTTACAAAAATACAAAGAGGTGTTACGTTCGATTGCATAGCAACGGAAAACTCACTCGTTTGATTTCAGTTGAAGATGGGATACTGTCATAAATCTCGAGAAAAGTTTCAACTTCATCGGCGCGGAGAGTTTCAGCAAGATGTATAGCTAGCACAGTCTCTTCGTCCTCTAATGCAAGGGAGCTAAAACTATCCTGGCAGGCCGCCATGCTTCCTCAGCCCCATTACCAACGAATTTGTATGTTTTTTTTTGCAATTTGTGAAATAAATTATTGCGCATACTCCATTTTGTTTTTCGACCGTTCAAATATCGCGGGCCTCGCTTTTTATTTTACCCACAATGCTTTAGTATCTCTTGTTTCAATATGGCGGAAAATACGAAGATGGAAGTGGAAGCTAACGTGAATGAAACGTCACCCGAGGAGGAAAGTCAGGAAAAGGACGAAATCATGGGTGAAGGTGTCGAAGGAGAAGATGGCAGCTCAGATTCTGAAGATTCTGATGCCGATGAGGCAGTTGTTGACCCGAAAATTCAACAGCTTGAGCTCCAGGTGACCTCATGCTTTTTTTTGCTTGCTTCTGATCTTGTTAGTTGTGCCCATGCTAAAAAAAAGGGAAGAAAAAAAATACTGTTTTTATTACTTTACCCCATTTGACAATAGTGTCTCAACAGTTTTGTTACCTATGTACAGCACTGCAATGTAACTGAGATTGTTAGGTTCTTGCTTACGCTTGCACATCTGTCGGAATCATACAGCTGCACAGTATTAGTATGCAAAGTAAAATGTGCATTATTATAACAAGGTCCTCTTAGGGAGTGGGGGGGGGGGAGTACGTATGTCCCTAGTCTGAAATTCAAAAAATGCGGTCGTTTCGCATTTTGATGTGTCGGCCATGTCCCTGTACGTCAGTTTTTAACCTGTCCTTATATGAGCCTCTCTATATATGGCAGTGGCGTAGCGTAACCTTTTTGTCAAGTATGCACGTGGGTCTGTATGGTTTTAAAAACTTCATAGAAGATAACGTTTTTGCTTTCCTTTAATACATAATAGGCAGTTTACAAGCTTGTTAGTCTCGCTTGCGTAAGCAGCGAGACTCATAATCTGCAAGCCGTTTTTTTTCCGTTGTATTTAGTACACAAAAGGCGGTTGTGGTCCCAGGTGTTCCTAGCGGCAACCATGGAAACTGGAAATAAGAATCGATGCCTGACCGAAGCCATGCATGTTTTTTGCAAATAAAGCTTAGGAAAGATTAAATTTAGAGCTTTTCCACAACAGGTCGGTCCACGAATTCTATAGCTTGAAAGCATTGATTACTTTGGAGCGAGTGAGCTAGCTAAGCAAGCTAAGCCACTTTTTCATCTGTAAATAGACTGAAAAAAATAAAACAGCTGTGAAAAAGCCTGCGAGAAACAAATCAACAATCATTTTGAATTTACTCTTATCAGAGCTACATATAAAATACCAGTGGTTGTTCGCCGAATAGCTATAACTATCAGTGGTACTTTACATATGCCTAACTGTGTCCAGAAAAGTACCTTAACATTTGTGATTGTTTTTTCAGGTGGAGAGCAATCCTTACCACTATGATTCACATGTGCAACTTATCAAAATGCTCAGAGAGTCTGGTGATCTTGACAGAGTAAGGAATGCTAGAGAGAGTATGAGCAAAATCTTCCCTTTGACACAAGGTAACATTTGCATAGTGGTATTTATGAACTACTTGTAGTTTGTTGCACGTGTTAAAAAAAATGCATTATACACAAGCTGAAGATCATCCTCTCAACTAAAACTCACCTGTTTACTGTATTATTAATATTCCAGTCAAAATACTTGGCATGTTCTGCTCATTATTATGACTTTCATTACTCCGTTGCCTACTAAGGATTATATACGTCCTGTGTGAGGTCACTCAGCGACCTAGGACATTATTATACGTCCTCGGACGAATGAAATCACCAGAAGTCTGGTCGTTCAGGTTGCCTTGAACAAATGAACTCTGGTTGTTGAGAAAGGTCAGCGGTTGCTGGGTGTATTTGGCTCTGGTAGGCAAGGGGTTAATCGTGAACGGATTGCATTACCAGAATAAAAACTCCACTTTCAAATAGATGATTGAAATTGCCCAACAGAAGCTTTATTTATGACTCAAAATTAAAGTTGTTTTGGGCCTTTCTGACATATGCTAAACGTTTACACATGAAATATGAAACCATTAACCTGAGATCAGGCTCTATTTTTGTTTCCCTTTGAAAATTACATTACGGCGGGCAAGACGAAACGAAAAGAGAGCCTGATACAAACCTTTAACGAAATGTCTGCCACCCACTTTTTTGATTGATTGACATTTGCCGAATCAGCCAATCAGAACTACTTGCGTTGCTTGTTTTTGTAGTATGCAAATTTTTGCCGCATGGGAAAAATGCAGACTGGCTGACTTAAAAAATAGCTTTTATCTGTTAATTTTTTCAGCTAAAAATAAAACAGTCAGCACAATCACATTTAACTTCTTGCAAGATTAAGGGAGATCTCGAAGGTTACTTCTGTTTGCATAGAAGGTAAAAAGTTTTCGAAAAGACGACGACAGAATGTTCTACTAGTTTTATTTTATTTTGGCTAGGTGCTCTGGAATTTAAAATACTGAAATCTCTATTTTTCCGTTGTCTTGATATTTTCCTCGGCAATTTCCCCTGATTTTCAGTACTTAAATCTTTATAAACAAAAGCAAACAGCCAATGAGCAAGGACACCAGTTTTCTTGGTTTATTTTTAATAAAAAGCGTAGTCAAACAACCAGTCTGTGAACACTGAAAATTCCTTGAACAGCGATGCGATATTTTTCGTCTAATACTTCATAGTTGGTGATTGAGGTTTCTTTCACAGTGAGCCTCCGCTTGTGTACCCCGTTCAGAGAAGTCATTCCCGCCTAAACTTTCAAATGAAACCAGTTTTAAGATGGACAGTATTTTGATTTGCACCCGTTTGTTGGTAAATCAAAATGCACCTTGTTAGTGGTCAACAACTTGCAGAGGGATTCAACTCCGCGATACACTCACTTTCTGTAAATAAAGCAAATCCTGAGAAGATATGAACAACCACATGAATTTTCTGAATTTCCATGGCACATATTAGGGCATATTTTCCTACCATAAGACCATAAAACAATAAAAAAGACAGCAAAATCAATCCTTCTCTCCACCGACGACGGATCATTCACAAAAACAACCACGCGAGGAATAAGCGCTTTCAACTTCCTGCGTTTCCGACAGCCAATCAGATCTTGTGGCATTGTTCTTACTGCCAATCAGCATTACGGCCAAAATCTGGCCCTAACGAGCACAAACTTGTAATAGTTTGTATCAGGCCCAATTTCAGCGGTAGCTGTTAGAGAGAATGTATGAGAACCGCTCAAATTGGGCCTGATCTTAGGTTATGAAACCATTACTGGCTGTTGCTTTCAGTTGGTGTGACGTTGTGGAGAATTTTCCTTAATATTTAGGAGCGTTATTTTCTTGATCAACTACAATACACTTGCATCTTATACTATTCTTCGATTTATAGATAGTGCTTTTGAAAGCACTAGGGGTAAGATTTGAAAGAGGGCAGCTGTTAGTGTAGTGATTTGTTTCTTGTTGGCTATAAACTAGAAATTAAAATTAATTGATATAAATTCAGTACAACCCTGACAACTTTTGCATTGACTTGTTGTTTTTAATTAGAGCTCTGGTCAGAGTGGCTTAAAGATGAAATGCCATTAGCATGTATACCAGAACAGAAAGAGAATCTTATATCATTATTTGAAAGAGCTGTTAAAGACTATCAATGTAAGGTTTTTAATGTTTGTTATGAATATCGTAAATAACTAAATAAACCTTATTTGGCAGTGATTCTTTTAACATGTGGTCCTTAGGACCACCAAGTGATCATCTTCCTGCTTTAGCATCTGTGCGTGCATGCATGTGTGCATGCATCCTTCAATCTGTTGGTCTGTCCTTCCTTTCTTCCTTTCTTCATTCTTTCTACTTCATTTCCTTCTTTTCTTTTCATGTTTTGGTTATGGTGAGAAATGTCTAGGTGCAGGATGAAATCTTTCTGAACCCATTTTTTTGGTGTATTTGGCACTGTGCTGCACTATCTAAGGGCAACAAACATACCAGAACTTCAAAAACTTTTGATGTGCTGGAAAGGACTTAAAGCACCATCATAAACAGCACTTTCCATTTTCTTTTGACTATGATTACACATGTAGGAGGGTCAGATGGGGTAAACACGGGACCTATGAAACATTGCCTACCCTTCCTTAACAACGCCAGCCCTCCTTAACCCATTCGCTCCTAGAGATTTTGCCGAAAAACGCGTTTTGAAGCTAGTCGAGTGGTTTTCTGGTCACTGTCGTGCTATAAAGAGCTAAAACTTACCACAAACTGGTTTACAGGTCGAACACTTCGCGGTCTTCCGATCCAGATGCAAAATATCAGCTTGCGAAGTTCGGGCATGCGCAGAAAGCAAAATTTCGACATAGTTTTTGGGTTTAAAAGTGACACAGCAGTCTTGACTTTTACTTTTCGCTTTCTCTCCTCCCTTCTTTTTTTGCTTTTCTTGCCTCATTTTTTTTTTCTCTTGCTGGGCATTTAGTAGGCTTGATTTTGGTGGGAAGAGTTTTTAGGAAAGCTTTTAGGATCTTAGGATTAGGCGAAAGGAAAGGTAGGTGGGTAATGGGACAAGATTTTCATGGAGATTTTCAGGTCAATGTCACGTGGTTTTTTGCTTGTTTCTCCGGTGTCCTTGACTGAATTGTGCTCATTCTGGTATGGTTTGAAAGATCTCTTCACTCTGCACAAGTTAGTGAAGAAAGTTGTCCTTGACCGTTAAAACTGATGACGTCACAATGGGTAGAAAGGACCTGGATCCGCACGGGCGGTTACGGGCGGTTCAGGGGCGAATGGGTTAATCAAAAAACCTAAAAATGGCCTTTTACCAACTTTTTCACCTGATTTGACATGAAATAGACAGATTTGGTTGTTTTATGCTGAAAAGTGGATTTTTTTCAAAAAGCTTGGTCCTTTGCTTAACCCATTCGCTCCTAGAGATTTTGCCGAAAAACGCGTTTTGAAGCTAGTCGAGTGGTTTTCTGGTCACTGTCGTGCTATAAAGAGCTAAAACTTACCACAAACTGGTTTACAGGTCGAACACTTCGCGGTCTTCCGATCCAGATGCAAAATATCAGCTTGCGAAGTTCGGGCATGCGCAGAAAGCAAAATTTCGACATAGTTTTTGGGTTTAAAAGTGACACAGCAGTCTTGACTTTTACTTTTCGCTTTCTCTCCTCCCTTCTTTTTTTGCTTTTCTTGCCTCATTTTTTTTTTCTCTTGCTGGGCATTTAGTAGGCTTGATTTTGGTGGGAAGAGTTTTTAGGAAAGCTTTTAGGATCTTAGGATTAGGCGAAAGGAAAGGTAGGTGGGTAATGGGACAAGATTTTCATGGAGATTTTCAGGTCAATGTCACGTGGTTTTTTGCTTGTTTCTCCGGTGTCCTTGACTGAATTGTGCTCATTCTGGTATGGTTTGAAAGATCTCTTCACTCTGCACAAGTTAGTGAAGAAAGTTGTCCTTGACCGTTAAAACTGATGACGTCACAATGGGTAGAAAGGACCTGGATCCGCACGGGCGGTTACGGGCGGTTCAGGGGCGAATGGGTTAAAGTCCCAGAAAATCCTTTTTAATGACAGAGCACTGGGTTAAGTTTTACTCCAACCATCTCACATTCCAATATTAGAGCCAGTGTTGAAACCTGCCCTCCCAACCTACACAGTTTGCTCCAGTTCTCTCCCCTGGCCCTTCCATCCCTGACATTTTATGGGCCTCCCCCCCAAGCTTCGCGAGTTTCTGCAATACACGTATTTCTAGTACTTAATATAGCACAGCTACAACTAATACACCATAAGAAAGAAAACAGTATTTTACCGTCACTTTAAAGGTGCTTTGAATAATTAATTTTAACTGCTGCAGCTGTACAACTGTGGATTCTGTACTGCCAGTTTATGATGGATACCATGGAAGGTAGCGACAGTCTTCAAGGAGTGAGATCAATCTTTGAAAAAGCTATTATTGCTACCGGTCTCCATGTAACAGAGGTAGGTACTTGATGCATAGTTGTCCCAAAAATTCCATACTGATGAGATGTAAATCTGTCCAGGATCTTGTTAACATTGAATGTGCAAGGTGCTTAATCTTCCCAGAAACACCCTTTTCCTAGCAGTAAATTATTTGCATCACAAGAGGTATTTTAATTTTGCTGGCAATAAATTGACAGCAGAACTCAAAATGTAGGATTTCTTAATGATGTCCTAAAACACACCCTGATATAATTGGAGGAGTCTACTGGGTTGATTTGTGTTAATTGGAGGGAGGGGGGGTTTGGTCATTGACATTTGGGTGGGGAGGAATGTAAAAGAGGGAGTCTCCAGATTTTAGATCTCCAGAGCTTGGCATCTCTACTCCATACTTCACTATTCTCTTATGGAATACACAGTCCTCTTGTAGTGTTATACATTTTCCATAACATTTTTGAGATTGTGCAAATTCATTTTTCTATACTATCTTTATTCTTAAAGCTGCTAGGGAAAAAGTAAAGTTGTGTCTTATTTGGTTGACACTAATATACATTTGTGTACACTGCACTGCTGAGGAACATAATTTTTTTTTTCAGGGATCATCCATTTGGGAAGGGTATAGAGAATTTGAAACAGATATACTAGAATCCCTTGAGGTCAGTATTCAACAAAATGTTAAACCAGTGGCTCTTGGTATTTACACTACAGTGTGCAATGTTTGTTAGATTTTATTTCTATGATGGAAATTAGTCATCAAAATTTTGAATTAGAGATGTCCTGTGAAAGCTTTTTGAATCATCACTTAAAGTATTGGTTAAGGCCAGTTTATACACGCCTACTTCATGCAACATTATTTTTGTTGGATCCAACAAAGTTGGGTGATGTTGGACGGTGTTGGAAGAGGAATACTGTAGAACAGTCAAGTTCCACGGGAAATTAAAGTAAAAAAGAATTTCTGGGTAAACTGTTTTTCCAGAAATTAAACCTTAAATAGAAAGTCATTGTTTTGTGTATGAGAATACCAGACAAAAAAATGATCTAGACTCAGCTTTCACAAGGATGAGGGACAGTGCACTAATTATTGCACTTGCGTATATCTAACATTACAATGATTGTGAAGTTCAAACTTGGCCAAACGTGGTCATTCAAACATGGCTATTAAGTTGCAACGTGGTTCATTGCACAGAGAAAACAGGAAATGGTGTGATGATTTTGAACATTGCCCAGCTTGGTGTTCAAATGGATCAAATAGTTTTGATTTAAGAATTGTTTTGGCTGATACATTTACTCCAGTTGTGTTAAATGCGTTTCCAACTTAGGTAAGACGTCCTATAAAGTTCTCCGCTCCAAAAATCTGGGAGACTGTACTGCCTGGTCTCAAGTGTCTGCCATATCATAAGTTTAAGAAAGAATGGAAGTCCTGTCTTCTAACCAACCAAATCTGACCTTGCTTATATGTTTTATCGTCGACATTATCTGAGATTTTATTCCTCTCTTTACTGCTGCCAATTATTTCAGTGTGACGGTGTCCAACAAGAAAGCTCTTGCTACTTTGGACACTGTACACAAATGAACTTAATGTCTTTTAGTTAATTATTATTTATCAGTTACTTTATTTTCCTACCTACGTACACTTATGTAAATATCTTATATAGTGTGAAATAAAGAATTGAATTGAATTGAATTGAATTCACTGGAAAAAATTATAACAGATTCCCATTTTTGGATATTTTAGGGTATTTAAAGAATACCGGGTACCCAGTTTTTAGGGTTTAAACCTTCTCACTCTGTTCAGGGTTAGTCCCTTGAACCAACCCTTAAGGGACCAACCCTGAACAGAGTGAAACGGTTTAAACCCTAAAAATACCCATAAGAAATTTATGGGTAAAATGTCCAAAAATGGGAATCCATTATTTTTTCTTGTGATTATCTGTGTTTTTGTTGTTCCATTGGAGAACTGAACTCCATTTCTGTTACATATAACTTTACAGCAAATGGTGACTGAAGAAAACAGAGAAACTATGATGGAAAAAATGTGAGTTATTACTTGTACAGTACATGTAGTGCTTGTACACCAATCTATGCCATGCCATAAAGAATACAGCCAATCAGAAAGCTAGTAACCTGTTGCAAACCGTACACAAGGGGCAGTATTTCACAAAAAATCCCAGTGAGGCTTGGGGCCTCCGTATTTTCCCTTCAAACACAGCAGATAGGAACAGGAAAACTTTTCATTCTACAAAAATTGCCGGGAGTAGGTTTGTTTAAACCCTAGTTTAAACTACTACTATTCAGACCACTTGAAAGTATTGTATATCTAGTATGTATAGATAGGACAATGGGGGCATTGGACTGTATAACAAAGGCAAGATAGCTAAGCCATGGCCAGAATCTTTTTTTGAAATTATTTTGAAGGAACTTCATCTGGGTTGTTGAAAGATAGTTTTATGGGCATCGGTGTGGTTTGAAAGATGCTGCTTGTTCTCCCCTGCAGTAGTAAAGTGTGAATGTTCTCTACAACCCTTAAAACTGATGATGTCACTGTGCTACAAGGGACATTGATCTACATGGGCAGTTACAGGCAGTTGATCTGTGAATGTGTTAAAGTGAAGAAACTGTGTAGTTCTGTGGCATGAAAATTGAGGGACAGTAAGAAAAGAGAGAAGTGCATTATGAATGACTATTCAATGACACCCTGATTGACACCAGAGCGTAGTGTCCCAGACTGATGTTCTCAGGGCTTTATCATGCCTTCCTGTCCCATGAACGTTTGCTGAAATGAGGGGTTAACACAGCCCACTTTGGTTTCAGCAGGTGTTCTTGGGGCAGGAACGCATGACAAAAGCCCTTTGAATGTCTGCTTGGGAGGCTAACCAGAGCCATGATAAGAATCACTTACACCCCCATCAAAAGTGCATTAATTTTTTGTTTTAAGGATGGCAGACACCTGGGCCGAGTTGTTCAAAGCTGGGTTAAGATAACTCAGGGTTAGTGCAAAATTTGAATTCAGATTTGAAAGGATAAAAAGCAAATTCATTTTAATTCTTTTTATCTACATATGATGATTGGATGATCTTAAAAGAATAGAGAAAACTACCCAAGAAAATGCTTTCCAATAAAAGAAAAAGAATCCCAGATTAAAATTTAACTCAGGTTAGCGCTAATCAGCCTTCAAACAACTGGGCCCAGGGAATTTCCTTTAAAGCCATGTTTGTATTATTTAATACTTAATTTAATTAAAAATAATTAATTTGTTCCTCTCTTTCCATAGTTCAGCTCAGAAGGAGAGAGTGTTGTCAGTCTTCAAAAGGCAGCTTGCTGTCCCTCTCCTTGGTAAACACCTACTTATAAGCTAGCCCTACCTGTTAAAATATTCAAGGGTCAGAAGCTTTTTACACATCCACTACTTTACTGGCCCGAGTTAGCTTTTTCAAAGACTTCTGGGATTGTTACTGGTGGTGCGCCAGTCAGCTATTGGTCAAGTTGTTTGCCCTGTCCCCGGTAACAGTCGCAGAAGTCTTTATGAAAGTTAACCCTGCTCAGTTCCTTCTCGTTTCTAAAGTGGCAAATAGGCACAGCGGAAGCAGTAGAAATTTCAGTTACATGTTTAAAAGAAATTGGCATGCTTTCAAATTTTTCGGAGTTTGGGGTGGGGGCATCATTACTCATTACTCCATTTCTTATAAATTGCACTATAACCAGTGTTGAAAATTATCCCTCTAAAGGCTGGAGCAGAGAGGTGACTAGTGTTATTACAAGGGGTTAAAATTAATGTAAGAAAAAGAAGAATTAGGCCTCTCACAGCATATGTGAACATGTTGAATCTACCATGATACTAATTATGCCTCAAGAAACAGTATGTGGAAAAAAAATATTGTTTATAAGTTTTGTATAATTTACATTTTACATTGTTGCTAGACCTTTTTGACTGGTCAGTATCTTTAAGGTATAATTCAATCTGGAGCTTTAAAGCCTTTGATATTATTCACTATAAAGGAAGAGATTGCTCACACCACATACTTTGCCAAAAAACAAAGAAAAAAAACCACGACAACAAAAATGCCAGTTCTAGAGGTATTATCCTTTGTGAAAGGTACAACGTACATGTATATGTCTTACAGGACAGCCATAATTAACAAATAGTTTATGAATTCTCACTTGATTGTTAATACGGGTTGATTCTTTAATTTTGGTGATCTCTAGGGATGCAGGCAACGTTTAGAGAGTTTGAAGACTGGCTGGAGTGCTCCGTCCCTGATGCAGTGAAGATAGCTTATGACAAAGCGTTGGCGAAACTGGAGGATTGTCTGCCCTTTGAAGATACACTGGTAATGTACATTGTACAGTTACAGCCCTGTTTATAGGATTTATTAAGACTTTTTTAATAAGGATATCTCCATTCAAGAGAGTTATTGAAGAGAGTGCAATCATAAACAATTTAATTTTTATTATTATTGAATTCGGCTTTCATTTGACGTGAAGAATTATGCAGACTGAGGATGGATAACATCCAAGATAGGCATAATTCTTCACATCATAAAAATGCCAAGATGAATAGTTGTTTTATTATTCATTCAAAATATTTTAAGTTCTTAACAAGCTTACCTCCTCATAGACTTTCCTCAGAACTTGGTCTATTTCTCGGCATGGTTTCAGGATAGTAGCAGATGTTTTTTATTGCAGATAGTCCTCAAAAAGTAGGTAACATCCATCAAGCAATATGTTTTGTGTGTCTTGTATTTTTTCCATAGTTTTAGTCAGAATTCCAGATTTTTGGTCTTCAGATAGCTGTGAATGCCATTTTTATTTGTTCACTATTACCCAAACAGCTTTGTTTCAAAGTAAATATACCATCAATGAATCAATATTCCATTTTCGTGCAAGTGCAATCGCAAGAAGGAGAAAAGCATGGTTTCATTTAGGCATGAGCAGAGTATTATTTTGCAGCCAAACACAGTTGGACAACATTGCACATGAGCAGACCATTATTTGTGGGCAGTTATTTGTAGGTCATTTGGTGGGCTCTCGGCCAATGAAAAGGAGGGCAAATTTCACTTCAAGTGGTAATGTTATTTATCTTATTTAGGCTTCAGCACAGCCTCCAAAGACCACTGAATACAAATCATACTTGGAATATGAACTGAAGAAAGGTGATCCAGCCAGGATACAATGTTTGTATGAAAGAGCGATCAAGGACAATTGCCTTGTAGGGGACATGTGGACTGAATATACCTCCTATTTGGTGAGGCATTTGAATTCAATATTTTTTAGTATCCTTTGTATGTATATTTTACAAATTAATGTACTTTTGTTGAATCTTACGCAGTTTACAGACATTTAAGTTCTATGTGAAATAACAGGGAAGGATAGAAATGAAAAAGGAAAAAAAAGGTTAATGTATTTAGCATGAAAGTGCTAATAAAATTGAGGACACTTTTAAAAAACATCTTTGCTGGAGACAAGGCTGCCATTTTATTGATCTTTCATAGCTCATGAAGGTCTTGCCATTTGCACTTTAAGACCCTGGGTATTGGTCAGGCCCCGGGGATTGAACTGGTGACATCTCGCGTTTCAGTCAAGCGCTCTACTGACTGAGCCAGTCCTACTGCAGTAATGTGCTTCCTGCAGCACAACTCTGGAAAAGCCAAACTGTACATGTATTTATGACTCTATGTTTCTCCTTAACAAGCATTGTATGCAAGCCATCCAGGAAATTCTACCTTGGCTTTCTAGGAATACTTAAGTTAAAACCTGATTTATCCATTTAGAATTAGTGCACTTTAATTTCTTATTTCTTATTAGTACCAAACTTATTTTTTTCCAGGATTCCACTCTAAAGATAACCACAGTGGTAATTCCTGTGCATGAACGTGCTGTTAGAAACTGTCCTTGGGTATCCCTGCTCTGGCAGAATTATATCAGAGCACTGGTAACAATAATTATGCATGTTATGTTGTCCATCCATCTGTCCATTGAATTCTATATTTTTCTCTAGTCATCTGATCATTCAGTTAGTCACTCATTTTTTGTGTATTTGTGTTCCTCAATAATATATACATCCATTTAGATAAAGCATTTTTGTGCACTTTTTAAATATATACTTTAGTTACACATAAGTTTGATGTTGAGGAATACCGTATTTATTCAATTAAACGCATCGGCGTTTATTTCAAAATTACGTTTTTAAATCACTGACATCAATGTTTACGATAGATCATTTGGAAATATTGTGTGAAACAGAAAGGTGTCTTTAAAAAAGTTGCAGTGTCTCATCTCTCTTGCTGAGATAGAATTGTAACTGTCTGGATTATTTAATTTTCAAGAATCAGCGAGTTTTTTCTTACAATCCTCAAAAAAATGCGCATATACTCTTGATTGGGTGCAGTGTTACTTGGTAATTTTGCTTCCATCTGCGGCGTTTAATCGAGTAAATACAGTACACAAAGAGTTTTTACTCTTTTCTTTATTAGGAGCGCACTGGGCAGGATAATAACAAAGTAAAAGGTATTGCTGATTATTTGCTTAGCTGGAAGTGACTCTTGCTTTCCATCTCTTTTGTCCCTGTAAGTCATGCACTTTTCATCTGATGTAATGTGTTTTGGTTTTTGTTTGTATAGAAACCCTGGACACAGCTCTTGGTTGTGGGTTTAGCACTAGTGATGATTACCTGCAGTTATGGCATTCTTACTGTGATTACATGAGAAGAAAGACTGATGACTGGACTGAAGGTATGCTGCTGCAACAAATGCATATTGCTTTTTAACAACTTTGTTTTTAGTCAGTGACGCAGGCATCAATCAAAATATCTGAGTTCTTGCAACAATACCCAGTGTTGGAACCTATGACCGTGAGAAGTTCAAACTGGATTCCTGGGGTACTTACCATTTACAAATATGGGAAAATCAGAATTCTGGTTGGAAAACCAAATGTTTCGCACTATTCCATTTAGGAGGTTTTAGAAAATATGGGCTGTGATTTGTGGCGATGCAATTTTTCTACTCTTTTGAGTCTGTTCAGATGATTTTCACATACTTCGCAGGGGTTGTTCTCCCACCACATAGTTTTATGTTTGTTCACAAGATTGGTTGGTGTAAATGTTAAGCCTCCTGCTCTTCATGAAAACTGTTCTTACTGGTTCCATGTATTGTTCAAAAGGTGGACAGTGCTATATACTGGATAAATCTCCACCTGGCCCAGTGGATAAAGTAATTGGTTTCTCTAATACTTTAGCAGGCATGTTGGCATCATTTGAGACTGAACCAGGCTTCAAGGGAGACCAAACCACGCAGCTATACTCACTTGGGGCTATACCTGAGAGCAACAAAGTGATTTCAACCCTCCTGATTTATTTCATAGTTTCCTTATGATCTTCATTACTTTGCACTTTTTCACCTTCTGTGTCATGCCAGCGTAAAGGTTGAGTTTATCCTTTGAAAATCACATGGAAATATAAAGTTATTCTTTCAGGCTGAGTGTACTTATGGCACATAGCAATACACTGATTGACTGTGCACACGCATGACTTTGAATAAATGTCTCGCTTGGCAACTGTCAGTCTTCAAATTATTGATTATTTCGCTTGCTATCAGTTCATTCATTGTGTTTAATAATTGCCTCATCATGCAATCAATTTTACAGATGGCCAACAGGTTAAGGAACTCAGAGAGACTTTAAAAACGGCAACGGAATATTTACAAAATTGTGAGTTTAGAATCAAACCCCTCCTTGTAATTTACTGTTCCTGTTTTTTTTTCCATTTATACAACTTGTGTGACGTCGTGGTCTCTGTTTCAGTCTACTTTTTTATTTGATTGGCGTCGAGTCAACCACAAAAATTATTATAGCTAACATCTTCAAATTTGAGTCAACACTATAAAATATTAGCCGAGGGGATTTGAACCAATCGTAAACGAGGAACAGTTTTTTTATTTGCGTAATAATAGTTATTATTATATAGACACGAGTGTTTTACTGGAAAATATACCACTCGTAAAATTAATTAAAACTACATCCGGGACCCGAGTGGTTTATTTTCCATAATCTCACACGTGAGTTTATCGATGACTTAATTTCGGTCATTTCCCTCTATTATTTTATCGATGTATTTTTGTCTATATAATAAAAAGGACATTACATGGCGGCTTTAAAGATTGGCCTGAGAACCTGCAAACGTACTTAAAAGTTATGTTTTTGACAGTTAAAATTAAATGTTTCATGCGCTTATATAAACTGATACAAATACTTGAAGACATAACTTGTTTACAATAATTTTATTCATTATCTGTTTTTCTTTTTCAAACTTCACCAGCCGCTGTAAGCGTATGCTTGTATGAAACCGGCGTTATCAGTAGAAACCTGTCGACCTGGCTCATGTTCGAACTTTCTTCTTTCGTAGATTTCGGCAAAGATGGTGATCCTACAAATCTTTTGGACAGATACTGGGCACGAATTGAGGTAAATAAATTGACAGTATTTTTGTTTGCTTATTTTCTGAGGTTGGGGATTGATAAAGTATCATATCTCTTAGACCCCTTACGAGTTAGTGTTAGTGTATTGGATATTGGACTTAGCGTTAGTACCGAATACTCTCCTTAAAAGTAGGATTGGAGTCATCATTGTAACTGCCCATTCCTTGAATCTGTCAGTTCATTGGTTTCTCAGTTTATTAGTGAGTCAGGCGACGGTTTAAAAACAAGGATTGACCTAGTCAGTTAATGCTTGGCCTTTTGTGTAAGAGGCTCCGAGTTCGATTTCCAGGTGTGATTTCAAGTCCTCGTTTCGACTGCTTTCCTTTCAGTGTAACTTTAGGTAGCAAGGATGGAGAGTAGGGGGTGGGCCGTCGGGCCCAGGTTTGTCTGTCAAATGATGACTGTTACAAGATACCGACGAAAAAAACTGACCACGAGATATGATAACTTTTCTTAAGGACCACTTTATTATCCTTACTTAACAGCATCGGGGTAACAAATGGGTTTCTGTTTTGCGTTCTCAAAAATTACGATGAAAATCATAACTATAACAAAATTCTCAAATCTGATTGGTTATCAACTGTCCTAATTTCAGCACTTACAGGACAGTGCAATTGGACAGTAAGCGTCATGGCTTGGTAATTGGACAGTACGCGCCATCAAGAATTTCTTGTGTTTTAATTGTTTAAAAAGCCTGAAATATCCAAACTTTTGTTATAATTGTGATTAATTGGTAACAGAACTTCGTGTCGTCCAATTTGGTCTGTAATCATACTCGTGATTAAATAAATCGGACTCCTGTTACGCCGTCGGATTTTGTTAATCAGTCGTATGATTACATTACGAACTGTATCTCTTCGTTATCTTTATCTTAGGTCCATTATTCTAAGGTTGTCTCTGGCTGTTTCCTTTGTTTTCTTCGTTTTCAATGATAGGCGTTTCACATCAAAAACATTACAGAATGTCAGAGAATCTGGGACAACGTAATCTTGCCAAACCATGGGCGAGAGGCAGAAATCTGGCTCGAGTACGCCAATGTGTTAAGGTCAGTTAAAAGTGATCTCGTAATCTTTCGAATTTTTTGCACAAGAGAGGGGAGAAGTCGTTGCGTCACGTTGCCGTTGGAAATACTTTACGCTACTTATACTTTGGGTGCTTGTCTTCTGTTGTGAGAATTTTCACAAAATTCTGTGAGAAGAATTTCGAGATAACTTTGAATTTCTACAAAAAGGTATAAATAATCCATGATCTGAAGACTGGACTTAATCAAGACAAATTTGCTACTTTTGGATGCTTCCGAAAAGTTTTTATCACTCATTCGTTTTGCAAATAAACTTTATACACTCTACAACCGGCTAAACGCAAATAGACATGCGCGATTTCGAAAGAACATGAAAACATGTGAATCAGTAAAACGCAATGCTAAGCTCTTTTTGTAATTTCTAAGGCTACTTTCACGAAAACAGCGATTGAACCAAAATTTGTACGTAGATTTTCTTTAAAAAATTTCAGTGCTTCAATTAATTAGTGTACTACAAAATTCCCGAATTTCGTGTCCATTGAAAACTTTTTAAGTTGTCTAACGTAGGCGCAAAATGGAGTAAATATTGAAGCAATTTCATAGGTCTGGCTTAGTTTTTGCGATCATTTATTCATAAAATCACAGAGTGCTGTCTTCCATTCTTTCTGCGAACTTGGACACAAAATCACGATTTCCCAATTAAGTACAACTGTGGCGCATTGCCGTTAAGCGCGATCTACCAAAAAAAAAAAAACCCCTCCTATACTTCCATCATTTCTCAATGATTCTGTAAAATTTTATCCAAATCGCCTCTAAAACATCCGAGATATGAGCGTTTTAAAAGATGCAGCAGGAGAAAAACTTTTGCTCATAGACAGGTGTCTATCTCTAAACTAAAGAAAGAGGAAATATAACTCAGTATAAGCAACTTATGGTTACGCTGTTTGGAAATAAACCTCTTGTTTTGTCGCGCTCTCTCAAGGCCCCTATGTCTTTACAGATCTCCGTAGTTTTGCAGCAGTAGTGTAGGGCGCGCCGAATTGACTCTTTTTTTGCGTAGGAATCCCTTTAACTTGCGGAGGATACATTATCGCCAATGACTTTGAAGCCTTTTGTCTTTATCTCATGAATAAAATGCGAAGGAAAAAATCTATCTCACGCAGTCTTTGGTTAAAAGTATTAAAATTGTTACAGGTGATGTTTTTGGATTTGGTTGTAGTTTGTCCCGTGCGTGTTCTAAATAAACAGTGCCTCATTTCCAAAGGCATAGCACCATCCGAGATTATGACAGGCGGTTATGGAAGCGAATATTAATACCAAAGTATTGTTATGCACGTTGCATTGAATGTACTCCTATATCTTTGGACATCTTGTTCCAACCAGGTCCGTTCGTGACATTAAGAAGTGTCGCAAAATTCTTCAACGAGCTGTGCAATCAGCAAGTGATAACCCTGAAATGGTGATCCAGGCCCTGCTCAGTTTTGAAAGAGAGGAAGGTGAGTGAAGCCGTGCACTGTAGTGAAACCTGAATAAACTTAAGTTGCATCTGTTTCTAGACTTTGCTAGCACTCTTATTTTACCGAAAACTTGTCCCGCACTAAGCTTAGATCAGGCTCTACTTTCATTTTACTGGGTAAATAGATTCCAGGCCGGCAAGGCGAATCGAAAAGTCTCCCATTTAGTACAGCATTTGTGTACTTGAATTACGTGTACTTGCGAATCGACTGTATAACAATGATTGTTGCATCACTTGCATGTGCATTCACGTGATTACTGTGACATCAGACGGACCTTTAACTCAACACTAGGGCTTTCGAGTCCACATACCATGCATATTAGTCGGTACAACACGGACATCCCAAGAATGTGAACAGAATCAAGAAAAATCTCGCTATACAGTTAAAAGTGTGTCGCTGACCAAGAAGAGGCGGCGGGCTCCTTTTGTCGCCCGCAACAAGCGTTTTCATTTTCTTGTATGTTTATTCAAAAGCAAAATATTTCCTGCTCATCGTTTTCTGATCTACAAAACACCTGTCGGGTCAGTTAAGCGTGCTTCTCTTTCCACGGTTATCTGTTATTTTCAAAGACACTATTGAAGTAGCTGTTTCTGTCTGAAAAACGTGGTTCTACCAATGTTTGGGCTTATTTCAGGAATCGAATTTTTGTTTAACTGAACCCTAAACTGTGCTTTGTTGGTCCTAGGAACCTTGGAAGACTGGGATGCTGCTTTTTCAAAATGTCGTGTGCAGCTTTTAAGGGTCAACGAACGACGGCAGAAGGTTTGAAAAGCTACATAGATTTGTCCTTTGGAAATAAGGCAAATAAAAATGTAGCGAGTTTTTCTCTGCTCCACGTTATTTCTTTTTGTTAATATCTCACGATTGTCACAATTATTTTTTTCCAGACATGTCACAAAAATCAGGCAGTTAGACGTCGTTACAATTAACCAAGTCTTTTAGCGGGTATATTAGGTGATATTAGTCAGCCGTAGGAACTTTGTGACTTGTTTTAAAAAACGCAAGTTTGGAACATGTCAGGGACTACCTTCACAGATTGCCAAAAATAAAACATATGAACCGTTGACATCAGCTCGTAACTAAGGGAAAACTTATGGAGTTAGTAGCGGATACTGTCAGACATCACCATTAGTTGTGGTTTTCCTGGTTACAATTTTGACACCGTGACCTGTTTTATATCTGTTTAATACTTAAAGGCTGCTGAAAAGCAGGTTGTTCGTGAAAAGGCTGAACAAGAAGCTCAAGAGAAGAGAAGGATTGCAAATGCCGAGAAAAAAGCCGCGAAGAAAGCGGAACAGAAGAAAGCTAAATTGGAATTGAAAAAAAGAAAGGTGACTGAGCTGGTTTAATATGATAATTGGGAACTAAGGCGAGCGTGTAACCCAGATCGTACTTACTCATTCATTAGGCTGTTGACCAAGGTGTCACTGGAGAAAAGAATCAGAAATCAAAGCCGAGTGACGAAGATTCTGGAGAACCTGCCGCTAAGAAACCTCACGGTAAGATTACAAAGCTCGCTATTTTTTATTTATTCATTATTTATTAAATTTTTAAAAACGCGATTATGACAACTGGTAAAAGTGATATTATTTGAGAAAGCTGTTAAAAAATCCACACATTCTTTGCAGTGAAAAGCATTTTTGGTCGATTTTGTTTGTTATCTCCTCTTGAATTTTTCGTTTTGTAATGGTTGGAGAGGGTTGCTATGTCCGTGGCGCCCCAACGGTCACCATGACTACGGGATAGGTGCCAGGTGCACTAAAACACTCAAATAAACTGACGTTAAAGATGTTTGCTCCTTCGTCTGTCAGAAGTATCCCATTGAGAATATCTAGTGCTGACTCTCTTTAGTTCACTGACCTTGACCTCTGGCGCTGTTTCTGCATGAGTGGATAACGCGCGAACTCTTTTAATACTTGTAATTTCTACCTTTTGTTTCCTGGTTTGTAACTGTTTTTTTTTCCTTTTAGTTGACATGGAAAAGATCGATTCCTCTACGTCTCAGGAGACAACAGATGAGCAGACATCGACCACAACGAAACGCACGCATGACAGGTTAGGATGCACTTTAAACAGTCGAAAAAAAAATGCACTTTACCATTCCTTTGCGTTCTTTTTCCTTTTTAGTTTTGATAGCTTCTTCCTTCTGGTTGCAACCAAGGGATGGGGGTTGACTGAATCTACTGTTTCTTTCCCATTGCACTCTTCCTTTAATGGTTATTCTTCTTTCCATACCTTTATGAGCTGGCCATCAGTCTCTAATCGAACAGTATTAGTGAGAGCGACTAAGAAGAGAAATGTGGAGATCTCTTTAGGTAAAGCCACCTACCAAACTTACCTGCTCAGGTAGCAGCAGATCAGAAGTCCTGAACCATTTAACTACAGTTTTCTTCTTTTTTCTTGCTTCAACTAACTTTTGCAACCTTTTTTAAATGTATTTATTAACTGTACTTTTAAGGTCATATATACTCACATGTGCTTTATAAAGTTTTGCAATTTGTTATTTTTTTTCTTTTTGCAGCACAAAAGATCCCAATACTGTATTTGTCAGTAACCTACTGTTTTCAGTTGATGAAGAGCGTCTAAAGGATGTTTTCTCACCGGTAAAGATCACTCAGTAAAATGCTTTTCTTAAAAACTTCCCCATTTATTATGTCCTCCTGTTTAAAGAACAACGTTTTATTAACTACTGAATAATATTGTAATTAGGTTTTAAGGGTGTTTAACTCTTTTATCAATTTAGCTTTATCTATTAAAAGTTTATAGGACAGATTATATAATTTTTTAGTTTGTATTATGTAAATAATATGAATTGTAAATACGCAATTCAGCCTTTGGGCTTCAAAAGTGTTTAATAAACTATCTATCTATCTATCTATCTATGTATCTCTCTACCTCTATGTATCTTTCTCTTGATAATTTTCAATCGGAAGCAAATGAATTGGCAAAGTAAATTGGCCATTGCACTGACCTTTCGAGCGATAGTTCTTCGTCAGAGCGCGGCATACAAGTCAAACTATCGTGGGTTGTGTGTGGTTTATAAACCGAAGATTGCAGCTATGGTATTGGTTGAAACATGCTAACGTGTTAGAAAAGAACAAATTAGTTGAATGAAAAGTGTTTGTTGATCCCCGTGTGATGAGTGAGATGGCTTAAGTTAGTTCCGCCCGCTCTTCTTTAGCCTGGAATTGAACACTTCATTAGACATGGTTGTTAGTACGGGAACAGACAGTATTCGTGTTTTACATTTTTTAACTTTAACTAGATTGTAGTCCTGGCCAAGGAAGTAAACATGGAAATATTTTTATGATAAGTCTAGAGCAAGAGCTTTATCCTCTCTTGGCCTAGAGTGCATGGTAGTTCTTATTCTTAACACTCAGTGCCAGGAATTCAAAGGTGTTCTATAGTCACGTTTACTCTAATTCTTCTACAATGATTATCAAATGGCTACTAATGACATAAATCGCCTTCCTTAATTATTTACAGCTAGGTGAAGTAGTTGAAGTTCGACTAGTAAGGAATCAGAGTGGAAAATCTAAAGGATATGCTTATGTCGAGTTCAAAAATCAGGTAACAGGGCATTGGTGTTAAAAGGCCTTTTCCCTTCTTAACCTTTTTTTGTCTGAGGACGTATTCGTTTGCAAAAAGTTGTAGCGTAATGAAATTGTATCTTTTACTGCTTCCTCAATCCACTGTTTTTTTTTTAATTGAAGTCATCAGTGGAAGCTGGTTTATCCATGGACCGAACCAAGTTGGAGGGAAGACCCATGTTTATCTCTCCTTCAGTGGACAAGTCCACAAACCCTACTCAGTTCAAGGTAGAATATTACTGACACCTGTTAATTGTAACAGATATATGTTATTTATTTATTTTCTTTTGACTTTCATCGTGTTTAAATAAAGGTTTTGATTGATTGATTTATTGATTGATTCAAATGTGGCCACTGTATTTTTTCTTCGTAGTTTCCCACATCACTGAACAAGAAAACACTGTTTGTCTCTAATCTGCCGTTCGACGCTAAAGAGTCAGATCTAGAGGAATTGTTTAAAGGGGTGAGATTTTTGCATACTGTAGTGATTTATGATTAGTAGACTATCGGTACACCAAACATAATGTACAGGCAAGTCTGCTTGAGGGAACTAAACTGATGCTGAATATTTAATATTCAACATTGAACTATATCACGTCTTCTCTGCATCAGTTGGCATTGAGCGGTTTGAAGAATTTCTGCCTCATAGCAAACACCACTAGTATATCCTCGTCAATGATGGCCCTTATGCATGTGTACGTGAGACGAGCAAATTTAACCACAAAGTAACGTTTGCGAAAAGGATATGTTGCATTTGACCTCTTTCTGTACGAATATACCGGTAAGAAGAATATACGTTATGAACCTGCTATTGTTGTGTTATAAATAACAACGTCGTTGATTTATCGCACAGAGGTGAATTTTCCTAAAAATACGGCGAAGGAACAAAGGGGGAATTTGATTTCTTTGTGGCTCTGTGCAGACGTGCGTAGAATCAACTTTTCGCGGGAAATTGTTAGTTCTAAAATAAAAATACGGGAAAGGTTGACTCAAAGTTATAGCACAAGTGGAGACTCCGGATAATCGGCTCCTGACAATAAACAGTAAGTTTCCACAATGACAATAGATTGCTGTTTACGTTTTTAACCGCAGCAGGATTATTTTAGTCGGTAGAATGCTTGACTGTGAAGCGGGAGGTCGCGGGTTCGATTCCCGGGACCGGACCGGTACTCAGGGTCTTAAAATAACTGAGAAATGAAGGTACTCTCTTTGCACTGCAAGCGGCTGGACCTTCCGGTGGCTCGGATGACCACGTAAAATGGCTGGGTCCCGTAAATACATTAACACTCAAATAAAGTGCATTTTTTGTGATTACAGCATGGTAAAATTAACGAAATACGACTGGTAACCAACAGAGCTGGAAAACCCAAAGGATTCGGATACGTAGAGTATGAGCAAGAGGTAAGTGAGACCGCTGGCTCCTTGTCATCCACCTGTGTTTTCGCCTCAGTGTGTTCGTCCTTCCGAGCCTCAGGTGTTATATGGGGTGAAGTCCTTTAAATTGTGCAAATTGCTTTATCGTGCTAGATCTGTGTGTGGAAATATCGCATACGAACGGAGTTGTCTTTTGCCTCTGATTCGGAGAAACTAAAGACTACTACGTAAACTTCATGAGATAAGAGCGATAGCTTAAAACTATCAAACGTAACAATCTTGTATGTAATTTACGGGAGGCTTTGTTGACACTTCCATCCTTTCAAAGGACTTACCTCGTTTGCACATTTGTTTGAGATGCTATTATACTAGATACACGTTGAATTGCCTGAGTAATCTAATTTAAGCCAGTCCCGTAAAGAACTTGGATGGAAAAAGTTGTCAAAAGAGGTTTACTCTCTGAAGATTACAGCATGTAGAAGATTAAGGTTAATTCGTCCTGTTACTAATGTAAGTTTATTAGGCTCGAAGTGCGGAGATTTTTTTGTTGGTCCGAAATACCTCGTGTTTTAATCAGACAGGGGCGTCATCCGCCATATTAGCGTTGGATGGAAGTCACGTGGGAGGCAGGCAGATTTCGGTTGCATTGTCAAATCCACCAGCTAGAAAACCCAGACAGCCCGGAACCGAACAGCAACAGCCTGGGAAAGAGCAGCCAGGAAGGTAAGAACGCTTCACTTTATATGAATAACTCCATAAGCCTTTAAGAGACCTCAAGCGTATGTAGCTAGTCCTGTAATTCTGGGAGGGTGGGGAGGGTAGAGTGCTTACTGCAGCAGCTAATGAAACAACAAGTTCATAACTGATCATACCCATTTTGTTTTTCAGTCGTGGCCGTTCACGAACCCAGTTGCAGCTCATTCCCAGGTCTCTTCAGAAAGCCACATCGTCGGTACCAGGTCCCTCAGCAAAGAGCTCCACTGCAGCAAGTGAGGAAAAGACCGAGGCCAATGGTGCCAGCCAGTCGTCGGAGCCGGCTAAAAAGGGTTTTACCAATGAGTATTTCAGAAACCTCATGCTTAAAAAGAACTGAAAACCAATCTCGAATTATCTGTTATTTATACAAGAACCCATATGAGTCCGACTACAGCAGCGAAACTCAGAAACTGCTACATGACATGAGGCAAGCAAATCCTGCATTTTCTTAGGACTGACTACATCGCGTTAAAAGAGAACTTCTACGAGCTTAAATATCTGACAGAAAGAACGCGGTACAAATTTTGATAAATGCCAGTCTTAGAAATGAATAGAAACTGTCCCTTGACCGTCCTCTTTGTGTTTTCCTCTAACTGTAGAGTTGTGTAGGTTTTTAAGTGTAAAGGAAAGAAACTAAGATGGTAAAACGTCGGAAAGTCCTAAGATCCTATGTATCGAAGGGACACTGACCCCGTCATGTTTTTTATAAACCTTGTGGTAAAATGATTTTAGTAAGAGCTAAATTGAAGAAAATATATCGTTTTTACTGATATAAATGCACAAAAATGAAAGTGTAGTGAAGTAGGAATAAATGAAAAGGCAAGGAATCTGCTTTACACCTTTGACGGCCTGTTCTGAGGATCTCTGAGTTACCCATTCCCTCGCGTTAAACTGAAAGCAGCCTGCAGTGATTTATTTTCCGTTAAGTCTTGTGTACTGGTTTTCTGTCTGTACCGGTCACAGTTTCTGTCCGTTCTGGTTTTCTGTCTGTACTTGTCACAGTTTCTGTCCTTCTGGTTTTCTGTCGGTACTGGTTTTCTGTCTGTACTGGTTGTTGAATATAAAAACTGGTATAAGGAAAATCACATAAGGGTTTCAAGGCGAGGTGACCCCTACCCCCCCTCCCCCCACCCCTAACCCACTACATACGCACACACACAAACAAAGAAGCCGCTTTTTTATTGTGCTAAAGGGAGATTTCCTACTGGATCAATTGGAAGAAGTTCCTTTTTGTCCGGTCTCTCAGTTTGCCTCACGTTGTTAACCGGAACTTTAATTCACCACTTGCGCAGTTTGAGTCCTTCGGAGCTTGTTCAGTGCCAGCAGGAGAAGATGCTTCTGCAAATATTCGTATCACTGTTCATGAACAGTGTGGCATTGTACAAGAAGTATGGTACACGGAGAAAGAAAGAAAAATAGTTAGAGTCCTCCGAAATATCGTTGCAGCGTTTTTCAAAACCTTTTCCTAATAAATGACAATGTATCCTTTCCTGATATTTCCCGCTGTTCTAAGTTTGGCAAAGAATGGATAAAATGAAATGCACCCCGCATTGAATAATAAGCATGTAGTTTTGAGGATCGATTTTCAAGCTCTCGCTAGTGCCACGCCAGTGTCTCTGCCCTATATGACCTTCTTCAAATGCTGATGCTATTTGGAACCATGAATCGAGGAACACATAAACAAGCCATCCTGATTTGGATATTGCTGAACTTTGAATGCGGTAAGTGGTGACAGTTCATTTCTTATACAGTTGTTCGCTTATTAGCCGGCAGTGATGAGCCGGCGGTTGAATTCAGAATTTACATTTTCACTACGTAAACCGACTGTGTTATATTTTCCTTTAGCAACAATATTTTAATGAGTCTTTTGTAGGGGCATTTGCTTTCAAAATGATGAGACTAAATTTAATGATTTTACATACCCTCTCCTTAAATTGGTTATTTTGGGGAGACAGGGGCTAGAAACCTGGGAGAATAGGGGGAGGGAGGTGGGAGAGCCGAACGAGCGAGAGAAAGAGGGAGAATTATGCAAGAATGCTTAATATTTCGGCGTAATCGAAAAAGGGCTAAAGGGAGAAAGCCAAGAAAAAAGAAGCAGGAGCCGGAAATACAAGGTGTTCTGTTCGAACCCCAAAACAACTTCCTCCTCTTGATAGCAATAACGAACAAATCTTACAGACTTCTGCCTACAATTTTTTCGAGAGCGAAAAGCACATGTTATGACACCCCATAATACTAACTCAACAAAATGTCCCGGTTAGGGTCATAACATTACAGTTCTAGTCTCACTGGGGGTCAAGACGATCTACCGCTGGAGGTTTGGATCGCCTCGGGTAAGGTTTAGCGTGCGAACGGGTTGGACCGGCAGGGTTAGCACCGGAGTATTTTTACAAGTGTGATGTGATTATCGTCTGCTTTATCACTTACAGTAATGATAAAGTAGACGCAGATGTAGTTATACCCGCAACAGTAACATTTTTAATTTAACCCACAGCAATTAAAAACATTTATCCACGACCGGCAAGCTGTAAGAATTAGCCACACCCACCCCCCCCCCCCCCCCCCCCCCCCCCCCCCCCCTCCCACCACCCCAACCAACAACCAACCACCATTAACTTTTTTTTTTTTTCATATTACTTATCTACTATTTAATATAACTTTACATTCAATTACATATGAATTATTATGTTATAGATAGATATATATTGTTAAATTTTATATATAAAAACTATATATTTTTAACATATGAAAATATAAAAATAACGGAAAAATTGATTAACTCAGCACATTAAATTTTTATTATTACAACAACATTACTAACACGACCTTTTCTTCCAAATCAACAGCTAAAAAAATAACTCACACAAACACCCCCCCCCAACTTAGCTTCCCATTACAAATAAAAATAAATAAAAATAAGTGTTGTCTTTTCTTTTTTTCTTTAATACTGGTTAGTGTAAGACACAAAATCTCAGTATACATAGCATGCGTGGGAGGGTCTGATTACTTGTGAGCTTTCTCCAGTCTCGTGAGATTTAATAGTTATGAGTTATTTATGAGAATGTGGTTTTCGTTTTTTTTAGCCTTCACCAGGAACGATGCCTCCTTTTGCTTCAAAAAAGCGACCCATTATAATGTTGTTCTCGAGGGAAAGCTAAAAGCTGGTATTTACACACCTTGGGAGCCAGACCCCAGTGAAGTGAGTCACATGACCATAGACAGGTGCACAGAGCATTGCTGTAGAAATCCCGGTATTGATGTTGTCTTTCTGCTGGATAGGTGAGAGAGAGTGAGCTGTTTCATGCGCATGTCATTTGTAACGTCCTAGTTTGCTTAATTGAAAATAATGTGGGTGATTTTTTTCAAGATGACATACCGGTGGCAGTACTTGGCTTTACCGCTGCAGGATTAGCTCAGTCTGTAGAGTGCTTGACTGCAGAGCGGGAGGTCGCGGATTCGAATCCCGGGGCCGGACCAATACTGCCTTTTCCCTACAAACAGCTAGACCTTCGCATGACTCGGATGACCACGTAAATTTGCGGTCTCGTCTCCACTTGGGGACTTAAAAGTAGTGTCCTTAATTGGCACTTTTTGCTAAATACATTGACACTCAACTAAAGTGCATTTGTTTCACGTAGGGACACAGATATCTTTCGGGGCATTCTGGGTTTTTTGGAGGAATGATGTTGATTTGAAAATAACATAAATGAAGTTAGAAACGATATACACCAACCGTGATGGTGGACTACATGGTATTTGTATACTAATTATTCATTTCATATTTCAATTTTCAACAACTTCCAGATCCAAAATTTTTATACATTAAAGACATTCGAAAAATCATCGAAATATTCTCAAAACATTATTGAATTAAGGATCGACTCCAAAATAAATGAGTCATTTTTGATCGAATGAAATCTCGGCTAGATATTTGAGGAAAAGGGCTGAAATAGACGAAAAATGATGCTTTTACCAGACATATCCCCTTAATTAACACTTCTAATACTGCACTGTAAATTTCCTGTACGCTTTACGGTTTTGTTGCGAAAGATGCTTACGCGATTCATCTAAAGCCTGTTATTCTTAATAGGTTTTCAGAAAGATACTGCTTCTGTGTAAAGTGTCATTCCGATCATCTGTGCTTCTTAAAGAAGATTACACCTCCGCCATCATTTACACCAATTACTGTCACTCTCACAAAAAGTAAGTCATCCGCTAAACAATTCTTAATATAAATATTTGACGGAAGGTCTCCATTAGTGCATAAACACTTGTTGAAAGTGTTTACGCAATCTTCCCACCCTGATACAGTAGATTTCTCACCCTGGAATTGAGGAAACTCTGCTACCCCACCCTTCCAACAGATATTTTTTACCACCCAGAATCCGGGTGGCCACGTGATCAGGTCCGACCAATGGGTCTCTCCACCCGACAACCCGACCACAAGAAAGGAAAAGGAGAGAGAACCTGGGTACGAGGTTAACTTGAACTTTCCAAAACGACTTCCAAAACTGGTTTCTTGCGTATTTTTCTTGTCGAGGGCAAGTTGAATTGATACGAGAGATTGCTTGACGGCTTCGTCATTTTGTTGCTTTGACTATGAATGTGTAAGTGAATATGTCGAGCGCGTCCTCACTGGAAAAAAAAAATCGACCCAAGCAAAGCTTAAAAAGCACAAAAGGTTTTTGATATTCTTATGTTGTACGCTTTTGATTATGCAGGGTTATGCTGCGTGAACACCAATCTTAATACTTTCTTTTTCAGTATTAATGCATACAACATAACGAAAGCAAAGTGTTTTCAAATATTTCATTTTTTATGTAAAATGTTTTTGTTCCGTGGACAATTATTTTTTTCTAAGACAATGCTACATCATGCTTTGTTGTTGTTGTTGTTGATTCTCTTTAAAGTTTTGAAACATCGGAGTAGGCCAACCTATCAGCAGACTTAAGTGTATCCGTCGGAAAATGTTAACGATCTGCAGTTCTCAAGTTTTCAAATTAAATCATTAAATCACTTCGTCTATTGTTTCAATTACGGCGCCTGTTTTTTAAAGTGATAAAGCTTCTACATTTTTTCCTTTTACAACTAAAATAACAGGTAATGCTTTCATTTAATTTATGGCTGCAAGTAATTGTTTATATTGAGTTTAATTGTTTTCTTCGCGTTTTCTCTTTGTCGTCGTCGTAGTTGAAAGTTATTAGTTTGAGTGCATTCTCATTTATTAAGTTAAACTTTATGGACAGTTTTTTGTACAGACTCTATTTTCTTAAAAATGTTTTAGATCGATCGTTTGGTCGACTGCTTTCATTAGAATTTTTGCCAGACATCACACATTTCTTTCATTCATTAAATCCGATTCGGAAAACTGATAGAAATGTGTACATATAACTGAGCTATAATGAAGTTGTTTTGAAACTAGGCATCGCATACAAATTATTAATAATGAAAATTTTATTGGCTAGCGATTCGAACACAGTCTTGACGTCGTTTTGCTAGTGATTATATTTTTTAATTACACCACTGTGAACTGACATGTTATAAACTGAACGAAACCTTTACTTCAAGGTTGAAAATAATGAATTGGTTTTAACATTTACTTTACCGTAAATATTTTCAAGGCTTTTATTGTCTAGCTGCTATAACTACATGAAAATAATCTAACGGCGACAATTAGATTTTTCCGTCAGTTGTTTCATTTATCATATTTTGGTTAGAAAAAAAAAACACGAAGTCTTCAGAAAGTTCATGAATACAAGTCGTCGAGCTAAAGCTGAGGGCTCAGTAGCCATTACATGGTAAGTTGATGAACTATTTCTTAAAAATTTAGAAAAACAAAAAAAATTAGCATTACTGAAGTTTAAACTTTTACAGTGTTTATTCGCGGGCCTGGTGGTGAAAATTACCTTTTATCTGATCTGTTTACTAGTGACAGCGCGGAATACATGTTACTCCTTTCCGTTAATCTACAATTTTCTGCTATAATGCACGAGATGTAGGGATACATTTAAAGCCTATAGAACTTGTTTTACTGAGAACTTGTCGCAGCAACTTGTCTAGCAGTCTAAAATGTCGGGAATGTCGGATCTGTTTTGTTGGGGACTGTAAGGAGACTAAGATTTAATTGCAAAAGTTTCTAGTTATAGATTGCGCCTTGAGTTAAAAGCGCACCCTTAAGCACGCCTAGGCTGTAGCCATGACATGTTTTACTCCAGGTAGCTTCGAACTGATGACAGTCCCACGGGTTTGTCGAGTGTGCGAACAAACTGCAAGCGAATTAAAAGTATTTGGAGCCGTTTGGAGGATGACGACCAGACGGAAAGTAACAGCAAAATCAGGGAACTTTTAAAAAGCATCCAAGACGACGGCGTGGCAGCGAAGACGTACCGCTAAAAAAATGAATTTGCGGCCTTTTATCTTTATCGCGTTTATTTAGCCTTGCTTAATTTACCAGATGCAGGCAAATTTTTCCTGCGTTGATTTTTTAAGGACTGTATATAAGTTGAAAAAAGTAACACAAAATTCGTCTCCCTATGTTCACGTCCTGATATGAAATGTGGCATTAAGAATTTTCATGCACGCCGTCGTCGTGCAGTGGACATAAAGGAAATACTGTACATACCAAAAAGTGTTATGCCCTGATGAACTGTCACCGCTTAAGACCGCCGTTCGAATTATCGCGGTGCTGCAAATAAAGTCGGGGTATATAGCCAGACTTGAACAATAACGGAAACTTTGTGTTACTCAACTGATTTGTTGGTACCTCTCAGGGTTAATGTGGATTTGAACCACTCCCCAAAAAGATACATTCTGTTACCTTTTCAGGGATGTGTCAAAACTTTACGACAAGCCTCCCTGTCATTATTAGGAGCTAGAAGTGTACCCCTCCCCTGGGATCTTCCCTCCTTTTCATCTTCTTTTTTTCTTTCCCAACCTCCCCTAGGCTCGTTTGCTCGCTCAAGTCTCGACGAGCTTGCCCGAACTGAAACACTGTAATTAGTCTACTTCGAGTGTTATCAATAAGCATAAAATTTGGGCTACTTCTCAGCATAGCCCAACACAGTTACAGACAGATACTTGACCATACTTTTTAACTGGTATTGGTAAACTATTCTAATTATTTTATTAATCAGCACAACCGGCAAATTCCAAAAAAAGCAGATAGATTCCGTTTTCGGTTGATACATTTCAGAGTAAGCTGTTATTTGAATGATCACCGAATTTGGGATTTCGACGTCCCTAACTGAATTGTGTAGTTAAACCATGTTTATATTTGGCACATCGTGTCTTTTTTACAGACTGAAAGGTCATACTGAGACGTCATCCTAATGCGAGTTTTACTTTCAAAGTTTTCACTTACAATTGGGACAAATCAGATCAAGTTAAGTGTTCTTAAATCTCGAAATTTGACAACATGTTCTATGAAAAAAGGAAGATGTTGAAGTGTAGCAGTATGCGACATTGGTCGCGTGCAGCCACAAGGCCAGTTTTGTTATCTTCACAGCTTCTGATAAGATTTGGTGTGCTGCACCCATATCTTATCAACTGTGAAGAATTTTCTTATTCGGAGTAACATTTTAAAAAAATGCTATCAACACCTATGGTCAAGCTGTTAATTACAGTATATTCTTATCGTCAGTCAGATAACAGAAAAATCAATCAAGGATTTTCTTAACAGTTGACGTTGCAGGGGTTTCCAATCCGCACAAATAAGGTTGGTGGAGTAGGAACTCTTCCTTTCGTTTTTCATTTAGATTCTAAGGAAATGCATGCGAAACGCGCCTCTGCAGCACATATTTGAAGTAGAATCAGTGCTACGAGTAGAATGTAAGTCTGTTGGTCTGAGAATCAGACTCGGAACTTGATCGAGCTGGTCCCCAATTTACACCTCCTATTTCGCCACCAACCATTATCACTACATGGTAGCCCCTGTTTGAATCCTACGCTAAGCTCACTTGCTGGGATTTCATAAGTGTTGTTTTTGAGTTTATGATGTCCACCTCACTGCTGTCTCCACTTTTGAAGGAATTCTTTATTATTATTTAGTCGGATTTCATTCACTGTGCAGCGAAAATAAGTCCATTGTAATAAAACTACTAGTTAATGCAAGTAGCGTATTTCTTTTGTAAGTACTTGAAACTTTCTTCGCAACGCTTTTAGAAATATACCTTAAAAATCAACAGTGCCCTTTGTAAACGCTTAGCAACCTTCAATAAAATATGATTAAAAAATCAACAGGATGTCGATTAAGTTTCAAACTCTGAATTGTAACATTCTTTAGTTTCTATATTCTTTCGCTCTCTACTCGACCTCGGACAAATCCACTTCGGTCTGTTAGCACTTAAAAAGAATACTGATTGCCTTACAATTGAGTGACTCTCCTTTTATTGGAGGGCGAAGGTAAGTATAGAAGAGCTTTTCTTTGTCGTTTCTTCTCTAAAGCTTAAAAATTTTTCTTACAGCAAGAGAGATAAAAGGAAAGAGAAAGGGGCAAAAGACAGCCACAAAACGTTTTTCCTTCGTCTATTAATTTGCTAGTTGTACACCGGCTACTTTCACTTGTTTTCTAGTGTTTTAGGTATCAATGCACAATGTAAATATTTTGTAGAGTAAACCGCTTTTTGTTTGTAGAGTCAATGTCGATTCGCGACCATGTTTTGCTTTTGTGAAATAGACGAAGCTTTCAAAACACTGGGTGTTTACAGCTTGTTACTTTAGGAAAAAAGCTGCTTATTCGTTCATTAAAAGCCATCATAAGTTATTTATGTGCTTTGCGGTAAGTCGACGGAGCAAACAATCCCTACAATTGAACAAATGACGCTCCGTTCTCCTACGCATTCACTTTTCTGTTGAAGACTTTCTTATTTTCTTTTCTCAGGCATTTCTAAGCTTTCTACCACTACGACACCTTTTTCGGATACCTGGACTTTCACGAGGACCAAACCTACAAAATCTAGTACCAAAGTAAGTAACTCAGTACACCTTTGCTTACTCAGTGTAATACTCATAGTTTCGCCTACAAACACGTTATAACAAGTAAAGTAAGAAAGAAAAAACTCTCGAGAATTTTTGTTCTCGTTTAGCCCTAACTATAAGAACTAAATTAATCTTGTAGTGAATTCTTCGATAGTTAACGTGTTGACTGATAAAACTGTGATCGAATGAAAATGATGTGGCGTCAATTATTTTATTTTTATTATTTTTGACGTACTTAAAGGCATTGATAACTAAAAAAGATATATACTTTGAATACTCACGAAGTCTGAGTTTCAACAGAAGTAAACACAATACTCTCGGTTTTTATAATTTTTACTAAAAATAAATTGGGGTTGAGACAATTTCGAAAATGATCGATCGCTGCCTGGGATCATTTTGAATAAGAAAAGGGAGTGAATAAGTAAAGATCGTTTTTGGACTTGATAAGTTTCATGTAATTTCATTTTTTAATCCAATATGACTGTGGAGGTCAACGGCAGACCAAAAGATATATCATAGTCCCATTTAGGCACCCTTCCTCCCCCTGATTCTGTCTGTGTGACCCCCCTGCTCAAGAACTGTCGATTAAGCAGATCACTGCCAGTGATAAGACCAATTGCAATTCAATATGATGATGGTATATAACAATTTTTCTACGTACTCACAGAATGTATGGCACATTAAGTATTGTTCATTGACCGTTCATTAACAGATAAAGGAAGACGTTCATTTTCTTTTGGTAAAAGCTCGTCTTTTGATTCCGCACAATAAACCTGTTCCCATAAAGAGTCTCTGTTTCCATGCCGTTTTCGCTTCCCTAAGTCACTCTAGAGTATGTTTTATTCGCGTTCTTTTTGTGCATCAAATGGTTTTTAATTCATTGACCTGGTTATTAGTGCTCAAGGAGTCTCTTGAAAAGGCAGACTGAAACAACAGCAACGGATAAGAATGAGTAACCAAACGAGCAAGCCGTGACGCTCGAGAATCGCTAATTTACTAATCTGCAAAATCATAAATCAGCTCGAAGTCTACCTGGATGTGGAGTACAGAGTTAATGACTAATGAGTGAACAGAGGAATATGGGGTATTTTTCAGAAAACTCTCTCACATGAAGTCTGTTTCAGGCTCACAAAGATTGAGAAGAAGATGAAGTTAAAGGTCTCCTCTCTTATCTCTCTGTCCCTCCAGTTCTCACCCTTTCTTAAAATAATATTCCGTTTTTTTCATCTTTTGACACCCTGTTACCAGGCCGCATATACGGGATATATAACACTGCTTACTTTTTATTTCCGTTTATTATCAGTCCTCCACCGTCAAGCCCGAGCAAACAGAAACAAAAAGAACAACGGAAAGAACCGAAGATGTCACGACAACCTCCGGCAAGACGACGAGTGATCATGGACTCGGACGAAGAACTGGGTCAGAAGCGGAACTCGGGGGACAGCGAAGCAATCCGCGTAAGTTCGTGGTTTACTATAAAGTACTTAATTTTTTTTTCGCTGCTACAAGTATAAAGTGAACAAAAAGCCTTAATTCTTGAGATTGTGTATTTAGTTACGTCAATATGTAATGTTACGCTGGGGTTAGTGTGGTTGGCTACATCAATGGTGAAAACTCAGTGTAGTGACTGTAGTCAGTTATAAACCAGAGTGATCTGAAAGCTAAAACAGAGCTTGTGATTTGTTTCCTTTCCATATTTAAGTATAGCTAAGTATATTTAGTTCGCAGTATTGCTGCCTTCCCGAACGGGAATTAATATCCTCTTTCAGTCTTGTGTGAACTAAAAATTAAACGTTATCCTTTTCTGTTGCATCCCACATTTAAAGAATCCGGTTAACGAACAAAGTCCAAGAAAACTCTCTCTTGGTCACAATTTATAGGCTGATGATTTTCTTCTTCTTTAATTTCCTGTAGAAATTGTTCCGTATGTTCTCTCGAAAGCATAACCCAAACACAGCTCTTCTTCTTCGCTACGCTGTTTGTTTTTTCCTTGGAGGACTAGTTGGCCTTATTCCTTACTTAGTTTTTGTCATTGAACTCTGTAAAGGTTTGTCTCCTAGCTCTTTTTTCTACCTTCTTTTCACACTGTCACTTGTTTAAACACGAAAAGTGAACATTGCCTTACTGACGTGTTCTGGAGGAAAACCACAAGGTTTTTCTCATCATTCTTCCCGGTTTTTTCTTGCTCTTATTCTGTATAATATTCAGTTTCGGGTTTGAAACATCTTACCTTCAGTTTCTATCAACAGACCCATCGAGGTCTGTGAGATATGTGTGAGATAACTTTGAGTTATTGTTGCCGATAACTGAAGAATGAATGAAATTCTCGAGGTTTTCCTCTAGAAATTATTACTGATCTTTCATGGCTCGCCCAGGACGTCCCAAGATCACACTAAAATCGGTTTACCGAATTATTTGTTTTCACCTCCACTCCTTATATTCTCAGTCGGTTGAATGCTTACTATTTGGTCCCAATTGCTTAGTACTGAACTGATCTCCAGACATCTCTCATGTATTTTAAAACTGGCGAACGCAAATGGGACGAGATAAAGTGAGGACGATCTATCGATCGTATAACCTTTCTGTCATTCTTTGCGCTTGTTCCTTATACTGGTAAATCTGGAGTGGTACGAGATGATCCTAACCAACATTCCTTTCAACTTTTCTTTACATTAACCCTATGGCTTAGAGCGGTTTTCATTTGAGTGTCGAAAAGTAATTGGTTTTGCACTTTCTACACGATGGGATTGGCTTAAAAGATTCGCGCCACCTTTTCATCCAATCAGAAGTAAAACCAAAGCCAATTGTGACGCGCTATTTGCGTCAGCCACATGTAATTACTTCGAGTTTTGATTGGTTCAATGTATTGTCTGTGTCCTATGTGATTGGCCAGAGTAATTACTTTGGTTTTGGTTTTACGACACTCAAACGAAAACCACTCTATATCGATAACAAATTCTAAAATAAAAGTAAGTTCTGAAGAGATAGCCGGTACCTTTTCTCTTACATGGTTTCTTGTAATACTCACTCACTGTTTACAGCTAATTTAGAAGTAAGAAACGCTCATCTGCCTGAGCTTAATGGATATTCCCAAGGAAAACAAGAGCCAAGTAACAAGGCAGTCACACCTTATAATGGAATCAACCGTGTGAGCGAGTCGATAACAACAACATCTAATATTGGTATGTTTATCCTGACTTTGGTGTCGACAGTGAATAATCTAAGTTGATCTCTATCTTTCGAACAGCTTTTTTTTTGTCCCGCAGTACAAAGTTTTTTCGTCCGGCAGTTAGTAAAAAATCTCTTTAAATAGGAGTTTAGATCGGTTTTAATTAGCCTTATTATTACTTCATTGTTTTATGTTTATTTTTTTCCAATTTTATAGGTATTTTACCACTTATTGTTGACATATTGTATCGCATTTTATTGCTCATTGCATTCTTACCTTTTAAACTATCTTTAAGCGTTTGTAATATATTTGTGCAAATTTTATGTTTTACTAGCACTTGAAAATGACCTTGGAGAGGTCGAAACGTCGCGACTTTTTATCGCTAGCTTTTATCACAAAATTTAGTAGGAGGAGCAAAATGAGTCTTAAGAAGTTTATGAGAAAATAATTTGCCAGTAAATTTAATATAACAGATAGGAAATCGCTTATAATAACTCATTTTTTCTCTTTAAGAGAAAAAAGTAAAACTGATTATTAGAAATCGACTTTCTTGGCTAAGACTTTATCATAGTAATAAACATGGCGCTATTAGAGTATTGCCTCAAGCGTCATATCACTCACTGCTTAGAACCCTATTTTTTCCCTTTCTCTTTTTTAGGAATAAACATTACAACACCCAATGTGAGTTCAACTGGACCCACTACACCGCGCCCAACACGAACAGTAAAAACGCAAAGAAAAGGTAAACGAAAAAATAGAAAGAAATAGGATTCAAACCTCAGTTTCTTATTTAACAGATCTAGCTCCTTGGTAGCCAACTGGTAGTGGACACAATCTCTTTTTAAGGGGTAAATCTGGTTGTTCTTCCTGGGAAACGGCTTCGATTTCAGAAGGAAATAAAAAAGGATAAAAAAAAGTTTTCCACGGCTCATAAACCAGTACTTAGTCTGCTCAAATGAGCTCAGGGGCATTTTGTTTTGGTGGTCAACTATCTGTCCACTAATTATTCCCTTCATATTATTTTGTTCATAATTTTTGTCAACCCCCACCGTATCCAATATTTTCCAGTTTTCCATAATTTAAACTTTCCCCACCCCATTTTAAATGCTTTTGAAATCATAAATGATTTTGAAAAATCATACAAAAATTCTCACACATTCATTGAACCAATGAATGAAACAGACCATTTTAAGAATATTTCCTCAGTAATCTGGTCTTTGAACGGATGCGAGGCCTGGAGGTGACTTTGTATATTTTTCAGTTGTAAATGATTACATTCACTGGCTTGTTCGCTTTTGGATGAGAGTTATCCGAATGGCACATAAAAGTCAGCCAGGCCTACAACTAGTCGAAAAGCTGGCTACGCCCCTGGCTGTCAAAAAAATTAAACAATAAAAAGGCTTTACACAACAAACTACAAGTTTATACAAACGCCGAGTTCACGAGCCCAAGTTTTCGAAAAAATGGCGGCGCGTATTATAGGTCCAACTTTTTCGCGCGGGAACTGTGTACGCGCGTCAAGCTCGATCGATTACAAATCCCGCGAAGGCGGGAACCACTGCCATTTGGAAGGAAAGCAAGACGGTTTGCAAAAATGTACTTTACATTTTCTCCCGAGCCTGATCACTAATTGCCAAGATAGAAAAAGGCTAAAGGCGCTTGATATGTTATAATTCTTCTATGAAAAATCACAAGTATAAATCTGTTTTGGTTACTTTTTTTTCTTTTCAGCCGAAGGAACCGGTAATGACGATATCTCGCTTCAGTGTCCTGGTGCTTTAAAGATCATCCGCGTGGCCGCATTTGGAATTCCCGGCGACAACAATACCGTGAGCGACTTTGACAAACACTGTCATGCTAATCTTGCACAAGTTGACGGAACAAACGTCTGCATCGTGAGTCTGAAACGAGTTTACAAAACCAGCTATCCTCCATTCATAAAGACAATTGTAACGTACACTTGCTCATACACAGAAGAGGTCAGCTAACAATCATCGACAAGAGCCGCCCGGGTATACCGGGTCAAAAGATCATATTACTGGAAAATGTGTGTCATCAAAAACTGTTTCCTGGAAATGTGTGGAAATAGCTTGTGAAGAAAGCACACTCCGATTTTTGTACTTACTTAACTTGATGAAGGAGCTAAATTTGATAATAATAGTTTTTGGATTGTGTTTCCAGACCTTTACAGCTTATTCCCAGTCTCTCTTCTTTTCTTTGCAGTTTTCTCCTTTCTCGTTTAAAACCGCAGGAAAGCAAGAGTAGCCTTCGGAGGAGGCAAGCGCTGCATTTGGCTAGGGTACAGATTTGAACATAGGAACATCGAGTGACCGTAGAGATTGGCTTACAGCCAGTTACAGCGAAAATACGTGATAAGAGTTATAAACATTTCGGTGTAAATTCTAATAAAATAGTCGTTTCTACTGAAAATTTTGAGGAAGCAAAAATTCTGGCGAGGGTGCTTGAGGGTTTGTTTAAATTACCGCAGCAGGATTAGCTCAGTTGGTAGAGCGCTTGACTGCAGAGCAGGGGGCCGGGGTCTTGAAATAACTAAGAAATGAAAGGACTTCTATTGCACTGCAAGCAGGCAGGACTACGCGTTGCCCGGATAACCGAAAAAAATGGCGGTGCCGTCTCCAGACGTAAAAATGGTGTCCCCAGTTTAATATTACTTTCGTGCTAAATACATTGACCACACTCAAAATAATGAAGTGTATTTTTTTTGGTGCCCAAGCACCTATTTCGGAGACGGCGACTTCAAAAAAAAAAACTGCACGATTATTGCAAAGCTTCTTTTTTAGCCTCCTCCATCAAGACTTAAAAGATAAATAAAATCATATTCTTTCTTCTTAGAATTTACAACAACACGTCGTAGTAATTATAGGAATTTTTACTTGGTACAGTCCTAGTTACAACTCTTTCTCTCCCGGGAGAAGTGCTGTCTTCTCCGTCCGCTTCTTCTTTCCTGCCAAAAATTCGAAATCTTCATGGAAAGAAGTAATCTTTTAGTTTTTTAGCTTTTAGGCTCGAAAAATTTTTTTTCGACAGTTGACGGTTTTGTGCTTATAATGTAAAAAAAAAAAATACCACTTAGCAACAGTACACATTGTTCTCGCTTTATTAACGCCTTTCTTGATAAAGAATCACACAATAATTGTGATTTATTTATAACAAACAATCCTCCTAGTTGTTTTAGTTTCCAAAGTTTGCTATTTTTCTTTTTTTTTTCTCTTTGCTTTTTTTGCAACTTGAAAATGACAGTTTTAGAACTCGCTGCCTCCCCTAAAACTGGAATGACTAGAAGCACAAACTACCGTAATTGGCGAATCAACAAAAAAGAGACAATATTTTGATCACCGTATTACTGTATTAAAAGCTAGGAAATTCTTAAACAGCGTCTTCCACAATTCCGTGCCCCTAACAGTTGGAGTCCTAGGTCAATTCTACTGGTTTACCTAACCGAAAGCAAACAGGACACCGGGTAAAACAGCTTGAGCTTGCTTGACACTTTTGCATTTTTTACCATTTTAACTGGTGATCTGGTGAAAAAAATCAGTTCAATCATTGTAGCAACAAACAATGGCGTTCTTAAAAAGATTGTTGTTAATATGGATCCTACACGTTTCTCTGGATTTCTCAAACGCTGTCTTGGCAGACGATGATCGATCACAGGCTGAGGTGAATGGGAAACTTTCCTCTGTTCTCCGTAGAGCTGTTAGTTTACCGCTTCTAGGAGCAGGAAAAAAGAAACTTTGCCAGGAAGGACAAGGAAATGCAATAGACGTGCCAAACCCACCAGAATTCGTTTATCGAACAGATTTTCGCCCTCCGAGCATTGTTTTCAAAAAAGGGATGGAAAGCTTAGGCAAGAATGATGGCTTACTTGATCATATGAAAGGGGTATCCACTCACTACGGTCCGAAGAAAAACAGTCTTTTTGTGTCCACATCAGCTGTAGAAGCAAACTGTATAGAATGGGCAAGGGTGCAAATGAAGAACAACAAGAATCAACGATCTATCTACGTGTACAAAATAAGAGCCAACGAAAATTATTACAGTATGGAGAAGTCATTGATGAACGCTTTTGCTGTGAGCGGTAACGCGGAATTTAAGACCCAAGCAGAGAACGTCGCTAAGTTCTATTCGGAATGGGAAGCTTGCGGAGGAGTCAAACCTGAAGAGGTTGTAAGCGAGACTGAGTATCAACGAGACCCAGCCCAACCGGCAATGTTGAAGCCAGTCCAAACTGAAGTTAATCCAAAATTCTCTCAGCAGCCTACCCGCGGAAACCAGCATTCTTTTGTTCCTAAAGCACTCAGGATGAAGGTTGCGTGATTGCAGGAGCCACGGGTGCGGATTCACGTAGGATATTTTATAGTTAAAATCCTTAGGATGTTTAGGCATGCAGTTACGGTCTTAAAAGGCGTTCTTGAATGCTGTCCTAGGCTATTTGGGGCAGCAAGAAGTCAACAGAATTTTTTTGACAAACGTACGTTGAATTGCTGTAAGTAGCGGAATATAAATGTATGAGTATGTACCATGGCGAACTGAGTTTAAAGTAGAGCGTTATAAGTAGTCAGTATCTCCGTCCGACGTTATACATCAGATACAAAAGCCAGTCATTTATGTGTGCAATCAACAAAAAGGGATCGCTTACCACTAGAAAGAAAATAATTAGCAAGAAAAAAAAAAGAGATGACTATAGGCTGTTGTCATATTAAATGTAATAGCTAGATACGCGGCACCCGAAGCCAAATATTGGCTTATAGCAAAACATAACGTGTTTATTCAAGATGAGGAAAATAAAAGTTTAAAGCATCTTGAAAAGGAAAACTGGAGGTTGACTCTATGACGTTTGCCTAAAATAAAAAGGTAAAACAGATATAAGCTATGTACCATATAAAATATATAAAATAAGACATTTAAATTCAAAATTATTTACAGGATATTAAGTGGATCACTAATGATCAATGATAACAATAGATGAACAAGACGAAGGGGCTCAGTGCATTTGGCTAATTAATTATCGCTACAACCCTAAGTTTCTTAATTTTATGTACTGCTGGTCAGCAACTGGATAGAGTGAGCGTTCTGAAAAATAATGTAAGACGAGCTCTGCCAGGGTTAAAGAAAGCGGAACGCTCTCCGTCGGCGCCGTGAGTGATTGAGACGACTCTCAACAAATATGGCAAGACGATTTTAATATTAAAAGAGATAGTTACAATTTTCCTTAACTGAGTTTAACCAAAACTGCAAATCTTTATCTCTTTTAATACTCCAAAGTTCTTATTCATTTTTTGCCTGACATTTTCTCTCTGTTCCTCGTCTTTTCTTCCTTAGTTTCTCTCTTTGTTTTCTCCTCTCTTACTTCTCTTTTTCTTTCTCAGCGGTTTTACGTCTCAAATTTGATCTTTCTCCTTTCTCCGTTTAATTACAGATTTTTCTATTTAAATGCTCTATCCTTTTAACACTAAAGGTAGAAATTAATTATAAACGAAAACTAAGGTTAAGTTGGGTACAAGATGTCCGACCAGTAAGGTGTAATTCAGCTGATTCCAGCAAAATAAACTCTTAACATGTAAAATTGTTTTTCCCAACAGCGCGCGCTCTCATTGGTTACTTCGAGGTCACATGACATCTCACAATGAAACTTTTTCCCGCCAAAATCTCTGAGCACCTGTGAGCGGGCAACACTACAAAATCTATGACGTCAGATGGTAACAGTGCACTGTTACCCGCGAATGTTGACCAACGACCACCGTTACAGCGAGGTTATTCCCGCTTCAAAATTTCCAGCTATGTAACATATCATTTAATGCCTGGTCCCTCGGGAAACAGTGAATTTTGTTTCCGTCGAATCTCAATGTTTTTCTCAGCTGCGCCTTGGGAAACATTGAGGAACATTGACATCTGTTTCCCTCGGAACCAGTCATTAGGGAGCTTAAGCGACGGCGACGGCGACGGCATCGAGAACGGCAACAAAGCAATAGGTTTAGATAAGCAAAACAACAACTTTGCACGTGTATCATGTGTACATTTCTTTGTCGTCACTGCACGACTATGACGTGAAACTTCCTAATTTCACGTTTTTTGAAGAACGTGAACTCAAGAGAGGAAGAGGTTCAAACTCTCTGGTCAAGTGTTGGCGCTGTCGAATAACGTTCGCATTTGTTTGGAGAAAAAACGTCGATTCTCTCTGTACTCTTCGTGTTAAATAAACTAAAAACTGTCTAATTTTACTTTTTTGTTCGTCGTCTTCTTCTTTCTTCTTGTGTGGTTCTCGAGTCGATTTATGCTCATTTAAGGGGTTTTATTCCCTATATTTAAAGGTTACGCAACAGTGCCGAAGCTCATATTTCACGGTTGCTAGTATCAGTTCCTCGGGGTCCCAAGGAATGTCCGATTTTAAAAATGAGCCGTTTTTTTTTTGTGGCACAAATCGCCCTCAGATGTCGTCAGCGAGCGCGCAAGATATCGCATTGGTGATGTTCAGTCTTTGAAAGCTTTGAAGTTCTTTGCTTAGCTTCCGCAAGAGTATTTTATTTCCAATTATTTTAAGAACTGGGCATTAAGCTGCCACACGTTTGCGTGAACGAATTCTACCCATGTCAGCAATATATCTAAGGAGGGATTTGAAAATAGCTAATGAGGGTGTCTAGTAGTGTACAATAACACCCCTTTTACAGAATTGATATCTTTTTAATTACATAGAAAAGTCTGAGGAAATAATTAAATTCTTTAAGTTAAACTTATTCACCTCTATAATAACTAAGAGATCAGAAAACTAAGACTTGCACAAAAATTACTGAAAAATGGCAACATAGAATCTTCAATTGAAATAAGCCCTCTGCATTTTTAGATCTGAAAAAAAGTTAAAGAGAGTTAAGAAAAGAAAAAGTTATAGAAAGATCTTCTATCTGCTTTCTGTGAAAAATTTCACCTTCGACTACCATTTCTGCTGCTAGTGGAATTGATGTTTCACAAGTAAATACTGAGCGAAAAAGGTTTTGAATAAGCTTGATTGTTTCAAGTAATTATAATTGGCGTTAATATTATATTGTAAGTGTAATCACAGTCAAAAATATTTATAGGAATCGCATATTGTTTCCTGGTAGAAATCAGTTTGCAGCACCTCGACTCAGTCTTAAGGGGATGTTGCACGGGACGATTCGTAACGACGATTTTCAGCTCAACACAGCGTTGCAATGTTGGAACAGCGTTGCAGCCATTTGAAACAATGTCGCAACAATGCTGCAACGCTGTGTTGCGCTAAAAATCGTCGTTTCGAATCGTCCCTTGTAACATCACCTTTACTCTGCGTCATGGTATCTCCGTTTCTTCTCAAGCACGTGCATGACACACGAGTCGGGTGTGATCTTCTTTGATCTGACTTGAAGTGACCAATTGAACATTCAATCTTGGCAACAGTATCTCACTAGGTCGCTTAATTGAATGTGAAGTTTTTGAACAAGCAACTTCTTAAATACACCAATCCGCGATAAAAGCTAAAATGGAAAAACAGCTTCATTGGCTAAAGTCTTTTTTCACTTATTTCGGTTATTGGTTCTAAATTAAAGTAAACAACTTAAAAAATAAACAAGTTCGTATCTATCACTGCTAATAATAAAAGCGTTGAGAAAAAGGAGACATGAAACGTATAAAATGTTCAGAAAAATCTTTAACCTTAAGTGACATTGTTACAAAGAGTATGTTAAAATCTCTCCATTTGGATAGTACTGTTCAAACGGTCTCCCATAATACTTTTCAAGGAAGCTTCTTAGAAACCCACTGTGTGCGAAAACTACAATATTTGTCTCAGGTCGGTTTTGAAGAAAATCGTGAAATCGCTCCATTCTTTCCTGAAAATGACTTCCTTTGAAGGTTTCTCCCAACTTGCATGTTCCATTGTTTAAGACAAATTCGTAGCATTTTATTGGATCTGTTAGTTGACCCTTTAGCTTTTCATCCACATACCACCAAACTTTGGGAGGCACATTGCTGAAATCAACTGTTGGATACATCTTGACCAGGTCTTCTTTCAGAGTTCCAATGTCACAGAGCGATTCTCCTATCTCGCGGCAAAGATGAATTGCTCTGCTCAAAGGAGAAGTGATGGCGACTTCTGCATTGAGATCCTGAATTTTCTGTTGTATCGTCAACGCCTGTTTTTTGCCACAAGTGCTCAAGGGCGCATCCAAGAGAGCATCGCTCTGTAGTCCTTTGTCGAAGCGCGTCAAGTTGTGTTCGTCTTCAGCTTCGTTCCAGGTAGATTGGAAGTGTCGAACAAAGTGGACGGTTTTACTCTTTGACAGCATGGCTAATACTCGTTTCAAACGTTAGTAACTGCTGCTGAGCTGAACAGAATAATGATCGAGTAAGTTAAAAGATGGAGTTAAGTATAAGAAATAAATTCGACTTTGTCACGGCGGTTGTACCACGTGTGAAATCAAGTCGTGCTACTGCCGTGAAGCTCTGTTAGCGTTGCCGTGGTTCCGTAGCACGTGTTGATTTCAAACGTAGTGTTATGGCCGTGACAAAGTCGATTTATTTATTTATTCATTCCAGCGACCTAGTCTGGTAATGTTGTCAAGATCGAATGTTCAATAGGTCACTTGAGGGCAAAGTAAAAATCACACCACGACTTGTGTGCAATGCACGTGCTTGGAAAGAAACGGAGATACATCACGCCTAGAGCTCACATGAGGCATTGTGGTTCTGGGTTGGAGGTGCTTAAAAAATTAGGATTTTCTTTCTAAAACCGTTTTCACCTGAGTGAGGTGGAACATCAATTCGACACGCAACAGAAGTGGCAGTCGAAGGCGAAGTTTTTACAGAGGGGATAACAAACCTTTTTCTCTCTGATCTGTGGAGTTCTTTCTTTAATCTTTTGAGCCTCTTTCGCCGTTTAAAAACTCAGGAAGCTTATTTCAATGGAAGTCTCTTTTTTAACATATTTGTTCAATAATTTTTGACAAGTTGAAATGAGTTTAACTTAGAATATTTAATTATTTAATTTTCTCGTTTTTTTCCGTCTAATTAAAAATAAATCCTGTAAGAGGTGTGTTATCAAAAACCCTTTTTCACTTTCTGATTCCAGAGGCCGAAGGTACTCCAAGTTCACGACTGCATGAGAATCTTTGTTGTATAACATACTTAATAAGTCAAGCTAATAGCTGGACTTTTGAAACTGGCCATGGATTGGA